GACTTTTCTTCTTTTCCTTATATAATTTATATAATTAATTAATTACTTTTCCTGCGCCATCTATTATCAATATTTATTAATCTAATAACCTGTTAGCTTTACCATTAAGTAGAGAACAATTAAGGAAAATCTTTAAATAACTTGATTAAACAGTATCAATTTGGTCATCGTTTGTTTGAAAGTGTTAGATGACAATAGTTGATTAGAAACTAATCTATTTATTCCCGGTTTGTCTATTTACATAAAAGTTTGTACAAACCAACTTATTCTTAAGCCTATATACAAATCGTATAGATAGACTATAAAATATTGCTAATACTATTATTATTATTATTATCAATATTTTCGATACTTTCTTTCTCTATTTCCTTATTTTTCGCTCAAACGATTTTAAACGGTGGAATTATTCAATTCACAAAACGAATTACACACAATCAACAAAAGACATAGTAATCTTATATTAAAAGACTCTATAGATATGACTAATAATTCTCCGACACCCCATAATTTGCGTATTTTGCACAATAATTAATAGACCATTTAGACTTTAATTGGTTGTAGAAGATATTGAAGATTTTATAAAAGATCTTTTTACTCTTTGACTCATATTTGTGTCCCATTTGGGGAGGAGCGAGAATCAAATATATCGAATAAGCTGATAACAGATCTGGGATGAGGTTTACATAGGCCTTAAACAGATCTTCTTGCCATCTTTTTCTTATATCCTCCCGCCGGATCGTTTTAGACATAAGTTAAGTGGAAAAGAAAAGAATAGAAAAACATTATGAGAGAGAGAGAGAAAGAGAGACAGAGAGATGTATAGATAAAGTCGGAAAGGATAAAAATATAATTGAAAAAGTAGTTTCGTTCTCTATTTAAGGAGAACTGCAAACAAAATTTTATTAGCGAATAAAGTAAACTTGGGCGAAAAGGTAAAATATAATAAATTAAATTCTTCTCACTTCATCAATTTTGTTAAATGTACTTCGTTTTCTACTACTTGACCAATTAGGCCTACAAACGTGGAAAATTTGCATCATCAATTTACGCATTTTTATCTTAATAGAATGGAGGAGATTCAATTTCTAAATGAATTATTATTATTATTATTATTATGTTTAGTATGTCAACTTTATTTGTACAACGGCTATTTCTTTAGCATTTTTTATTGACTTTTATTATTTAGATATTTGGATCCTTCCAAATGGAGTGGTGGAGTTTCCCTATTATTCTGTATATATATATCGGCCTACAGATGGCAACAACTGTATTTCTCGACAACCTGTTAGTGGACCCAGGTAAAAGAAACTAGGCCATAAACTCAACCCTTTGTTTATTCAGATGGCCAGGGTTAATGTATATAGGCTTAACGTCAAAACTCAAAAAATATCATGAAAAATAAAACCTTATAAAAAGAAGAAAGGACCGTTTAGCACATTCAAAAATAAGAGAGAAAAAGTCTCTACTTTATAATATATAAGATAAAAAAGGAAAAAGAAAAGAACGTATAAGAAAGGAAAGGAAAAAATTATTCGATTCAAACCAGTTAGACTGGCGTGAAATCGGGCGAAGAAATATACGCCTAAACTCGTTATAGATTAGCGGACCGTCTAAAAAAACGACGTCACTACGATAGGATCAAAGGCAAAGAAACGTTCATATTCTCCAAGTATTGTATATAATACTATAAATTATGCTCTTATTTAAACACATACTTTACGCAAGATATTATATAGCCTACAGATACTGTACTCTGCAAACTGAATATAATAATAAATACGTGCTGTACAAGACGATTAATCACAAATGTATACAATTTCTATAAAATTTTACTCTATGCATACTATACATATTTTGACTATCATAGTCAAAATATATATATTAGTTTATATATACAATCAACTCTCTGATAAACTAAACCCTTTTGTAACCCTGAAATCTGCTAAATTCTCTCGATTATTAAATCTTTAATATTTTAACTTTGCCTAACCGAAATGGAAAAAGACACTAAAACCCTCTATTTTTTTAATATAAACACATTTTTCATGATTTATAACGCCTCTGCATTATCGAAAGTTAACTACACAGATTGATATAATCTACTATAGGCAATATATACGCTCTGATATTATAATATATGCATATAAATATTATACTTCTATACATCTATACGTGCATACTTTGCATGTATACGCTTGTACGCATATGTGTGGAAAAAACAGCAAATATTTGCCACCCCGTTGTTTAACAGCCGTTTTTCGGCTTGTTAATGACTTGTTTGAGGTTATTTCTAACCATATATATACGTTTTCTAATTGGAAATATATCTATATATATATATAGTTATATACGTTTTAAGGAATTTACTTATTTCGGGTCGAACTTCAACAAGTTCATTAGAAAGTAATTTAATATATGTTATAAATAACTACGAATCGATTTTAGGGTCGAATAATCGAGTAATTAACGCCCACTAATTACAATATTCCTAAAATACGAAAAATCATCCATTCGTCATTAATCTTCCAACAACTTCTGTGCTGTCAATTTCCTTATCTTAAGAATGTTGATTGGTTCAAAGAGATTTTTTTAAAAAAAAAATTCATATCGAGTATCGAGCCTTAATAAATAAAAAAGTTAAAGATTAATTGTCTTTTAAAGAATATTGTATATCGTTATTACTTTTGCATTAATTAAGGATTTTAACGTGTTTAAACAGAAATATAAGCCGGAACTGTCGGAAAATGATTAAGAACTAATTAAACACATTCAACGTATTCGTATAATAAATGATTTTAGCCTCAATCTTTGTAATTTTTTTCTGGATTAAATGAAAAAGGTTAAAAGATGGGTGAAGTTGGATTTCTAGGCACCAGAAAATGTTGATATACTAATGACATATGCTTTGCTTCCTCTCCCCCATTAGTTTGTGTACAATTGTGAACAAAAGAAAATGATTTTGTTAGCTGATCACGTTTCACAAACCGACTTTATTGACTTTGAAAATGAGGGTGCTAACTTGGTAATCTTCAAGATCTTCCCTTTTCGGTATCGTTCAAACAAAGTCAGTTTAAGATGGACAAAAGAGATAAAAATGAAGTATTATACAAAGCAACTGACATCTAATTTAAACTTTATTAAAATTCCGCTGCTTTTTAGAAGGGCTTATCTTTTTTCTTCTTCTTTTTTTTCTCTCTCTTTCTACCCCTCCCTCTATCCCTCCCTCTTTCCCTCCCTCCTATAATTCGCAAACGGCTTTGCTTAGCTTTCTGGGCAACCAGTCAACGAGCGGAAATAAATGAATCGAAAAATTTGATGCTTGAAGCACACAGTCGTGGTTCTCTTGGCAATTTTTTTTTCTCTAGACAGGAAATTCTATCAAGATCTTCTGTCGAATGTTTCTCCCACTTTACTGGAATAATCTTATCTTAGGACAATAAAGAAGCTCAACTATAATAAGAGATAACATACTTTGTCTCTCCACTTTTTATACATATGTATAAATATACTTTGTGTGTACGTACGTATGCGTGTGTGCGTGCGTGTGTACGAATGTATGTATAAACATCTTGTGTCCCATTCATTCATTCATTCATATCCTTATTTTCTTTCTTTCTCTCTCTTTTTTTTTCTTTCTTTCTTTCTTTCTCCCTCTATCTCTTTATGCTCTTTTTTTGGAAATTTTTTATGTTTAAATATTTTATGACCCAAAAAAGTAACTGGAAATATGAAAATCTTATATATTTAGGCCTACTTTAGCACCCCTGAACAAATTTAAAAGAGGTCAGCAGAGATTTTATGTGTCAAAGAATCTATAAAAGGAAAATATTAAGAAAATATTTACAAAATAAAAAGTAAATGAAAGAAATATTTTATAGCTTAAAGATACGTAACAGAAAATGACAGAATTCGAATAGGGAAAGAAAGAGCGAGAGAGAGAGAGGGAGGAAGGAGGGAGGAAGAGAGGGTGGGAGAGAGGGTGTGCGTATACGTGTGCGTAAAGAAAAAAAATGAAAAAGAAGGGTTAAGAGAAAGAAAATTGCTTATAAAATTTGTAAGGTTGTAAACAATATATATACAGTATATTAGATATATATAATACATTCTATATAAATATACTTGTTCTCTTTATTAAAAGAAACTGTAACAGTTAAACGAGGTGCTTTATTTAAATAGAAATATATTTAAATATTTAGTTAATGATAAAAAGTTAACTAGAAAAATAAAACAAAATTACTATCTTCCCTCGATCAATCTCGCTCTCCCTCCCTCTCTCTCTCTCTCTCTCTACGAAACATATTTAAGCCTATTAGTTAGTTATTGGGGTTACCAGGATATTTGAAAATGTACTGAGGAAATGTTTTTAGCCTATATTGGACTACCGGCTCAACCTACAGAGTTTTTTTACACAATTTTAATTAAAACCAATACAGCAGAGATCATGGATTACAAGAATGAAGAGCATATCACAACTCTAATCTTGTTTAAATCATTCGTCGGCCAAGTCAGCAAACTTATAGGATTACGTAATAAATCGTTCGAATGAGAGCATAGAAGATGCAGTGTATAAAATGCCACTCGTTAGAAATTGTTATTAGTTCTTTTACAAGGGTATTTTATAGAAATCATAGTCCTATAGATTTCCGGTTTCTTGCTATCCCGTACTTATAAAATCTTTTCAGACCTCTTCATATCATCGAAAACTTTTGCCCTGCACTTATAGGTTTCCCTTAAATAATCTCTAGACCCTTAACACGGTTATAGGCTATAGGCCTATAATTATGACCATTGAATAAAGTCGTTCGAAACAGGGCGATTTCAATGCAGGTATAAAATATCCGTACAAAAGACTCTTTAGTAAAGGCCTTCGAACACCGACGCTTTTTCTCAACAACCGCAAAATTATTGCTATGTTAATATTTACGTTCAGATAAGAATATAGCAATAGAGTTTTGACAGATAAGAAACTATTACGTAATTATAGAAAGACCAATAGAAGCTTATTGAAGTTTATACTCACTTGAGACAGCGGCGTCGGTTCTTTCCATGTTATTTAATGTTATTCTTACCAAACTTGAGTTAAGAAATAAATCTCCATTCTTTTCATATTTCAACAAAAAGATCCTAGTATCGCGTGGATAAACCATGTTGTCGCAAATCTTTGGATTGCCGAGCCCCTTTATCCTTATGTACCTTCCTTCTCCCGTCTTGTAAATCTTTTTTCTTCGATCATGAACATTGTTTAGGTAATGACTTCCCTTAAAGATGCCCTTAATTACAACAGTGGCCACGAGGTGGCGTTCAATCCGACGGACTCTTCGGACAGTGGCGGCGAGAACAACGTCGGCATACTCCTCTCTCTCTTCTAAAGTCTTCTCCAGGCATCGGCTTTTGGACCAATAGTGCCGTCGTTGCCTCCGGCTTTGAGTAACAATAGCTAAGGCGAGAAGGAGAAAGATGATGCATGCTACTTTCATCTTGCCTTCTTTTCTTCTTTCATGTATGATTTTTCCTAAGAGCGTGCGTCCCGGCCGCTCTCCAGTCGATAATAATACGGATATTGTTCTGTCAGTTTGAGTGCCGCCACCTAGTGAAAATTTTTTTTTTAAGGCGGGGGGGGGGGAAAAGCGCCGGGAAAGCGATAGAAGGGAAAGGAGAAGGGCACCTGTTGGTCGTATTTAAATTATTAATGCCTTTCGAAATTTTTTTTGTTAGTTTCTTGTATGAAAAGGGGTTGAACACGTCATTCAATACATTTGAACATATATGCAATAAATACAATGCTTCATATTGTTATAAAGGCATTTTTTTATCATGTTTACATATTCTTCTGCATTATTTATTTATTAAATTTACATAGATTTTTAAGCGTCTAATTCTGTCTATCGATAAGGATTAGAGATAAGGATAGTACTATACTACTGTATATATATACTATATATAATTGAATTTTGACTATAAATTAATAAAATGTATTAAATAAAAGAAAGGATTTGAAAAAAAAATTAACCTATAAATAGGCCTAATAAACTCTCTAATATCTCTTAGACATGATAATAATTCGTACAAGTGCTTTTGAGTGGAAAAATTTAGTGAGAATTGTAAAAGAAACCACAGTATTTCAATTTTTGAAGGCCTATTAATCTATTCTAATATATTATATAAATACAAAATACCATAAAAATTTGGATGAAAGAGAGTGTCAAAATATTCATAAGTTATAAAAAAGAAAAAGAGTTGCCAAATGGCATAAATTGATAGATTTTAAAACGTTTTTATTGATTAAAAGTAATAAATAATAATGCATATAAACGGAAAAGGGAAAAATGTCTATGTAATTGGCTATTTAAACGTCCCAAAAAAGAAAAGAAATCGATAATTGTCAATTTTTCAAAAGTAATAAATTGCTTTTTAAAAAAAAAAGTATTCTTTTTTTCACTTTTCTCCAATTTTTCATTCATTTTCTCAGCCTTTTCTTAGTTTTCTTTTTTTGGTTTCTATCTTTCTCATGGATTCTATTTATAATATAAGATATAACTGTAAACATATTATATAATTAAAAAAAAATCTACTCTGTGTATATATATGTTTGAATAAGAATATTTCTTGTTGTTAGGCAAAATATATTAGTTGATAAAGATTGTCCCTAAAGTTTAACACTATAGTGAGAATTTCCTTTATTTTTGTATTATTTATTTTGTCACATTCAATCTTCTTTCTTCTTAGTTTTTGCGGATCAAAAATCTTGAATGATCGAAATTGAGTTGGAAAAATATTTAGAATTAATTTTCTGCATGGAATAACCTTAACTTGACAAGTGACTCTTGAAGGTAATTTGAGAAGAACGCCAGGTGTTTGAATAGGTCAACTTGACTTTCTATATTGAACGTTTAAGGGCCTGTGATCACTTTATTTACAGTAGAGACATCTGTCGACGATTTAATAAACAATTGAAAAATTATTTATATACATAAGTAAATTTTCTAACTCGAATGCTTACCATGATTTTAATTGGTTAAACGACTTTTACCTTAATATCTTATTAATACTTGTTCAAGTATTTGTAAACTTATTAAGCCTAAGCATATTTAAAATACTTATTAGCATATTTAAATGCGTAATATATTAAGACTAATTGTTTATAAAGAAATAGCTGGCTGTTTGTATTATATAAAGGAAATCATGAGAGCAAGAGAGTGATGAGAGTATAATTAAAGTCCAAGTATAAATATCTAATATACAGTATATATATATTTTCGCATATATAAAGTGAAGCCAGGCAAACGAATGGGGGAAATATTTCCATTTCCTCTTTTTGTTGTTGAAATTTTACTCTCTTCTACTCTTTCTTTCATCCAATACAATGTTGAATGATGACACATCTAAATAGTTCAATTTAATATTGCAGGCAAAAAAAAACACATACAGTGTGTTTTTTTTTGAGGAGGCGAGGGGAGGATGCGGGTTATCAAAACAAAATAAAAGAGAATGATAAATAAAACACTGTTAGTAAATTAAAAAAAAAACGTAAAAAAACCCCGTCTACATATAAATAATCGTTATGAATATTCATTAGTTAATAAATAGTCAAGTTTTTTTTTCTTTAATTCTATTTATAGTAAAATAATTTTGTTTATTGTTTCTCTGTTTATAGTTAAAGTGTTGAATTAAAAAGAATTAACATTATTTCCCTTTTTCCATTTGCATAGATTAGATTAAAAATATGACAAATATAAATTTCAATATATCAATATACATACAGTGTACATGCATATAAATTTATGTATCTTGTCAGCAATTACACATTTATACATTCAATAGAGGTCTCAAGGAGAAAGTGATGGCTAGATTTGATAGATTAGTAAATAGATAGATAGATAGAGAGAGAGAAAGAGAGAGAGAGAGAGAGAGAAAGAGGAAGGGAGGTAGGGAGGAGAAGGGAGAGAGTGAGAGACAAAAGATTTTGTTTCTTAAGCACAGTACGTTATTAGTATCACAGCTTTACATTATACAGTATATACATATTTTTTAAAATCTATTCACATATAAACGCATATATACATATTGTATATACTCAGTATATGATATAGACAAAAACTGCTTTAAAATATTTCGTAACAAACAAATACAAACAAACAAAATAAAACAAATAAACAAACAATTATAAACAAGATAGGGGAAAATATTTCTCAATAATGATGGCAAATATATCGTATTTAAAAGGAAAGCATATAAAATCAGAATGTAAAATATATAGAATTATTACAAATAATAGTGATTTTCTGCATTTCTAATAGGAATAAAATATATATATATATATATAATAATATATTTCAAATGTAGAGATGATTGTAAAGCTTCTATTCTTTTTTTCTATCTTTTTTCCTCCATTAAGATGGATTCTTTCTTATAGATTTTTACATTTCGGGAAGAACGTTAACATTTATTCTCGAAGTAAAATCTTGTTTAATCAATTTATCAATAGAGCATAATTGATTGTGGTCGTAGACGTCTTGACCGTCTAAAGTATTAGATTGGAATCCGCAAGCTGTACATTTATACTTTCTTATAAAATGTCCTCTCATTAGATGATGTTCTAGTAAATTTAATGATTGAGTAACCATTTTATCAGAAGCTATAATGCATAAACAGCATCTTGTACATTTCATGAGTACCTTCGGAGAATCGCATTTAATTTCATTTAATTTTAATTTAGTTAATTGTTTTAACCTTCCGACGCCCAAATCTTGAATTAGTTCGTCGTTGTTATTGTTAGTCGTTTTATATCTGTGCGAGTGCATAGCGTGCTCAACAACTTCTTCTCTATTTTCCCAAGCTGCTCCACACTTTGCACAAGCGTAAGGTCTTGGTAAATGAAGTTCTGTTACGTGCCTAGTAGCTAGTCCTATTAAAGAATTTGTAGTAGTTGAAGAAGATGCTATAAGGAAACCGCAATCATCGCATTCGAATATACAACCCAAATTTTCTAATTCTAAAAGATTATTTGTTGAAATTTCGTTCAGTTCGTTTCTTTTTCTCTTTCTTTTCTTGTTCTCTTTTGGGTGAATTTCATCTTTTGATATCTTCTTACTTTGCATTGTTAATGCGGGAATTCTCGCTAAAATTGAGCAGGATTTAATATCAACAACAGATGTTAGTTTCACCGCCTCTGTTGGATCACCTCCGAAATGATGCGATGAAAGAATATGCTTCCATAACTCTTGCGGCATCTGCTCAAAACCGGATCGACTTGGATCAAAGTGATTTGTGGATAAAATTACAAAGCAGCATCTCTTACATGAATGCATCGAATTATAATCATTGATTTTAATTAGCTTTTTGTGATCTCCAGCAACTATTACAGTTTTATGATGACATTTCTTGCTATTTTCAAAATGTTTGCTAACTTCCGTTGCAGTAGCAGAATTAAAATCGCATGACATACACTGAAACTGGTTAATACCATGACTCTTTTGTAAATGATCCTTAAAAATTTGAAGCATATCGACGCTTTTAGATATTATAACCAGGGAACACTTAGGACAACATTTGACCAATTGAGGCGATTCTAATTGATTAATTAATCGATAGGCAGAATCGTGTTGATTATTGACTTTGCTTCTTCCATTAAGTGACACTGTAGTCGAATTGAAAGAGTCCATTAAAAATGTATTATGGTCAACTTTTAAATGCTTTTGAAGTTCATCCTTCCTTCTGAATTCCATATGGCATAACTCACAAAGGCAATAACAAGGTCCGTGTCTAGCTAATTGATGGGATCTAACATCATTAACACTATCTTGTTGATAAGAGCAGAATCTACAAGAATATTGTTTCATGACGTGCTCAGCGGATAAATGCCCTGCTATTTCCTTGTATTCATATCCTTTCTGGCATAGATTACAAATAGCCTCTTCCCTAACAACCGATAGACAAGGAGCTAATGGTGTTGGACATTCTATTATCATCTCCTTACAGTAGAATTTACGTATTTCTTGGCTGTATAGAAAGTTATTTTGCATATAAAAAACAGAAAGCATAGAGAAAACATTAAGGTAAAAGAATGTTAATAAATTACAAACTTTTTGGATTGATCTCCTGATTTGTCTGTTTCAATATCCTCTTCCACATCAGAATGATTATCAGTAATATCCTTCGAGAGTACTTTACGTATATAATGCGTAAGATCGTATTTAACCCATCTAGCTTTAGGTCCGGCGGGACAAACAACCTCATGTTCTTTAATTGTCGCTCCAGTTAATTTTGTTACCGGCAAGTGGCATTCACTGCAGCGAAATCTTTTTTTATGGTGATCTCTTTCAATATGACCTGCCAATTGGTCAATAGCCAAGTTTATCAGTTGGTCTTCATTACCTCTTCTCATCCAACAAACACTCAAGTCGCAGAGTTTACAGTAGAGTTGCTCGCATTCCGCAAGTATTTCACTTTTAACAAAACTGTTGCTAACACACGTAATAAATTCAGGATAGTTATCGATAACAGCCTCTTTAATAGGTGAATTTATAATGCTTTTTATAGCTTGTACATGCCCCAAAACGTGATTACTGAAATCGTCGTATGTCTGATAGATGTCATCACATTTGCTGGTAAATGGGCAAATATTTCTTTGTCTTTTTAAATGATTCATTATTAAGTGATGAATAATCATTTCTTTCTTTTCGTTGCTTTCGTTACATAACGCGCATGAAAAATTCATAAGCTTATGAACATCCTGTAGGTGGCGCGTTAATATAGCAATTAGATGGGTTTGATTCGTGGCTGATGCTGAATAACCACAAAGATCACACCTATATACAGATTGACCAATTAGAGATGAATTTTCGCAATAATCTTTCATTAACGAACTGCCAAGTTCATTTTCATTCGCTATATTCTTTTTAACAGTTTTCCTCCTATCTACCGCTGCTTTTTTTAATCTTTTCATCCATTCTTCTTCTGTTAATCCATCAACTTTATAAATTTCTTCATGCTCAACTTTAAAACGCATCTTTTCCTCTGGTCGAAATTGTCTTGGCCTTTTTTGTTTTCTCCTATTTCTCTCCGTCGTCTCTTCTTCGCTCATAATGAACGGCTCAGCGCTAGCTGCTCTTTGCAACCTTCCTGTTCCCGGAACACTTACGTCGTAATGTTGTATTGAACCTGATAAATCAATCCATTCAGCACAGGCTGCTCCTTTACCATGAGTACAAAGCGACCGTCTTCTTGAGGAGGGTGAACACAATCTTTTATGTTCCTCAGCTAATCTCGTATTTAATTCTCTAACTCTTAGACCGCATCTACAGCACATTAATTGTAATCTTCGATGGACTGTCGAATGGTGCTCCTTGAGAATTTGATGAACAATTTCAGTTGCCTTGAATTGATCCGTTTCGTCGTCAGACGGCGCTATAACTAACATGAGATCGCAATGCTTGCAGGCAGCTGTTATACATCTGAAAAAATATAAATTCAGTTACTTCATAGATAATAAAATCAAATTATTGAAGTATTTTTTAACTTTCAAGTACCGTTTATTCACGTCGTTTGAAAAACAATGATTTGGCCGTACGGTGACACTACTTGCATAATTGTCGATCCAAAATTCATTTAGTTCAGCAGTAACGTCGTAAACATTAAATCTATACAATAAAAAAGGTTAAAATATGTATAATAATTAATATTTATAATATCGAGTTACCTCTGTCCGTCATGTGGCCAACTATGCATAATTACGTGATCCATAACTTGTGCCCTTTCAATGAACTTTGCGCCGCAAACTGGAAAACGGCAATGGAATGTTCTCTGGCGTTCAAAATTATGATTTGACAATAAATGATCATTTATTGCGGAACGTCCATCATTGGTAACAAATTCGCAAAGTTTACAAGAATAATTTGGAACTTGATGTATACTATGTAAATGTCGAGTTAAAATTGAAGTAAGAACGGTACCCATTGCAGTACCACTAACGCCAAAACCGCAAAATAAACAATAGTGTATTTCCTGTGTTGAATTTCTGTGGTAATAAATGATATAAGACTTAATAAGACAATAATAAAAGAATTAAGTCATAAATTAAAAAAGCAATTGTTAAATCAACGATTAATAAGAATCGTACAAAATTTTAATTGTATATATTTCTATAGATAACTATAGAATATAAATTATTCACATTGTTTCAGCTGAATACAATAGAAACAATTCCTCTTTATGCTTTTTCCACGACATTATGTATTTTCTAAAATATCTCTACATGATATAGCTTCTTTTCTTTTATAACACTTATATAGATACATTCGTACACGTGTACACGGCAGGCATGTACTTATATAAAACAATACAGTATATACATTTTGTATACATCTATATATAGTTGATATTACGAAGTGTGTGTCTTTCAGTCTTATTAATTATTAAATGATAACTTCAAATATATCAGGTAAACACAAAAGAAAAGCACTAAATGTACTTGAATACCTTGATAAATTTTTTTTATTTCCTCTTACTCTATCATTTTCTATCTTTTCTATCCTCTCCTTCTCCTGCCCCCTCCCCCTCCCTTTCTCTCTCTCTCTCTCTCTCTCTCTCTCTCTCTCTCTCTCTCTCTCTAGTTTGCTATTAGAGTAAAGGCCGTGAATAAAGCCTCTTTTTTGGTGGATTGGCTATCGAAACAAATGTCTTTACTTTAGCTTTTTCTAGCTCAGTCATCATCTATTATCTAAAGAACAAAACAACGTACTTTTCAAAGAACTTCAAGAGTACATTCGTTAATTCTGGGCTGACATTCTTCCATTTGCAGTCTTCCATTTCCGACTTGGACTTGATTCCAACAGCTTTCTTTAATAAGGACAAAGGTAAATCAGAACCTCTGACTGGGCCGGATATAGAATGCCTTTTCAAATCGTTAGGTAAAGCAGATTTTTCAACATTATTGTTCGTCTCCTCTGCTGCTAAGGCGTTGAAAAAAAGAAAAAAAAATAAACTGATAAACACTCATAAGAATTAGATTCCCCTATTATTTGATTTTTGTTGAGTTTGGATGGTATAAAAAACTAACTATACTATACTATATAAATATAAAAGTGGAAGTAAAATAAGAAAGAATTTTTACCATTATGCAGCAATCCGTCCTGTTCTTTCATCTTTAGTTTCTGAATAAAATAAAGAGACGAAGCGTCTTCCACAGGAGAATGTTTCTGTTAGGAATAAAAAGAAAAGAAGTTTTAAATGTATCTATAAAAGATAGACCCTTTTACTATTAACAACGTTCTATATTCACAGTAAAGGAGTAAGGCAAAGAAGTTTGGTTGTATAAATATAAATCCGAGTTTTCATCAGATTTATAAAAGAAAAATGAAATTAATTACGCATTCTTTTACTTAATAGCTTTTTTTAAGAAAAAAGAAAGTATATATATAGATAAAATGAACTTACAGGTAGATAAAACGAAGAAAACATAGCATTTAAAGATCTGTACATATATATATATATGTATAAATGTTCTAAGAGAATACAAAGTAAGATGGAGAAAAGGAGTTTTTTTTAAATACTGAAGATACAGAAATAAAACATTATCTTTTAACACAGAACTTACCGAACTTATATGTAATTGTACAATGGTTTTTAGTTCGTCAGCAGTTTCTTCTTGTCTGTTGCATGATGATATAAATATGTTTATATATATATATATATATATATATATATAATAAAGTACAATTTGTAATATCAATAGCCTTTATATAGTTTTTATTCTCTTTTGATTAAAATAAAAATTAAAAGAAGCTTACGTCCAAAAGTTAATATTGCACAGTTTACAATGTCCTTTGTAAAACTCCATTAGGGCGTCGTCAGATGGCACTGAGTTTATAAATGTAATGTCTTCTCTACTGGAATACGACTGCAAAATTGTTTTATAGCCTTCTGTTACATTTCCTTGACAATCATGCTGGCCCTTAAATAGTTTTCCGCAAGTGCATTCAAAAGCATGATTTGGCATATTATGCTCATTCATTACATGCCTGAGAATTTCGTTGAATTCATTGGTCTGTTCATTGCAGAATTTACAATTGTATTTAAAAAGGCAGTGCTCTTCTTTATGGTGGTTTATTAAACTTATCAATTCGGCTAAATCAGGACCATCAACAATTAGAGAACATTCCGAGCATAAAGAAGAGTGTCTGGAGGATGGTTGAAAATATTGCAGCAATGTCTTTTTCGAGTCATTACTATTTTTCAGTTTCTTCTGTTCTGACTCTATCTCCGCGTCGTTTAGACGTTTTCTGTTCATTTTTCCATCTGTTATAACTAATAAAGAATAGTCAGATAACTATAAAGAAAACATAAAGGATTTTATAAAATGATATATATCTTTCTAATTCAAAAAACAATACAACTTTACTACAACATTTCAATTATTTTTAGAGAACGAAACTACTATTAATCAATGTAAAAAGCGAATCAGCAGTATTTAAGTCTTCATAAGAGTATCATTAAGAGTTTAGAGCACTTTAGTTGATATTGAAGTTGTTATTAATAGGAAACATAATGCTGTACCATTTTATAAGAGAAAAAAGGACAAAATATGAAGATAATGATAAAATTATTATGAAAAAATAATTGGGATTTTAACGCGTAAATGCCTTATTTCGTATTACCTTCTTTATCAATATATTTTTGAATTATCCATTATAGAATATTAGTTACTTCTTTTTCTAATTAAAATACCCTAATTAACGAAAAACAGAGAGATCAGAGAGATCAGAGAGAGTGAGAGAGAAAGAGAGAGAGAGAGAGAGAGAGAACAGATAGTGAATGAAAGGGTGAGATAAAGATGGAGAGGGAGCTCTTGCTTAGAAACGCCACAGGTAGCTTTTTTTAGTCAGGCGTCACGTGAGAAATTAAATTGTCGAATTCTTACAGGAATATTGTTAATTGAATAAAATATCAAACGACTTAATTAAACTTAAAAGCTCGATAATAAAGGCGATATACGCATGTCTTGAACCCTACACAGCTGTTTAAATTGAAGTATTGTATGAAAAAAAATAGGTAAGTAAAGCAAGGTCACCCTTCCTACAATGTTTCTCACCTCAGTCCATTATATTAAATATACAATATATAGAACATAGGCTAAAAACAAATGGGCAGATAAAAGGGAAAAATAACGGGGGGAAGAGAAAATGAAACAATTCAGACGAGTTAGAGTCGTAGCTCCATATTATAAACTTTTAATAAAGTTTAACCTTCAAAGTCAATGATAACTAAACAATGATTAAGCCTTTCCATAATTATTCCGGATTAATTATTAATAAAATATATAGTAGAAAACACCCAGAAACTTTTGACCTGGAATAATCTTATAAAAGAAAAAGTCAATATTAGAGACAAAAGAGTGTATGAAAGAGAGAGAGATGAGGTATATACAGTATATATATTATTGAAAGATGGAGAGAAAAGAGGAAAGAGAACATTGGGAAAAAAGAAGAGAAGGAAACATATTAACATATATTTTTTATTTTCTTTGGTGTTACTTTTCTTATAAAGTATTTTAATTTTTAAAAGTAAACAGTGAGAAAGAAACTGTTCCTAATTAATAAGAAAAAATATAACATGTCTAGAGAGGAACATGAGATACAAAAGATTTTTTCATTTGAATTGCTATACTACCTAAAAGATGGAAAAGGTAATAATTTAAATCTAATTTTAGAGCATATAGATGCAAGTATACAAATATATATATATATATATATATATATATATATATATATATAATATACTGTATATATATCAAATTACTCTAAAAACAATATATATATATTATTAGCATATTCTAAAGCTATAAATAACTGATGGAGAAGAGTTAGAGTGAGAGAGAGGGCAATGGAGAAGGTAAGAGTTTTCTTATGAGAAGGATATTTCTTCTTTTTTTTGGGGAAACTCTTTCCTTTTACAATGTCAAATGCATAATTCTTTTCTTTTTCTTTCATTATTTCTCCTTATATATCTCTCATCCCTCTCGTGTCCTCTCTTTCTCTTTCTCTCTCTCTCTCTCTCTCTCTCTCTCTCTCTCTCTTTCTCACTATTATTCCTATTCTTTCTTATATTATTGGGAAATTATTGACAAAACGTCTGTGACTGTTTAGAAATCTTTCGTTTATCTTTATCAATAATGTTTAATTATTGCGTAAATGTGATTTATAACTTAAAGCATTGAATATGCATCTTCAGTCGTCATCATGATTAACTAATCAGTCCCTTATTCATGTTTCTCTGCCTTTCATTATTCAATTCCCTCTTAAAATTGCCTGGTTCATTGTTGTTTCAACAATCTAGGCTTAATCGGTTGCTCAGCAACTGACCTACTTATCAAAGGCGTCATACAGCCGATGACGTCAATCGTTAAATATAGCAAAAATGAGCTTTGTAACATAAAATCGTTATACAGAATGTTGATTTTTACAGCTTCTTAATATCATATCAACATTGCCATTTGTTCAATTTGTATTAAAACTTGAACGTTCAAAAAAATCCGAAAATGTCGTAAAAAGTTAAAATTGATTAACAAACATACCTAATTCAAGAATTCCAATATTTTACTCATGATTTCGTAGCTTTTATCACCGAAATCGAAAACAATGATGTCAGACTGAACGGCTGTACAGATCACGCCATAGTTCTATGACGTCATGAAAACACACGCATACTAATCACAAATTGTTGGCGATCCGCCAACTTTCTCTTCCTGATGTAAAAGATGGATTCGTTATGAATTTTTGACTTTACTAGTTAATTGCTTTCAATAGATGAACATAGCTATAATTATCCGTTAAGTTTTTAAAATTCTGTTAAAGCGACATCTATCGTGTCTTGTAAAACGTAAATTTTTCGCTGCACCACAAATTCATCACGCTGTAGTATCAATTGGCACATTTTTGAAAATCGTTGTACACATTAGACAAATAAAGGTATCAAATCAAAATGCTGCGGATGAGCTTCCAATAAACAATTCTAAATGGATAAATCTTTAATTTTCGATTATAATAGTGGTTTTTCACAGAAAATGAGATATTAAACTATATCATTCATAAATTTCATTAATATCAATTAATCAGTTAAAACTTGTAGTAATAGACAAAAAACAAAACAATATAAAATATTAATGATAGTAGGCAATAAACTAAAACGTATTATATTGAGAAATATAATAATTTCTGTTACATTTAAAATTTGTCTTAAATTAAACGCCAGGTTTGAATGAACCAAAGAATAAACATACATTATCAATTGTAATTTTTATCAATATTGACCTAAACTCTCTTTAATTACATAATAGTTCTATATATTAGAGTACTATGGACTTTTAACAAACAGTCAAGTAGTTAGTTATACTACTATCATTCGATAATCTTTAAACTTAACTGAGTTAAAATCGCTGTTCTTGACTCGTTTCTTAGTAATCTCTGTAAACAATCAGCTATAAATTTCATCCAAACAGTACATTTTCCTATCTATAAGCTCAGTTTCAGTAAGATATTATATTATATACATTCTATATAGGTTGAATAACCCAATGCTTAAAGATATACAAATTATCAATTAGCAACTGAGAATACAACATAATAAACTTAATAGCTTGATGAAGAATAAAGGAACTTTTTATAAATTTATTCCAATTAATTAATACATTAATAACTTTAAAGAATTAATTAATGCATCTAAGGGGAAAGCTTTAAAACAGCTTGGTAATTAGGCCTCATAGAGTCATTTAAATATATGCATTTAAGAATAGCATACGCCCTAATATCAATGATTTTCATAATAATCAATGAAATTGTAAAATTAGGTATTAAAATATTTAAGCAAGTTAAATTTGGTACTTTATAGTATCTTAGCATTATCAAAGAAAACTTAATTTAAGGATAATAAAATATGCTGCCCTGCTTCACTGCTTTCTCCGCCCATCTCAATCTCTCCTCTGTCTCCAGCAGTAACGCATGCGTACTAGAACAAACAAACTTGCCATTGAAAGCTAAAATCTTACGGAATAAACTAGTAAATAAAGGTGAAAAATATTTTTATTATTATGTATCTCTCTCGTAGCTTTAATATTTTTAATTAGTTAGTAGTTACACTTTATGCTTAAAGGAAGTTTTCTTATTTTTTTGGTTTTAGATTGACATAGTTTTGGCAAAATGTCTCTTAAAGTATCTTTCAAAAACTCTTTAAAATTGAGCTCTGCGGTTGTTGAACCAGAGTTAGATATGCATAGTATTGTAAAGGATCAAGGAGGTAAAACTAAACAAATTTTTAGGATGCTAATGGTACTGTTTGCACCTGTTACTGTCCTCCTTATAATGTGCGGATTACAATTGAAGGCCAGTGTAAATCAAAAGAGAGAGATTTCATCAGGTTTTAGCAAAATGAAAGATGCTCTTCTAGCTGCCAAATTCGCTGTTAACTGTAGAGAAGAAGGATTACTGGCCGGTATATTATTAAGTGAATTTCATTCAGAGAGATCGTCTTTCTACTCTATATTTAATAACTACACTGAAAAGACAGATGGAGCTTTAAATGAATTTTATAATTATGGTTTACTTAGAGTGGAAGCAGATACAATTTTAGCTACTTTATCAGAAATTAAAGATCATTTAAAGCAAATGAGATCTCACATAAAAGACTTTGGGGATTCGGGACCGGAAAATAGCAACTTTGAAAAGGTTTTGACTCTGTATTATACATTTCATAAAAGCATTATGGACAGTGGGGCTTTTCATCTGGTGTTGCCTTCAAAAGAGGACATTTGGAGCAAAATGGTTGCTTTTATGGCTCTTGAAAGAGCAGCATCAGCTATTCAATTAAAGATGTCTCTTGGATTTACGTATTTTCTACCCTGTTCAATAGAAATGATGCGAAAACATTGGTACATATCGGAATCAGCTACTGGAGAGACTTACCTAAATTTAGCTAGTGTCTCATACGAGGTTAGATCATACCGCTAATCTTTCAGAAAATATCTTGTATTCATTTTTCGCCATTAATTATTTTTTTTTATATATTTGAATAGGAAGTGTCGATATTATTAAAAACTTTACCAATGGAGGCTAGAGAATCAATAATGAAAATGTCAATGGCAGTAGAGCATAGTCATCATTTGGAAATGTGCAAAATGTCATCTATAAATATGAGAGAAATGAACCGAAAATATTGGTCTGATATTTAAATAGCATTTAAACATAATAAATCAGTAAATAAACAATGCTATTGAAAATAGGTATTCCAACATGTCCATATTTATTTCAAATATCGATCTAACAAGGCAAAAAGTAGGCGATGCTATTCTAGGATCACTAGAAATACTGGATGAAGAAGCTTCTAATTCGTTAAAACTTAATATAGGAATAATGATTGCAGTTACGACAGCTTGTGTTATTCTATCCTTATGGTTTGTATTTGGAAAATGCAATCAGACACACAAAATCTCATTTTAATCAATTGAACTCTTATAGGTACGTCTCCTGCGTTAGCTCTATGACAACTAAGGTGGTACGATACGCCCTTCACGTTTCAAAGAAAACTCACGAAGTCGAGGAGGAGAAGAATAGAGCCGATAAATTATTGTATCAAATGTTACCAAAGTCTGTTGCTGAACTTTTAAAGCAGCAAAGAAAAGTACACGCTGAATTTTACGATTGCGTTAGCATTTATTTCAGCGATATTGTCTCATTTACAACTTTAAGCGCTAAAAGTTCACCAAATGAAATTATTGATCTATTAAATTCATTGTACGGCTTATTCGATTCTTGCATCGATTCGTTCAATGTCTATAAAGTTGAAACAATTGGTGATGCTTATATGGTCGTTAGTGGAATACCAAAAAAAATTGAGCATCACGCAGTAGAAATTGCAAATATGGCTTTAAAACTATTAAAGTCTGTAGAAAATTTCTCAATTCCTCATTTGCCTGATGAAACTCTAAAACTAAGAATTGGATTACATAGTGGACCATGTGCAGCAGGGGTATAACTTAATATTTTTATACACATATCGTTTACGTCCAATTTTATGAATATTTATGAATGTAAATTATGTTTTTTTGCAAGGTTGTTGGAAACAAGATGCCTAGATACTGTCTGTAAGCAAATTCAATTTAAACATTAGACCTCAAATTAAAATATATAATGTGATTCTTTTTTTAGATTTGGTGATACTGTAAATACAGCATCAAGAATGGAAAGTAGCGGGGAACCGTTGAAGGTTCATATTAGCCAGTCGACTTATAGCCTTTTAAGGCCTACTGGAAATTTCCAAATGGTCTATAGAGGACTTATCCCAATTAAGGTAACTTTTAGTTTTTGTTTAGCCTAAAATCACCTAACTGGACTTTCGAACAATAGCTTTCGTTTATTATTACATTCTTTCTGCCAACATTAATCAATCTATCTGTATAAGTATTTAGTTAAGTATAATATGGAAATTCTCTCTTCATTGAGTCCATTAGTAGACTATTTTATAATGAATCACTAGTAGAAGTTCATTAGTACAACAATTGCTTCTCATATTTAAATTCCCAAAAAAGAGATCTTACTTGAGTATCTTTGCATTGTACTTTAAGGTATTATACGATTTTCTTCTTTTTTCGATTAACAAAACCAAAGAAACTTATAACTAATACAAGTTCATTTGTTCCTTCGGATTCCGTTTCCAAGACATTCTATATATATTAGTATATTTTATCCATCTATCCCTTTATTTCCTTTACCTTTTTTTCCCTCTAACACATCTTTTATTAACAATTCACTAAATGAATTCTTTCTTACACTATTCTAATATCGCTTTCAGGGTAAAGGAGATATGAAAACCTATTGGCTTCATGAGAAAACTGCTTGACATAGATTAGCTAAATGGCTTTAATTTTTAAATTTTCTTTTTTTTGAAGATATACTAAACAAAGGACTCTTTTTATTAGCTTCGCTAGTTACAATAAGGTTTAAGTGTTTCTTTGTGTAGTTTAAGTAAATTAAAAACTTCATATTTTGATAAAAAAGTTGATAACAGAAAACCTTAACATTTATTTATTTTAAGTATTTTTATATCCTTTATTAACTTTTTTTTGTAGTTTTATTAAAATTTTAAAGGAAATTTTGATGCTTTTTGAACTTTTATGCTAAAGTTTGGTGTCCAGCTCCATCTAGTAGAATTTAATACACTGTTGTGTTTCGGTAAAACTGAACAAGAGATGGCGTATGTATCGTATTCTTTCGAAATGTAGGCGTATCCACTGCCCGATTGCGCTTCTGTTGATCTTATGTATAAATCTTCCTCCGATTCAATTAACTTTTGAACATTTCCACTAAATAACTGCCTCCAAACACCATTTTTAGTAGATACGTAAACAAATAGGACAGCATCCATAGGGTACTGGTTCTCGTTTATGTCAACTGATCCTCCCTCGTTAAGTAAGGCTGAAGCAACAACCTTGTTTTCATCTTTTGAAACAACCACGTATGCAACATCCGTTGTAGGGCAATTGTAGGCTAAAACCGAAAAAAATTTAATACATTCCTTCTGTCTATTAGTAAAAGATTATCTCCTAAACCAATTCATTTGGACGAATTGTAGAACCTCCTTCTTAAATATAGTTATTTAATTGATTATTTTGTTGAGTAGTTTATAAGGAGCTAGATATGTTAAATAAGTTTTTAAAGGAAATAAGATCCTTATAAGGAAACAGGTTCGTTGCATTCTAATTCATCTTTCTTATTGAAAGACTATACTATCAATTTTAGAGCAATTTTGTAAATTATATGTTATCAAGCTGTTTCGATTTCTTTTAATCTTTAAACGAAAAAATTCGTCCTTTTACATTATACGAACCTTATACAATTTTCTAAGTAAGCTAATTTCTTTCTTATTTTAATTATATACAATAAAAATTTATAAGTTTACTTAATAGGCCTACCTTATTTAATTAGTTGTTTATCTTATTAACTAGGTTTAAAGATTTCTTAGCAATTTCCCATTTCTCCCTTCCCATTTAATAATAGAACCCTTTAAATATGAATTTTTCTACAAATGTTTAACAGCCTGATAAAGGATTATTCGTTATCGTAAAACATCATACCAAAATATGTAGGGCTTCCCTGGAAGGCGAGCGTCAAACTGCGAATCAATCTGCCGTCATTCGCCAATATCGCAACGCTAGCGGCGTCACTAGTCCGGAAATGATGGACGAGAAAGATGTTGGGGCGATATTTTGATCTTGTCCAGTGTTTTATCATTGAATTGACCCCACTGTGCTGTACAGTAGAATAAATTGTAAAAATTGATCCATATTCAGATTGAAATGATTTTCCCAGCTCATTTACAACTTGGCAATGTTCTAGAGCGTACGAGAAGGCAGTATTCCATCCACCAAGTAATTGAAGTAAAAATATTGCGTAATACAGCACATAAAGGCAGCATAGTGTTGCTAAAAGAGCGATGCAATGTCGCTTAAGTGTCAGCATCCTTGGGCAGCAGCAAAAAGAGGGCTTGAACCGTAAACCTTTGCGGTAGGCTACTAAGCTAATTGTCAAGTATAAAATCACTTTTTAAGGAAAATTTCTTTTAAAAGCCAGTTCTCGAAAAATAGATGCCTCATTTCTATCTAAATATAGAAATATAAAAAGAGAGAGTAATAAAATTGTCTAAAAAGGTGGAAATCGCCTCATCCTTTCTAAAATTTTCAATATCAACTTCAAAGATATAATATAAAGGGTATTATTATGAGAATGCTATATATTTAAAAAGGAGAAAGAGAAATCTGCCTCCCTTGTAGAATTATACATTTAATATAAGAGATTTATCCCTTACAGAGTTAGTCAGGGTTATCCAATCCATACAACAAATGCTTCTATTTTTGCTTGTTACTTTACCCTGGCATTTAAACCGGTCTTTCGAATATTTATATTAATAATATCTACGTGCCTAACTCTTATTGATAAAAATAAGAATGACAAGCTTGTACAACTTATAGATTATCTAATATCTTCCTAAATCTTTCCTCTAGTCTTTAGGCTTTTCTTTATATATATATCTTCACTCTCTATTTGATTTACATGTGTTTAGTTTCTATTTGGGAACATGGCTGAAAATAGAAAATTTCCTTTAAAAAATCCAGTAAATATCACGCCAAATACTGCATATTTAGGAGGATTTATGTATGCATGGACTACTGTTAACATTCCGACATTTCTTCCAATTAATCCCTTTGATACTGATAGAAAAAGCTGTTCAGGATCATCAGATGGCTCTAACCTTAATATACTATCGTCGTTCAATAGAACTAAAATATTGCAACCGCTTTGCAGTAGATCAGCAACAGTTTGCGTGCTCTGAGAATAGAAGCAGCCGTTAGTTAGCCGCTTTGCAACGAGCTCACGTATTACATTTAACGTTCGATGCCGATTATCAATGATCTGTAATTCAACCAAAATTAACTCCGACCTTGTCAAATTGGTGATTTCTAGCAGAAATTTATCCAAAGTAAAAATTATCTTTCCGTAGCAGTCAATTTGAAGGTTTTCTGTTAAGGCAACGTGAAAGTAACGGAAACCAGCATCAAATTGTTCCCTTTTCAAAATGATAATCTTCCTTGAATAAGTTTTAAAGAGGTACTTTATCAGATTAATAAACATTGTTAAGTTTAAATTGAAAAATAACATTTCTTGAATAATTTAATTTTAAATTAGATATTGATAAAAATTTTTCATCTCTCTCTCTCTATCTATCTATCTCTATCTCTACGTATCCATATGTTTACATATATATTTATATATTTATATTGCATATCTACTCACATACATACATGTATATTTATACTATGTATCATTATTTTATCACTCTTATACAAATACCCAAGTGGAAAGAATGCTTCAATCACGTGACATTAGGGAGAGAGCAACAAATTTTACTTGATAGCATACATAGAATATAAACCCTTGACATATATATATATATATAGCATATGTAATAGTTTTTATATATTTTTGTCATCGAATGAAAAGAGGATAGCCACCTGCTTGCTTAGAGCATAAAAATTGATTAGGACGGAATGTAATTGATTTCTTCTTTACCAAAAACTCTTTCTTTTAATGCTTTCTACGCTAATTATTTTTACCAAAAATATCTTCTAAAAATAACTAAATAGAATAGTAGAATCACATATACCAACTTAAATTTGTAAACATGTTTATAATAATAGAGAGGTGTAGCTGTAATTGAGACTTCAAATAGTTGAAGCAATATCATATAGGATAAAAATGACAGTGAGAGAGCGAGACAGAAATGGACAGCAAAATGGAGAGTAGGGAAAAAGAAGAGGCTACATACAGAATAGATTTCTTAAGGGGTAAAAATAAGGTTGTAGGAGATAAAGCAATAAGATTCAGAGAGTATCCTAATACATACTGATACATAACAGAGAAGCAGTAAATCTTATTTTAATACAAGGTGAACAACACTGCTTCTAAGATTTAAATTTAAAAAGAAAAAAAAGAGTTAACCAAAAAGGAATGGGTTAAGTCGTTAGGGATTTTAGAAGGGAAAGGTTATGTGAATTATTTGATGGGTAAAAGTCCGAGAATATTGAGAAAGAGGGCTGGGAGAGAATCTAATTAAGTAATCTACTTGAGGGACTTAATAATGTGTAATATATTATATAAAAGACAGTAGGGTATTGTGTTAACTATTCAATATACTAATATATTAAAGATATAGGTTAGATTGAAGGGTAAAATAGACAGCAAAGTCCACTTAAGACATGTACAGTATATGTATATCTCAACTTTATATCGAAACAAACAAGAATAAACTTTAAAATTACTCTATACAGTAGGAAATGAATCTCTGTCAAATCATTATTTCGTACGGTTTACACGCTATCACGCCTGAATAACTATACAAATATATCTGGAATAGACTGTATTTCAAGAAGGTAATAATAAGAAGATCCATTCGCATCGTCCGTTTTTCATAATACATATTGCTTGCTCTATGTATATTATTAAAAGAGAAAAGAGTTTATGGTGACATAGAATGAATTGTACGATACTTATGTATGATAAATAGCCCTATTCATTCTTAAGAAATAGTAAGAATAAAGAAAGGGAAATTTCTTCTCCCTCGCTTCTTAATTGCCTAAAATAAAATCCCAAACCTTATTTATATTTTATAAATAGGAAATTTAAAAAGGAAAGATTTGGAGAGAAAATTTTTCAGATTAAGCAACTATGGAAATAAATCAAATTTATTATTATACGTATGGTTTATAATCTCTTTTATATATCATAGCGAAATAATACATATTTGTGGATTTCTGTTTCAATCTCTCTGTCTGTCTGTCTGTCTGTCTGTCTGTCTCTCTCTCTCTCTCTCTCTCTCTCTCTCTCTCTCTCTCTCTCTCTCTCTATTTTCCTCTGTCTCTTTCACTATTTTACCCAAGGATCCTAACATTATCACGGATTTATGACTCTTTCAATCTGCTATTAATAAAGAATGATTAATAGTTAATTTGTTTCCAAGATCGATAGCTGCAGCATAAAGCATTATATTTTATACCTATAACTTTGTCCCCTATGTTCAAGGTCACATCGGTTTAAGAAACTATAAATAAATTAAGTGTAAAAAAAAAAAGTAACTTTCTCCCTCGTTTCTCTTTCTTTCGGTTTAGTACTTATTAAGGATAAAATTAATGGTTAAAAAGGTTGATTATCACTTTAAATTTCCATCATGTACTGTTGACCAATCCAACAATCCAGTAGATTTTTTAAAACAAACGCTATCATGTGTTCCAGCAATAACTAATTCCGATAGAGCTTTTCCATTAATTTCCAATTTCAAGCAATTCATCCAGCCATCAAATTTACACTCGGCACTACAAGAATAAACCAGTAGAATGGAAACGATCGTAAATTTGAGTGGATCGTTAAAACTCATTACACTTTCATGATCCCCTTTCTCTTGACAAACACTTTCCTTGTAAACTATACGTGAGGGGTGAGAAAGAAAGAAAAAACAATTCTTTCCCCTAAATGAGTCTTCCGTCACAGAATAAGTGAACGTCTATAATTCCATTATTTTCTCAACTCTAAGCTTCCAAGATTTGAGTTTGAAATCGTCACGATGCGTCGCCACGAACGTTTATTTATATACATACGTATATATCTACTTGTATGAATATAGTTAGTTACCTTATAATATTTATATATATATATATATAAATTATTGAGTTATCATGTATGGAAATATCCGTCAATTAGTTATGAATTTCTTGATTGATTTATGATAATTTTTCTTGAGTATTGCACGTGTTTTCGTTCGTCATCGATTTTATGCGGCTCGTTGATTGCCTAGTGTAGAAAATTGAGTTTGGAAAAGTCTGGAGAAAAAGGAATCAATTTAATTACAAACTTATCGATTTGGTGCGAAAAGTCTGAGTAAAAGAGCGACTAGCATATAACCTCTTAGTCTCGAGAGTAATTGAAATAATTATGACTAATGAACGGGTAAGTGCCGGAAGAATGAATATTCATTCCCTCTTATCAATTTTCAACTTTATTCGAAAGTTTAAGTTAAAAATAATATAATACATAATACAATAATAATACAGCTAAATGTAACAATACAATTGTTAAATTGAAAATTGAAAGGGGGAGGCGGAGCTGGGAGAGAGAGAGAGAGAGAGAAAGAGAATCGTCAGAAAAATTAATCACCCCATTCAATTTATAATATTAAAAAAAGTAAAAATACTTTAGTGCCACCTGCTTCCTCTCTATTATTCCCTTTCATTCTTTTTATCCTTTTATTGCTTTATTACATAAGAAAATTAATTGGTCATATAGCTTTTCCTTTTTTCGTTCCTCTCTTGATGAAGTGACTCTTAAATGGCATTTTTAGCCTATAAACTTTTGTTTTTTGCGTTCTCTTTTTCACCAATTTGATGTATTAGTCCTTTCCCTTTTTTCTTTATTATTATACATTCTTATTAAGTAATCTCATTTGCTTCCTGTTTTCAAAAGCCATACATACTTTTCCATTTTATAGTAGAGTATATTCCCTCTATCTATCTTTCTTTTTTATGGTTTCATTTAACTTAATCTGACTAATTAGCCATTATATGGATATTAATGCGCTGCACTCTCGAATTAGCAAAAGCATGCAAACCTTTCTAGATTATTTCCAATCAAAAACTTGTTCCTCTAAGCAAAATTGACTGATTGGTATGAAAGAAACAACCCTGCAGTTATAGATGAAACCCAACCACTACAGTTTCTCTATTTATATATGCTCTCTTCCATTTTCTCTGGCCGTCTCCCCCTCTCCCCCACCTTACCTCTCTCTCTCTTTTCCATTCGTCATTTACAATATACATATATAAATAAAAGCTGTAAAAAAAACCCCTCACACACATCATGCCCTTTTATTTTCATTAAGTTTGCTGTGAACCCCATTTGATTTTTTCCTTGAACTAATTCGTAAATAATTCAGAATATAAACAAGAAGCAATGAACAAATTTTCTCTATGCAAAGAAAGACGCAGAACGAAAAGAAAAGTACCATAGCTAATTAATTCAATTGTATTAGAGGGTGAGAAATAGTTTGTAAGCCTATGTATATCATACCTATATACGATAGAGTATGAAGAAAATGATAAGCAGTACAGGATTTAAAGATAACTATATTTTTTATATTTAATTCAAGTATCTATCTAACGGTAATTAATATAGATTTTTAATGTCAACTCTAGGAAAATTGCCGCAGACAATTGAAGTCGTTAACGAATAATTAAATAAATTTTACTTTGACACGATAGACGTGTTTAACATAAATAATATTTTTATACTAAACACAACTGATAATATTCTCTAATTAATAATTATCTTGTTTCTCTTCCTAATAACTTTCTATTAGGACTAAAAGCTAGAAAGATTTAGTTTTATGCTTTTATTCAGTACATATCATTGATATATTATAGTTGCCATGAATAAAAAGATATTTCTATTATATTTGTTACTAATAATAACCAACTACACCTTAATTACGTCATTAAGGTAAATTGTCCGATAACATCACTAGTCGTATATAATCCTAAAATTAGTTTCAAGTTAAAAAAATCCTCTTACCCTAGCTGATTATCGTCGATTAGTGCTCTTCCAAATGCCAGCAGCCTTCTCATTTCATCCCTTGTCTTTCAAATCGAACGCGACAGATGGCGTCGTTGGTTAAAATATTTGATCTAAAAAAGACATCATTTATACAAAACAGCTAACAGTTTTTGGCGAAATGTATAACTAAATCACTAAAACTGCGGAAATATAACATTCAATTGCGAAAAGAGCCAATAGTCATAGTTTTCAGCATCTCAATTAAGTTGGACAGTTTATATAGTTTTCTTTTATTATTATTAAAATAAAAGCTCTCTTTCTTAGTTTTCCATCATTCATTCATTCCTTTCTTACTGTCATCTTATTCTTCCCATTCTTCTTTTTCCTTCACACTCTCAAGTCTTTGTATATATATTAACGTCGCATTTTTCCTATTTTATTTTAAGAATAAGAGGGCAGAGAAGGGTTAGTTACAGTCCAAACTCTCTTCTGCTTTTTTTCCCTCACTGGACGGTTGAGATCAGAAAGATTATTTTTCAGTAATCTTTTATTTCCCTTGATACTGAACGGTGATTTTTGTATTATTGATAAATCACTAAAAGTCGTTGCGTATGTTAACAGTTTGTTATATTTTTATTTACTATTATTATTATTATTATTTAACATTACGTTATTTGCATTTGTTTACTAGAAAAACAATAACTTGAATGGTTATAGAAAGTAATACTTTACAATAGCATAAAAAAATACAATCAAAAAGAAAAGGAATGGAAAGGAAGGAAGAAGAACTAGGTCCTCTAATCATCGTATAAATTCAGAAAATTATATCATTCGCTCTACTTTCTCTTTTTAGAGAAAACGGAAAAGGAAGAGAATTTTATCCTTTTAATTTTCAAATATCTTTAATCATTCTATCTATGAAAGAAGTAGAATAAAAACACTAATGATCTCCTCTATGCATACGTTCTATTTCACTTGTTTTACTTCGCTTAGAGGTTCTACTCATCTTTTCCTTCCTTCTCTCCCTTGCTCCTCTTCCCCGTTCATATTTTATTCTCTTATTAATAATTTATAATGTTTTATGTAAAAAGTATTATAGTGCCATCTAGTTAAAGAATCGTGTGTAAAAGCTAATTCTTACGCACTAAAATTCTTTAAGATTTTTTGCACGTGTATAAGAAAAGAGAGAAACGAGCTTGAAAGCTTTTACAAAATAGGTGGCGGTATAGTAGAGTGTGAACTTTTTGATGACAAAATAGACTATACAACGTATTGAAGACAATTCAATTCAGAAGCATAATACATATACCATTTATATAACGATAGATTGATAAATATTTATTCATTCTATTTACTGGTACACTGGTAGCATACTGAATATTTAAAACAAACGTATGCAAATGTATAAATATACATATAAATTGAAGTTTTTATATTAATTTACTAATTATAATCATCAAATAGAAGTTTGAAGAGGAAATAAGATGAAAGAACCTGAAAACGGGAATCTTAAATCGAATACTTTTGAAAAAGTGACGGTAGATCGTTTCTTCGAGTTAACAGGAGAATATGGGTTTTATCAGAAATGCTTTCAAGTGTATATTATGTTCTGTGAATTATCAGCCTTATTTAATATGATGAGTATTGTTTGGACTGCTTATACCCCAGAACATGTTTGCAATTACAACGGAACTTTGGATGAGGATGTCGTCAATGTTACGAGGGAGCAATGTAGAGTGGTAGCACATTATAGGAATGCAACAAGTAAAATATTGACCTGTGACAGTTGGACTTACAGCAAGGAGGATTTCGACGAGACAGTAGCAACTAAGGTTTGATTTTATCATCATCATTTTGCTCTTCTCTCTATCTCTTTTGATATTGTATTCTTTCTAAATATAAGCAAAAATATTCGCTTCATATTTCTAAATGTTTATATTGATTTCATTAATTTTTTTCTTATTTCTGGACTTTGCTCTGCAGTATGATCTTGTTTGTGAAAGGGCCTGGCTAAAGAGTTCAATCATTTCATTTATGACGATTGGCCAAATGTTGGGCAATATGATAATAGGGCACTTAGCCGATAAGTTCGGCAGGAGAAAAGTGATAATCATGGCTTTTATCGTTGAATTTATTTCTTTTTTTGGGGCTGCTTTTAATTTTAATTTCTACTTTTATGTTTTTGTAAAAATGGTACTTGGAGGAATCGCACTTGGCGTAGTTAACACTCATACTGTTCATGGTATGTTATCTTATTCTACATTGTTTATTTTATTTGTAATATCTATATACTGTACACACACGACACAAGCTTTAAAATAACATTACGTAATCACACAGCTACTGAAATAGTTGGGAAAAGTGCCAGGTTACTACCATCGCAAATTATAAACCTAGGATGGTCTATTTTCTATGTTCTTTTGGGAGTCGTAGCTATATATTATAGACACTTTAGGAGTTTTTATCTTACAATCCCAGGAATTGTTTTTGTTTATCTGTTAATAACTATCTTTGTTGTGGACGAATGTCCAAGGTGGCTACTTGTTCAAGGGAGGAAGGAAGAGGCGATGAAAATTTTTAACAAGATTAAAAGGTTAAATGGACATGAAGATAAGGAGTACGATATTTATTTGGATGTTGTAGAAACTAAATCTGATGTCAAACAAGAGACCTTTAGTGACTTACTAAGAAGTAGAATTCTTCTTTGCAGATATCTCAATCTTGGATTATGTTGGGCGGTTAATGCCTTAGTTTATTACGGCTTGTCGTTGAATACTGGATCACTTGCCGGCGATAAATATGTCAACTTCATTATATCGGGAGCCGTCGAATTCCCAGCTTACGCCCTAAATATTTTCGTCATGTATTACTTAGGAAAAAGACTACCAATTTCTAGTGTTATGGTCTTTGGAGGTTTGGGTTGTATTCTTGCATCATTTGTTTCCGGTACTAGTTCATCAGCTTTATCCTTGTTTGGAAAGTTTTGTATAACAATGAGCTTTGGTTTACTTTACGTTGTTACACCAGAACTTACCCCCACAACAATGAGAACCTACGGATTAGGAATTTGTTCAACAATGGCAAGAGTGGGTTCCATACTTGCCCCATTTGCCCAGAATCTAGTTTGTTACTTGTTTAATCACAATTAATTAACTAATTATTTAATTAAGAAAATTTAATTTAGTATTTTTTTTTCATAGGACAACGTGAATCATTATATCGTTCCTTTGAGCTTTGGCTTTATATCAATGACAAGCGGTTTATTGATAATGACTCTACCTGAAACTCACGGAAAAAAACTGCCAGAAAATCGACAGGATGCTGAAAACTTTGGAAAAGGGCAAAAGTTATGTTTTATACCTAGAACACAGTTAACGAAATTCTGCATGAGATCAAAGAGAGAAGATTATAAATTGGATATAAATCCTATGGAAGAGAAGACAAAAATGATGGCCTAAAAGTTGAAAAATTAGTATAAACATAACAATTGGTTTGTTTTGAATATGCATGAATAGGTTTTATTTTACAGTAAAAGCGATTACTATGTACTCGTATACAATATCATGGAAACTGTCTGTTGACGCTCTAATTATTAAATTATACTAAAATCAATAAGAATTCCATTATAATTAACCATATTTTTGTTTTAAATTTGCACAATACTCTATAGGAGCAATAAATTTATTGAATATATTGTAAAAATTTGATTAATTATAAGCTAATCAATACTTTAATTAAGATAAATAATCGTGAATTATTATACAAAAGAGATGAGAAGCGGAATGGAAGAGAAATTAGGAAAGAAATAAAAAGAAGCATTTGCCAAACTAGTAATCGATAATGACCAAAAAACAGCAAGATATAGAGGGAATTGCCATTTAACGACAAGTCGATATTAGTATTAATAAAAACGTGACAAAATTTATTCAGAACAAAAAAAAGAGAGAGATAGAGAGACGGAGAGAAGGAGAAGAGAAATAGGAATAGGAAAAGAGATACTATACTATGCTTTTTTTATATGTGAACATATATCTATAAGCGTCTATGATTCGGTCATTCATCTTTTAAAAGGTAATAAAAAAGTTTAAATCTTCTAATAGCCAATTTCTTCATAGTTAATTTTATGTATTTTAGTTTCCAGAAGAGAAACTAGGCATCATCTACTTTATATAAAAAAAACCGATTTTGGAGTGAAAGGGGAACGAAATTGAAAGAGTTATATATCGATCTTTTATCCTTTCTAAAACATTTCGCCTGTTTTGTGTCATTCAAAAATTCTCTACCAGTGATATTGAACGATTTCATATCATGATAAATATAGATTATGTTTTAAGACAAGTTGGAGGATTTAAACGTTATAGCCTCTATATGTTTATTATTCTAAGCATTTCAAGTTTTGATCTACTCACCAGACAGGAATTACTTATTATCTTCATAGGTTTTAATTCAAATTTACTATAAATTATTGTTTATATAATACAATATCTATACTGTATATTAGTAATATATAAGGCAATTGATGTTCTACTATAGGATGGGAACCTCCATTTGTATGTAAAATGCCAAGCAAAAATATCTCATCTATAGTAATGGGCAAGGACGAAATATCTTCGTGCTCATTTCGATATAATGGAAGTCAAAATTGGACAGAAGAATGCATTTACGGCTATGATTATAAATCAAGTGGATATACGACAATAGCAATGGAGGTAAATCGATGAACTTCATATTTTCGTTTTATTTCATCATGTTTATATTTATTTATCATCATATTCATCCGTTCTCTCTCTCTCTCTCTCACAATGTTAACAGTGGAATTTAGTTTGTTCCAAGAGTATGATGGTAGAAATAAGTCAAATGGTTTTGGTTTTTGGTTACCTGTGCAGCGAAATTATTGGGAGTGTAATGATTGATAAATTTGGGAGGAAGAGAATGTTTTTATATAGTCAAAGTATTGCTGTCCTAGTAGGAATTCTGACGAGTTTCTCGTTTAATTTCTACGCTTTTACTGCATTTAGATTTTTTCTAGGATTAATTCTTACTGTAAGAATTTAAATAATTAATTAAATATTCTGCTAATTCCCTCCCCAAAGTCTTTTTTAAACTTTTATATTTCACTTCTTTTTCAGATTGTTATCATTTCAAGCTCTAATTTACTTATTGAATTTTTTGATTCGACCAAGAGGGGATTCGTTGGAACCATGTGCCAGTTTGGAGCTATTTTTTCCATGCTTTTATTAGTTACAAGTGCCTATCTTATAAAAAATTGGCGTCATTTATCCCTATTTACATCAACAACTTCTGCTTTATGGATTGTTCTTGTCTGGTTTCTACCAGAATCTCCCATTTGGTTGGCAGCTCAAAAACGGGAGAAAGAAACAGAGGAGGTTTTAAAAAACATAGCCAAATTGAACGGTGTAAAATATATTCAATGTACAAAGTACGTTGAAAAGAACAGTGAATATCTCCTTGAACTAGATACAAAACGAGAAGACGAGGAGAATGAAAAGGAAAGGCAAGAAAGTAAGGACAATAGAATGAAAGAGAATAGAAGAAAAACGAAATATAATTTTATTGACCTTTTCAAACACAAATGCTTGATAAAACATATGATTATAACAGCACTTTTATGGTTCGTCAACAATTGCATATATTATGGTCTAACGCTTAGCACACCAGCATTGGCAGGCGATAGGTTCTTTAACTTCTCATTAAGTGTTCTTGTAGAAATTCCAGCTTACGCAATTGCTGCTCTTTTTGCTACAAAGTAATTAAAAATCTCTATATACAGTATAAAAGAAAACAGAGGTATATTATGTAAGCAAACATAACACTCCGCATCTTTATCTATAACAGATTTGGCAGACGAATGCCAGTTTTTGGTTTTCTCATCTTAACAGGATCCACCGTAATTATTGTCTCTGTCTTACCCAAAGTGTTAAATAATGAAAACTTAAAATCTAAGCTGGTTTTAGCATTTTTTCAATTAGGAAAATTCTCGATAAGTTCAGCTTTTAGCATTACTGTAATATTTACGAAAGAGCTGTTCCCAACTACTCTCAGGTACGCCTATTACTTATATAAATTACTTAACAACCTTGGATTTTGAAAGGTCATCGGGATTAGGAGTTGCTAATACATTTGGAGGAATCGGAGCTATGGCTGCACCAATATGTGCTCATTACGTTCGTTTTTTATCCTAGAAATTACGTTAAATTTTTCTAATGTATACTTATTCTGATTCTTTGTCAGGCTGCCAACAAATATCTTAATTATATCCCACCAATTTGCTATGGTATCTTGGCTTTTATCGCTGCCTTTGCCATCATTTTACTACCAGAAACGGAAAGACGTCCCTTGCCCCAAACCATAGATGAAATAGAAGAATGGTATAAGTCTAAGAAGGGAAGTGCTGCCTAGAAAAGAAAGATATAATCCATCTATAAAAAATCGGTTGTGGAATCAATGAGAGAAAAGTTCGTTAGGTCAGCATTCTATAAGGATGTGGTCTTCCCTTTTTCCTTATTAAAAGGCAACCCAAAAGGCTAAGCAAAGATGCAGAAAATAAATAACGTTATTCAAATAAATCTTATCGAAGTAAAGAAGAGAGAAAGGGGAAAATTAATTGGATTATTTAGACGTAAATATATTCTGAAAAAAACAAAGATAAAGGCTAAGAAAAAGTGAGATTATTGATGAAATTTACAAATGATCTTAACCCCATATGTTGAACTTTGAAAGGCCATTGTTAAAAACTAGTTTTCACAATTTTGCTTTAACAATTGTTCTTTTCTTTTCTCCCTTCAGATGAATACATCTATATAATAACGTTGAGCTTATTCCATTCTTTCGAAAATAGCGCTTTCTTTTCATCGTTTAAAAAGATGTTTCCGATTCTCGTATTCTTAGTTTAATTTTTCTCTCTGCCTTATAGATATTCTCCTTTTTCTCTCAGTTTCATTGTTGAATGAATGTAGGTGGCAGTAGTAGTAGTATTAAACCTTACCAATATTGCCATCTATATCATCCTACATTCAGGGGTAGTTAGTCATATTTAACGCATTAATAACCTATTATTATTAAGTGAATCGTACTTGGAGCACAATTACTGACATTCAAGAATAAGCACACTAACATCCGAAATTTATGAATAAGAAATTATTAAAGAAATTCCTGCTTAAGTAAATGAAATGTTTGAAGTGTAAGACTTTTCTATTACAGCATTAATAGAATTTATGCAAATAAAGATTAAGGTTATGTTAATAACAGTCTTTCTACTTCCTTCTCTCTCCATCCCTCTCCAAATTTCTCTCCTCCCTCTCTCTCTCTCTCTCTCTCTCTCTTTACATAAACAATAGAAAATAAAGTAAAAAGAAATAGTTTACGTGACAAACATGTTAAATAATTTTATTCTTAACATGATATTACTCTATACGTGAAGAAATAGAAGATAAAATATTTAAATGAGTAAATTCAATTTCAAGACACTCATTACTGTTTATTACAGGAATAGTAAGGAAATTCGTCCAAGTTTTGCATTTCGGCAAAAAAAACAACATCGTGAATCGTTTATATTGATGAGTCAGATATTTTGATGAATTGAGAGTAAACCTTACTATATTCCCATCGTTTCAATATACTCTATAGTTTATTAAAATATTATAATATTTTTTTATCTTACCGTTTCTTACCGTTGACATATTTTCACTTGATTATCAAAAGATATTCTTTATCTATTAATGATACATTTATAGAAAATACATAGGGTGTTATTATTCATTGAACAAGTATTTCAGAATTCATTGTTTATAATCTTTAGTAAAGAAAGAAAGAAATCAAATATTTTTAATTTAAATATTTCATAAATTGTTATTATTATTAACTAATTTAATTATTCATTTCTTTGAAAGCTTTTTATACTTTCTTATATAGTAAAAAGGGTATCATTTTTCTTTTTTAATTTCAGTATGCATTGAAGAATAAGCAATTGTTTTAAAATTGTTTGCCTTTATCACTTGGATTAGGTTATTATATAGGTTTTTTTTATTTTATATCTATAATCTTTGTATTAGTTATTTGATTTAGGTTTGTTGGCAAAATATTGACCTATTTATTATTCTGTACGGTTTTACTTGTAGGATTTACATTTAAGTGGCAGATTGCTCGAACGACAGCTACAGTTTTCTCATTAACCGCAAAGAGTCGCAGTAGTTTTCCCTATATGTTTGTCTGTCTATCTATCTATCTGTGTACCTCTTCCTCTCTGTCGGTTTGTCTCCCTCTCTCTCGCTCTGTCCTTCTTCTGTTCGAGTATTCTTTCATCCTACGGTAAGCCAGCTGATAGTATTACAATAAAAGTATTATGGACATGGTTTGTTGGCAATTATTTCAGATTGAGTAATGTAAGAATATCTGTTCCACAGTAACAATAGAAAAAGAAAGTGTTCTTAAACCATACAGTAAAATTAGAAGAAAAAAGGCTTCTTATGTTTTTCATTGACATATATCATATATATAAACTATATATATATATTAATATATACTAATATAAGCCTAATATGATATTGAAAATCTTTATAGAATATGCTCTAATGCACATAGCAGAAATAAAATTCTATAGGAATTTACAGGCCAAAAACAATAGAATCTATCATTTTTACGCCTATATATGTACTACAAGCCTATACATTCTAAATATGTTTGAATTGTATCTTATCTAAATACAGTATATACGAGGTGAATGATACGACCTGAAGGAGAAAGCAAGTATCTACATGATAGTACGACAAAAAAATTACGTTATTTTAACTTCATTAGAAGAGTATAGTTTTAAAAAGTCTATTATCTATGTTATTATTAATATTTAAAAGTATTAAAAAGGAGGGTTAAGTAAGTTTTTTAATTCTTTTATACAGTGTATATAAAAATCTGTCATCTTGTAATATGCGGGAAGTAATTAGAAATTAATATATATATATATATACTAATATATAGATATATATAATTTATATACTAATTATAATATGAGAAATATGAATTTAAACATAAAATTGTATATTAGTATTCTATTCTTTCATTCCCCTCTCTATTTCATACTTAATTAATTAGAAATATAATATCTATTAGCATCTATTCTATTTCTCTAAAAAAGAAAACTAATTGATTGAAAACACTTTATTCTATATCTGCTATTTTCGTTTTAACGTCTTTTCGAATATTTGCATAACCTTGATATGGAGGAGAATGTTCTAGTGTTCCTCAGTATGTATTATGTTAATTAATATTCTGCTCTTATTTCCGGTGTAGCATGTGAGATAACTTCTAATCGATATTTACCATTCCATTTCAATAGCTTTATGCTTTCGTTAAAATTTATGGACATTAAATAATTTTTAAATCGGCTTTTAATATGATCGGTAAGTTAAAAGTTTTATAAAGACTACTTTTAATAATAATGCCTAAAAATGATGTATTATCGCTCATCCAATTCATCACTCAGCAACGCACAATAAACATTTATATGGCATAAACTTAAGATTTTTACTACATGTGTCTGCATTTGCTTCCCTTAGCTTTTTAGTAATTTTATTAGGAATTTTTGTCTTAAAGCAATAGGTAAGTGTTACTAAATCAGATATGCTATCAATACCGAACATGTGGTAATATATAGTATATATCTATAGCAGAAATCAAGCGGTAATTAGGTCAATGTGCCCAAATCGATTTTTAACGTACTAAATCTCTCTTCATAAAAGTAGATTATAATTAGATGGGTAGTTTTATTTATTAAAATATGTTTACAAAACGAAAGAACAAAATATAGACACAAAATTCGGTATAAATTATACTTTAATCCTCTAAATAACCTTGATTGAACTTATATTTTCTATTTCTGTTAATATTTGGTTCTTTTTTGTTTTTTAAAGATAAAATAAAGAAAAAACTATGAAAAACAAATACAACAAATCAGAATCATCGTCGTTACTTTTCTACAAACATCAAGTACCTCAATCCTTTCACGAAATTGGTATATTAACCGGTTATCGTAATCCAAAATCCTCTGCTTTCGAAGTAAATTTAACTATTAGATTTGAATTGAAGAGTAAAATTTTAACGTTTCTTCTTTTGGTGTTTTTTAGTGCTTTAAAAGTGTTTTTCAAGCCAACAACGAAACTATAAATGTATGGTCGCATTTTTTGTGTGGACTTTACTTTATCTATTGCTCCATTGATTGTTTCCTGCTGTACTCATCAAGAGAAGAATCTTGGCCATTTTTAGTATATTTAGTAAGTCACTTCGTCATAGTTTTACTAGTCTATTAACAGTTGTTCTTTAATTACAGATCTCCCTTTGCTGCTTTCCTTTAGCATCAGCAACAGCTCATTTATTTAACACGTTAAATGAAAAAGCCCGAAATATTTGTTTCTTCGTCGATTACTGGGCTCTTTCAATTTATAGCCTGGGAGCGGCCATAGCTTACAAGTATGATTCAACTATTGTTTTATTTTTTGAACATTAGTACTTATTGAATGTCAATAACTCTTTTGTTCTTTTTTAATTAGAGCTTATACCTTTCCTCATTTTCTACGTCATCAATTCTTCTTCGAACACTTCGTGACATTTGCCTGCTTAAATGCCGTTTTAAGCGTTACGCTCATCTGTTTAACTAGATTTATGAAGAGCGGTTTAACAACTAAGGTAATTTTCAAAAAAATAGGCTTAAAAATTATCACTTCCCATAAATTAACTATAGGATTTACTAGACAAAGAATAAAGGAACGCCTTTCAGCATAATATATTAATATAAGTACTTTTTACAAAGTTTTGTCAGCTTTGTATTAAAGACAGTTATGGATTAAACTGATTATTTTTAGCTTTACCTCCTACAGTATTGATATCTTAAAGTTTATAAAGTTTTTAGCATTACTTTTTCCTTACTAATTCTCCCTTCTTTATTCGTTTCATTGCAGTTATTAAGAGTCATGAGTTTTGCCATACCTTACGTTTACGATAGTTCGCCTATCGTTGCCAGAATTATTTATTGCGAAGCTGAAGAATGCAGTCACCCTCTTCTCTCAACTTATATTAAACAATTTACCTGTGCGGCTACAGCTTCCCTATTCTACCTCACCCACTTACCGGAAAGACTTTTCCCGGGAAAATTTGATGTTTACGGTCATAGTCATCAATTTTTTCACCTCTTTAGCTCTTTAGGCGCATATTTACAGTATTCGGCAATTAGGCAAGAAGTTGATAGTCTTTTGCATAACAATGACATACACGTAAATTTTGATTACTTTTCTACAGTAGTGTACGTTTTTACTGCAGTAGCTCTTGTTAACGTAATCATAGTTATAGGCTTTAGTTTAATGGTATATTTCAGTGACGAAATGCCCAATATAAAGACATCAACTGGTATCAGAAAAGAAAATGGCGCTATATACTTTGATGCTAACAAAAATAATGTTCACTACAACCTGCGAAGTAGGAATTCAAAATCATTGTCTAATAAAAATTAGACGGAATAGGTTGACATGATCTCGTGCTTATAAATTGTCAGTATTGCATCATCTAGTTAAAGAATATTTCTGTGATGCTTCAAAGTGACAAATAAGAACAAAATATATTGTTTTTTATATTCATATATACATCAATATCTATGTATATATATATATAAATTTATATAAAGACACTTTTTCCTCTCTTCCTTTTTGGTATTCTCTTAATTCTATTTTTTAAGCATTTCTCAGAATGCGTATATTAAAGAAGATTTTGTTCTGTTTTAGATTTTCCTTTCTATTTAGTAAATACTAATTACTAAACTGAAAAAGCTCAAATTAATCCATAATTAAAGTACATAATTAGAACAACTATTGACATTTTTTAAAAATATATAAATTTATATATATATATACTTTTAAGACGAATATTAGCATTCTTATACTTATATATTTACTTCACAAATATGAACACAATTATTATAGGCATAAAAGTTCGGTAAAAAAACGGCTCTTAAATTGAAATTGTTATTCAATATATAAAAAGAAATCTTTCATATTTCCTCATATTTAACAATCAATGATAAGTCGTTACTCTCTTTTGCTATATATTACTATATACAGTATATATGTATATAAAATTGAATTGTAGACAATCGGCCAACCTTTGTTTCAAATGTGTTTTATTAAAAAGTCCCATTTAACATTTTGTATTCAATGCTATATCTATATATGTGTACAATACGATTATACTGTTGTCATCGCCATATCTTCTTCATTCTACATTTTTATTAATAAGCTTTCTTGTTGGATGTAGCTCTTCCTCGCTGTCTTGCGTTTCTCTGCTGGTGAACTTTTCACCTGTTATTTTATACAGATTTCAATGTACTGTATGAACTTTGTATATCATCATTGTTGAATGTTTTAAAGTATCGTAAAATGCACAGAATATATTCACATCGATATAGAAATTTTGTATGAATATGTTGTCATTTTTTATTGTTTTTGTTTATCAAGTATAATTTTATAGTAAAAAAAAAGACACATACCTCAAACAATATCAACTGTGACATAGATTAATTGTATCTAATTCTGACAAATTGATTTTAATCGAATTAAAAGTGTTAATTGACTCTGTTTTTTCTTTGTTATTGTTTGTTTTTTCTTCTTTGTTATTCTTCGAACTCTTTGACTCTTTTGTTTGTTTATACTTTGTGAATTACACTTGCTTTTGTCTCATTTTTTTTATAATGAATGTTTAAGAAAATACTAGAAAATTTAATAATCACAATACACCGATGCCCGAATGTATTAAAAACTAAGCAAACCAGTTGCAAAAATATTTTTGTAACGATAGTAGAGGTCCAGCCTCTTTTACAACATTAATATAAACCATGTCCAGCACAGTTAGCAATCACTACGAGAAAAATATGATAATAGTAATGTAAAACACAAACCATACAAAATGACAAGGATTACAACACGATTACGATTAAAATGAATTTATGTCCAGCATAAACTTGACTGTGAGACAGTAAGAACTTTTTAAATTTTTGGGCCAGCCTTATTTTCTCACCAAAGTTCTTACCATCTGACAGCCTCAAAATATGTAGAAAAAGAATAATTTTTGTGCTTAACAATGTACTTTCGGTGACTCTTGATTGGCACTGGGAGGTGCCATTATATTGACGAGTAGGTCTGTTACCATAGCAACGACATGTGATAATTGAGAATCATTTAGCTGGAAGAGTAAATTCTCAGCTTCATCTTTCGTCTCATCCTTTGCAGGACTCTCAACTTGATCCAAGTAATCTTCTAGAGCCAATACGTCCAATGTTGGTAAATCAGCAGAATTTTGAGGTCTAGTCGTAAAATCCTGATCTTGATTAACAACTTCTGTTACGTCAGCCAATAAATTGGTCCGATTCTCGAGATCTTCTATAGGTGGTGATCGAATTGGGGAAGAATCTGGTGTCAAAAGGGACCACGGTATTTCAACTTTCATCTTAGCTTTAGTATCATCCATTATCGTCTCTTCATTATCTTCGAATCTATCCATATTGATTATATCTTCGATTTTATCGTAAACGCCCAAGTCTACTTGTGATTCAGCTTTCAAATTGATGGGTGTAAAGCAGTTAGGTAAGACGTTACTGATGTATTGTACATCGGATGCTTCTTCGACTGGAGCGTAACAAACGCTGCCGTGTACAGAAATGGGCTGATTGAATGATTCGATTGAAGTTCCAGATCCACTCGAACTGCTCGAATTCAGTCTTGCTTTTTTAGGCCTTCCACATTTCTTCGCATTGCTAGAATTATCCAACTTTCTTTTGATTCTGTTCTGAATATCTTGCTTTATTGTTGGTTTGTCGGACAACTGTGTAAAAGACGGTGAAGCTGATGGTGGAGTAGAACTTTGTACCGATGAAGGTGACTCCAACTGTGTAGCGAAACCAGAAAACGGAGGAAGGCTATCTTTCTCGACTCGAATAGGAGTGATACTATGCGATGGGCTAGAGCCAGACTGAGTTAAAACTTCAGGTGATCTTGCAATATGGGAGCTATACATTTGACTTTGTAGCTTAAAATGTACCGCATCGGCTTCTCTTAGCACATGATTTATGCAAACGATTGCTGGTTCTCCGTTATTGCAAGCAGTTGGTTGTCTTATGTGCATAACCAAATTCACCCAAATCCATGTTCCATCCTTGGCAAACATTCTTAGAGTAAGCATACAACCCATCTCGTGGCTAGATTTGATCAATTGACTGTGCTTCTCCTTTGCTTCTTGTACATCTTCTGGATGAATAAGCTTGTACCAGGAAAGTCCTTGAATCTCATTCTCAGTATAGCCTAAATGGAATTCACCATTGTATGCCATTTCCATGTATTTCATATCCAAACAATGCACAGTTTGAAAAACCATTGTATTATTTTGAATAAGACTCTCCTTAACATCGGGTGTTATCAAAGGACTGCACACAGCCATGAAAACTGGTTGTCTAGCCAAGTCGGATTGCTGCGGAGCTTGAATAAAATGACCTTGAATGTGCATCACTTTGTGATCACCAAATCCAGTCTGTCTCCTTAGAGTTCTCGAAACATTCATTTTACAAAAGAAGTTGCGTTCATCCATTCCGGTTAAAGGGTTAGGATTAAAGGGTGCATTGGCTAATTGAGATTGTACGATAGAATGATCTCTCTTATCAATTATGTCGTAGATGGAATCTCCTTGGGTCATCATATCAACCTTTAGTGGAAAAAGAAAAGTCTAAAATATCATTTAATTAAATGTATCCTATTTCTAATTATAATATAATCTGTCAATTTTAGCCAATAAGGAATCTGCTTTCAATGTTGGCATTTAATATAGATTTAATATCTAATTCAACTATAATTTAAGAGAAGGTTAGGAAACAATAGACGCTTAAAGACTAATCTTTTCCAGAAAACCTTCTATATTCAATTCTTTGTTAAAGTTTTTCAAAAATATTTTTTCCCTTTCTTAAAAGGCCATTGGTTAATTTAAAAGTCAGCATTACTACCTTTCTCTTAATATGACCTATTTCTTATCTATATATGACGTCTTATCTTAACATTTTTTATTGCTGACCGTTGAACAATAATTACTGCTTGGGTTATAATATGTGTGCATGAATTTTTCATATCTGATTGTTATAGATACGTGCTTGTTGAATATAGTTTTTTTTTTATGTAAAGTATATTTTATTAAATAAGGCCATTCAACTTTCTGCGACTGTACTCAAAGACCTTTCTTAAGTAGACATTGAAATCACCCCCCCCCCCTACCTTCACCTCTTTGCCTTCTCTCTGTATATATATATATACAGTATATATATACAAATATATATCCCTTTAGTTTATTGTATTATTCTGTAGATTCCCTCTTTTGAAAAGAAATCTGATGAATTAGTTGTTCAAATACGTATTGTATTAAAGTAGGTCGTGCGGTACCTAAAGATTAACCCAATTAGTCTATTTTCTCTATAATGACAGTCTTATTACAATTATTGCTGCTTGTTTAACCGATTTTACTAAAACATGCTTCACATCTTTTACACATAGAGCTATAAAGCCTAAAAGGTAATCTCTTATTTGATAATGTTTATAAAGTCAACGCCTAGTTTCACTGATAAGAATTGATAAGGGATATTTTTTCATTTGAAAAATTATCTTGAATTGCCCAATTTTGAAGTTGAAGACTTTCTTCAAGTTTGAAATATAGTGGTTTATGTATATAGGGCTATTTTTAGAATACTGCGCAGTTGGAAAAAAATCAAGGGTATACATGTCAAGTTCATACGCCTCTTATTCTTGTCAAATAAAGTCATTTAGTTTAAATAAACAAGGTGAACAAAATCTTAAACTATACAAAAGAACTATTTTTTTTCCCAAGCCATTTACAATGGCGCTTTACGAAGAATTTCTCTTTTTCAATAGAAAGTTCTAATTCAACATTAAAAATGATATTCAAACGTCTCCTTAATTTTCGCTTATGACCTTCTATAAGTTCTTTAATAATTCTTACATAACTGATTAATATAATTACCATAGAATGACCCAAAAATTCTGTAACATTTTCGGAGATGTACAGTAATTTTCCAGCTTTTGTGCATGCTAACAAAAATCCGGGCATCGACTGTTTTTGATAAAAAAAAGAAAGAACGTTATATCAAAGTTGAAAGAAAAAAAACCTAAAAGTAGGTTAATATTAAAAAAAACTCTATTTAAATTGGTATTTTTCTTGAATAAAAGTGGACAAATCAATAAAATCTTTGAAAGGCGATTTCAATACAACTATTGTTAGAAATTCTATAATAATTGTTATTCTTACTTGAGAAAATTCAAAAACTGGTATTTCTTGTTGTTGAATGGTGGAGAAAACTAGAGAAAAAAAATAGAGTGTTAATATTGAATACGTGACCAGACTAATATTCATTAAAATATTTAAACGGAGTTATAAAGGTATACTTACTATGAGAGAAAAAGTTACATTTTCTAATGTAAACGCAAGTCAAAGACATAATTTGTAGCTGACTCAGTCTCTGCCTAGCAGATTCTGGTAGCGGCAATAGCTCTCTTAAATGATTTATTTCAATGTTTATGAGGTCCCGCCTCTGCTTGGATGCTCCTTTAGTTGACCTGTTTGTAAAGTAAAACAATATCCATTAATTAATTGTTCAAAAGTTTGTTAACTTTTTATGTTTTTACGCTTAATCCATTACCTAAAGAATTTCATGATTAGCATGAACGAGGACCAGCCTCTGTCTGACAAGTTTAAATTTTTTCACACACGTCACATGACATCCGACAAAAATTCTATTGGCTAAAATCTATTGCATATTTAACATAGGTGACGTCATGTCTATGATTAAACTTGAACTGTAGTAGCATATTTCTATATAGAGAAAATGATAACTTTTTGCTTGAATTACTAATCAATATGTTTTACTATGAAACACCATTGAATAGAATTACTTACGATACGTATAGCTATCTGCATACACAGCATATACTATAGATATATTATCAATTCTATCTATTTCCCTTGGTTTAATTATTTTCAAAAGAATAAGGAAATAAAATAAGAAATTAGTATAGAAAATGAGATATTTATCTGCCGGCAAAGGTCATAAAAAACTTGGTCATATCTGCCAACACCTTTTAGTTTATTCAAACAAAATGTACAAATAGAAAGCTTGGTCTTTCTCTCTCTCTCTCGCTTTTTCTCTCTTTCAATTATATATATATTTATGATATCAAATATTAATGATATAATTAATTAATTCGACAAAATAAGCAGTAAGAAAATATTAAGGAAGATACCAATTAATAATAATTTTGATAGTCTAACCTAGTGCCATCTATTTGTTAAAAATTCACTTTTATGACAAAACAACTCTTTCTACTTCTAATAAATAAAGTACAGTTGTAAAAAATAAAATCAACTTTTTAATAATCATTTGACCTATTGTTACGTTTTTGTCCGCTTTTAGCATCTATTCTAAGATAGTACAGTACCATATTTCTGTAGTCTATGGTCATCGATATGTAATAGAATATGATACGTCTTTATAATAAAGTAATAGTATAGGGAAGAGAGAGAAAGATTGAAATTAAATATGAATGTATAAAGTAGATATTAAATTACTAGTTTATTACTGATGCTAACAGAAAAAAAGGGTGTGGTCAGAAAAAAAGCAAACGTAATCTATGAAAACTTATACGCTTATAATTCACTTCCGTTTTAAAACATATTATAGATAATATTCTATTTAATCTGGGAATAAAAAACAAAGAACAATCTACTGAGGAATAGAGAAAGAAGACGCAAACGTTATATTTAAAGATATTTAGTGATAATAAAACATATGAACTTTAATATTAATGCTAATACTATTAAGTTACCCTCTCTAAGCAGATTCTTTACATCTATTAAAATCTTTACTAGATCTATTTTAAACTGAATATAAACGCTTAACAGACCCAGTGAATGGACATATTTGCTGATTGAATCATGAAAGAAGAAACTCTTCTAATCATAGATTTCTTATAAAAAAGAAATTGGGCTCTAATAATTTTATATATAAATTTTAACTCAGCTAGAGAGATTAACCTTTTCGTTGACCTCATTTCTTTTTATATTTTCCCTATAAAAAGTTCCAAGTAATATAATATTTCTACTAACCCGTGAGAGGATGTTGTCGGCTGTTGAACATGCTGCAACGCCTCATTTTGAATGGGTCGAATATTTGGTTGTTGAGGGAAATTCCACATTTCAGGGTTGTACATATTGGGGAAATTAGGCTGCCAGTAGTTTCCTCGATCACTCATGCTGGAATGAAGAAAAATAGGTAATAAATTGCAAATAACGAATGAGCAACGCGGAAATATTAAATATCTCTGCATAATTTACATAATCAATTCTGTATTTAATTTTTATTAAACAATAATGAATCTTACATGAAATAAAACTTTTTGGTGAACTGATAAGCTGTATCGTATAAATAATCAGAGAGACAGAGATAACCTGACCAGCAGGAATAATTCGACGGTTTCACTCAACTAGCAAGTGATACAACACATTCGGATTCGCATTTTTATACGCGTCTTACATTGTAATGTAAAGCAACCAATCATCGACCGCTATTCGCCTTAAAGTACATATTTTAGCGAATGAGCGTCGCCATTGGCGTTTCCCATTTTTGCGTCATAATGAATTTTCAAGTTAAAAATAGACTTAGCATATCATACAATATTCTAGTAGAAGACAAAAATATATTACTTACGTAAATAAGCATATTTTATATTAACAGTGATATTAGTATAATGCATCTAATATAAAAATAGTTTTTTAAGTTTTTTATTAATTTACATATAAGAATTAATGTAGATGTATAAGTTCACTTCCGTTTAAAAGTTACGGTTAGAAAATATAAAGCCAATTTGATTATGAAAAACACTAAAACCTTTAATAAATCTATTATAAAAGTATACACTCTTTGGATATTATATCTAAAACAATGAGATAATACTAATAATCGTATAGTTAATTATATATAATCTAAGTTCAATTTTTTTTTTAAATAAGCATCATTAAATACTGTTGTCTTGACAACTGATTTTAGTAAATATTTCAATTCAACTTTGTCTCAGATATAAAATTCTTTGTAAAGACTTTTACCTGGAATTTTGCTGCTGCATGGTTAATTAACAAAAGCTAATGTATTTTTGCACTACGTTGAAAGCTAATACTTTTTTGCAACCTACGCATTTAATGTATCAATATAGAAGTACATTTTTAACAATTCTTCAAGTAATACACGGAAAGCAGAAGGGGAGGGGGACAGTAGTAGAGACAACAATACAGTCGAACAGACGGTCAAACCTATAAGCAACAATACTTATAATTTCAATGCAAAGACAAAATGACATATACTAAAACAAGAAGTTATCGTAGATTTTTATATATTTCGACATAAAAACAACAAACCAAAGAGTATAAGAACCGTCTGCAACGAAGTCTAATTCATTAAAGAGTGAAATAGAAATTCTAATATTAAAATTTGAAATTAAAAAAGATGTGAAAAAAATGAATTTTTATTTATTCATCATGAAGATTTTATCTGTTAAAAATGCATTAATAAACTATTAATGTAATACTACCGATTCAATAATTGCAAAAGCATTAAATTTCTCTATCGGAGACAAGTTTAACTGATGGTAAATAAATTGTTTTCTATGGATAATTGTCATGAATTTGTCTTTATTTTCATATAGCTAGATTATCTATTGATGGATATTATAATCTCTATTCTGTTTTTAATTTTCAGTTTCTATAATTTCACTCTTTGTTCTCCGACATCCTTTCATAGATAATTAATCTTCTGAAAACTTTCTTTATCCCGAATTTATTCATTACCTTTATTCTATCTTTCCATTTTTCTGTACATTTAACGTTTTTATTTCTCAATTGCCCCTCCCTTCCTCCCTCAGTCCCTCCCACTCCTCTCTCTCTCTCTCTCTCTCTCTCTCTCTCTCTTTCTTATGCTCTTTTTCCTTCTTTTTATGTACATAGTAAGTATTAAATTACACGAATAGAACGAAATTGAAAAACATATATATTTCTACATAGTTTTGAATTCCTTAATAGCACTGCCGCAGAAAGGCGGGACAATGGGCGTCACCGCTTTGAGCGTTGCTCAAGTGACGCCTAACCGAAACAATTAGACGTTGACGTTGAAAAACATACACCTGGACGAATTCGTGTTCATTTAAAGTACAACATTAGCGGTATGATAGATACTTAGATCATTTAGTCACGTTTTATTAATATTTATCTAATATACATACATAATACATTTACCTTAATTTCTTAGCGTGTATAATCAATAAGCTTAAATAGTTATTTCAGCTAAATTTATTAAATGAACGTTTGTAATTTTATATACCACGGTTTTAATCAACTCTGACCAGAGGGATAATATCACGTTCACGAAAAGTTGGACACGTAACCCTGTTCATTTAAAGATCAGGTAACAATTTTTTAATAACACTAAGACTAAAAGCTTTCTTCGTAATATTTAATATAGCTCTTCCGCTTTAACTCAATTTCTTTTGATAGAAGAAAAAACGTTGATATCTTACCAACAATAGAATTTAGACACGGTATCTTTACTTTCTACATGACAATACAAACAATTTTAATAATTGTTTTTCTTATGTGGAGGAAGTGGAATAAGGCTATAGAATTCTATTATTTCTTTAGTCACTTATCTGACTCTTTGTTTTTTTTAAAAAAAAGAAACAAAATAAAATTGTCCAACATCATAAAAAATTATTAACTCAAAGAGAAAATAAAAAATATAAAAATTTTAATGACCTATGACCTTGACGAGTTTTTATGTTTTTTTTTTTTATTTTATATCTTTTTGCCAAGTAGGTTAATATTTAGTCAGAATGGATATAGACCAAAGTTTTCAATATAAGAAAGAAGTTAATTTTCTAATCCATGTGAGTAAATTTAGCAATTAAAGCAAAAAAAATATAGAATATATATATATATATCTATATCTATATACTGTATATATGGTCAAAAGCCATACGAGATATTTTTCATAATGATAGTTATATAATATATATAAATATATATATATATATAGAAATAAATGATTTTACTTGTCAGAAGAAGCTATTGGTCATTCTTTGAAAAATATGAACAATATACATAATAGGAAAAAAAAATAAATCACAAAAAGAGAAAAAAAACTGAGTATTTGATCGCCAATTAGTAACAAACTAACAAACTTTATGGGTTTCTTTATTATCAACAAAAAACACTCAAATATCGTTACTGTACATGATTTATACATGTGTATATACAAATTATTTACAAGATTATGCGAAAGCTGCCCGGAAAAAAGACGTCAAATCTATATGGGACGATAAAAAAAAGAAAAGAGTGTTTACTATCACAGAATATTTAAAAAATAAATGTTCACGAGGCAGTGCGAAACTCAATTAATATATATATTTTTTTCTTCCAACACACAAACAACTAGTGTGTTCAAAGGCAATCAGTTGTCTTTTTCAAAACGGCTACTTTATAAAGGACAGTTTTCGCATATGCTCGAACTTTTATAATTTTTCGATCAATAAAAATGACATCTTTACTTACTATAAACACATAGGAACAACAAAGTAAAAATCACTTTTTTTTGGCACTTATGGCCCATAATATTGCTAACGGAATGATACCGATGCCGTTAGGTGGCGCTGCAGAGATATCAAATTTTAAAAATAGTACAAATTAACCTTACTGTTTTGCTTGGTTTTGTTTAATAAGGTTTTGAATAAAATTATTCGTTAGTTGGAGGCAATAAATTCTGATGTTTTAGTTTTATAAAGGAAGAGATTTTTTTAATCATTTTAATCTTTTCACCTTTTTTGTGTTTTTTTTTTTACAACCTGAAAATCTTTACTGCTATGTATAAAGCAAAAGTTCTGCAGCGCCATCTATCCCCGTAATAAACAATTCAACTAACTGTCTTTGAACACATTTCAATACACGAACCGTTTCGCAACCGGCGCTGAAAGACTAAAAGATACAATTAGCCGATTCGACCAATTCTGCAGGCGCTCTCTTATTTAAGTTAATTTTCAAGGCGGCAGTTCGACTATTTTGAACACTCAAACAGGCAATCGTATTTCTCACGGTGTCCCTGTCAATCGGTGTTAACCGATTATCGGATTCGTTACAATCTTTAACAATCGAGCTGTTAATTTGCTTCTCCCTGGAAGCACTTTCCGCTTTGATTAGATCGTCTTTATGCGTTCCAAAACTGGACACGTTCGAAATAGATGCTGTCGGGACGCTTCGATGTTCACAATTGCTATAATGTGATTTTATGTCCTTCCCTATATCTTTACTCCTACAGTATTGGTCCCATTCCGTTCTCGCTCTGTCGAATACCACCCTGCCGCCTCTGCCAATTCTCCTCCTTACATAGCCAACACAATGCCTTCTCGGTTTATCAAATGAAACCAATGAAAATCTAAATCTTTCGTCACCAACCCCTCCATCTTCAGGAGCAGTCCAAGCAAATCGTTCACATGGTTCGTAAACTGGTGCCAGATATTTGCTACCAGGTTTTCTCCTAAATGAGAAAGTACCATCAACCTCCTCCTCTTCCTCAGAGCTAACACTCTCTTCTTCTGATACAACGAAATCGTCATAATCATTATATTGTGGTAATCTCTCTGCAGAATGATGATTAATACGCCTCTTCTTCTCGTACTTTCTTTTCTTTCTGGCCGGAGCCTGAGTTGTTTCCTCATTCCATTCATTTTGCCAAGAAATAGGCCACTGGTAAGACTGAGTTAAATTAAACATTGGACGTTTTTCCACTCGTTGTTTCTTTGCTTCGGCAACCAATTCGCCGTTATAATCCTCGCAATAGTACCGTTTTTCGAATACCTCCTTGGTAAACTCTAAAAGCTCTTTTTTACTCTTTTCCCGTCGTTTTACTAAATCAATAATTGTCAAAGCTTTCTTTATATCTCGTCGTAATTTGTTCATTTTCTCAAACGACGCTTCGTCATTTTTTCTATTTTTTCGGGTTTGCATTTTTTCGGTTCGCCGTCGAAACGCAACATAAGGATCACTGGAGCCAGTACCATCCCTTTTGTCTGTTTTAACTTTGGCAATGAGAGTTTGAGCTTGATTAGCTAATCTTTTACTAAGCCAATAATCATAAACGGCTATTGTTAGTTCATCATCTTCTTTTAAGAGCATCTTGGCCTCGTTCAGACTCACAACCACTTGTCCACTGGCGTTCTCTAATCGATCCATCATCCTCTCAAATTTGTCGCTGGTCAAATCGAACTTCCGTACCTCATTCCTTAGCCAAGTTTCATCTTCTTCGTCCATATCATAATCAACCTCTTCTTGATCTACCCCCCATGCTTGTAAATGAATATATTGTTTTGGACATTTCCAATCGGTTCTATATAGTTTTTCATAGCGTTCGAGGATTTCATGTATTTCGGGCGTCGGTATAACACGATTCTCCGTCGTGCCGTGGATCTGCTGGGCGGACAATGCTTTCTGAAGGTGATGCTCCTGTAGTACGAAACATAAAAGAAAAATTATGAATAATTGCAAAATAAGAAGATAGAACAATATAAACTATTTCTTTTTTGGCTACAATAGAACATGCATAAATTTTGTTCAAGACAAATATCAAGTGCAAATCTATACTTTTTACATTAAATGTATCGTTGTATTAAGTTTGTCTCATGTTGCGCGAATACATAACATATGAATAATTATAAATGTTTGAACATCTTCTACTCAGTGTAATTAACCATCTATACATATATTCAATGAAAAGCATATCAAAAGCAAAATTAAGAAAGACTATAGGATTATTTTATAGTAAATTGGATAAAAATGTAACTCAATACAAGACCGACAGATGGCGTATATACATAAGAAATGTACAACTTTTTCATTTCCTTTCAAAAAACCTCTCATTCTAAAGTTTCCTTTGTAAAAGTATTTTTTTGAGAACTTTTTTAAATCTATTCTCTTTTTACAACTGACTTTATATAACAATTGAAATGATAACATCAACCAATTTTGATTTTTACTTCAACATACTTTTCTTTTATCCAAAAATACGATGCATAATATTATTATGAATATATCATTGTCTTTTTTGTTAATTTGAATATGATAATACCCGCAAATAGCGTACTTTAATTACAGCAACGTGTACAGTTAAACTATAGCTCTCGTATAGAATATTAGAATTTACTATGAACATAGAAGTAATACAAGAATCATTATTATGTAGTATAATAACTATTATCAAATGATTATACCAGATATATTACAATATTCATATCACTATAATGAATAACTTATGGCATTATTGGAAACTGTTTTAGCAGTTTTTAAATAATATTCGATGTAAAGTATAGTCAAATTTTGTTTCGTTTCATTTTAAACATCAAAAAACTTATAATAAAACAATCAAATTTAACTGAGCATTAATTAAAATTTTTTTCGTCTTTTATAGAGCAACGTGCCTAGAATTACAAGTATATAATATAAAAGAGCATATTCTTTTATAATAGTACGAATATTTGTATAAAATGCAGTTGTAAAAATTCTTATTTAAGTTTACTTAGGGTTGATCATGGCAAAAGTTGGGAGTTTAATAGGCCTATAAAACGAAAAACGCGGGGAAATCCCACGATAATATAAGTCACGTGACTTTACAGAGAATAGCTTTAAACGACTTGATAAATAAAAAAGGAAGACGGCATGAGGTAAAATAAAATTTAGAGGACATGTTGCACATGTAATCCATCTAAAAAATTTTATTTTAAAGAAAAATGCGCGCCAACTTTAACCGGGTTTTCTACTAAAATCCAATATGGCGGCTAATGGACGAGTTTTTAATGTACTAGAAATGTCGACTTACCGCTTCCTCTTCTTTTTCCATGCCAGTAGGCATTTGCGGTACAGCGCGGCTGATAACCGCGAAATCTGCGACCATATCAGGAATTTCATCGCGAATATAGACGCCCATTTGTTTCTGAGCGTCTAAATTGCGGGTACGGAACGAAAGCTTACTCATACCGAACACCCCTGTCAAGTCCCAGTTGACTCGTCCACGGCTGGAAACGCCGATTTTCGGCCGTTTTTGCCAATCTTTCCGGAATTTATGCCAATTCTGCCGTTTTCGATGTCGATTCTTACCAAACCATCGCGTTTATTCGGTTTTTAAAGGGCCGATAGTGTGCGAAAAGCGGCTTTCAAATCCATCGTATTCCGGACGATAATAACAATAATGGCGGATACGGTTGTTTATTCACGCCACCTGGTGCCAAATGATCACGCATGCGCATTCATTCAACCAAGATTTTACGATTTTACGTTAGTGCGAAGATTGTAATCATGTTTGGAATTACGGGTATTCTCGACGATGTCTTGGGTGATGAGGTAAAACCAAAAAAGCGATCCCATTTAAAAACAGCCTTGGAGTTGCATGAAAATGATGACAGAGGTATTATTATTCCTCTTTTCGATTAAAACCTTTTTCTTTTTCCCATCAAGTCATTTTTATAAAGCGAGCATTACCTAGTGTGAACTTTTATTAAGTTAGAGAGTGTGCAATTGTCAGCTGAAGCTAGTATTGGTAGGTTAAGGGAGAACTCTGTTTAAACTTTCCCTGTTTGAACATGTGCAATAATTGATATTGCTCTTGCGAAGCGCCACCTGTACTTTTATAGTGAATATTATTAATTGGTGTTCTATTTCAAGAACTGATCCACGTTGGGTTTATTTAGCTAGTTAAAATAGAAATTGAAAGGCTTACTCTCGATTCTTTCCTTGTTTTAACTTAATGACAGAAAAATGTTTCTATTAATTTTATTTTATTTCTAGATAAATGCAAGTCTTTAGACTTTCTACAGTTGGAAGATGCTATTCTTGTGCTATTGGCTAGAGGTTTAGAAAAGGACTTACGATCTTTAATAAGAGGTTTCGTTAATATTGGAGAATTAAGATTTCAAAACTTCCTCACTATATGGAATGAGCAAAACTTCCATACAATATTTTTTCAAAAATCATCTTATAAGATGGTGAGAGTAACAACACTAATTAGCTATTTTAGAGTTTTATCTATGCTGGATAATGCTGAAGTCTTAAAAGTGGTTGCTGTATTATATTGCTTATATTGCCTGTTCAATGTTCAAGTATGTTTACCGAAAGTTAGAATTCCTATTACAATGGAGAAATTTGAATACTTTAAAGACTTGTCCGACCATTCATTACAAACTGGACAATATGACGTTTATTATTGTTTTAGAAAAATGCAAACTCTGCAAGCCTTTGATTTTGTAGTAAAGGAATCAATTGTAAGCGCTTTTTTTATTTCTTATCTATTCTATTGTATATTATAAAGGAAACTACTTTTTACCTCCTCAGGGTCTACCGTATTTTTCTATTAGATTTGGTAAAAGTATATTTAAAGAACTTGAAATAAACAATCCCGCTTCTGCTCCTGAAGAAGATAAACCAATTTTGGAAAAAGTTGGCGTCGCAAATGAAGATCTTGATTATTATAAAGGAATACTAGATAGTTATCACGCCCATAGAATGGATTTAGCATTGAAAAGGGATACATTTTCAATATCCTACTCCTCTCAAAAATTCTATGATAACTTAGTAGCGTTTGTACTTTTATTTCTATTGATTATTGAAATGTGATTATTTAATTACGAATATTACAGGAGTATGGAAAAGTTCGATAAATGGAAAACTATCAACCCGGGCCAGAGCTTAGATGAGAACGCTGATATTGACGATATTAACTGTAAGATTTATTGTTTTTTTTTTACTCCTTCGTTCAATTGTTTATTAGTTATTCAAATCTCACGTACAATTAAAAGTTGTTAGAGATTTTTGGTAATACGAAATAAACAGCCCATTTTCATTTTTTTCGAAAGTTTCCGACGATGAGCTACACGAAATTTTGAGCCACAAACAAGAAAGATGTGATGATTCGGATGATGAAGATTTTGTACCTCCATCAAAGGAAGAAGTTGTAAGCAAACCGAAAAAGCTTACCAGAAGACAAGAAATTATATCTAGAGCTTTTCAAACACAAGTTGAAGCTTCCGTCCATAAAACAAAAAAAACGGTTTGCTTTGATGAGGAGAGTATAACGACGAAAGATTCAGACGTGAGTGACAATGACAGTGTAAGAAGAAGTAAAAAATCAAGAACAAAAATGGTCTCTATTAGACATTAAAGAGAATTTAATAATTAATAATTGCCTAAACTCTAACCATTTTGGGCCTAGAGGAAAATTTGAAAAACAAAACATTATTACGATGAAAAAAAAATAATGTTGGCGGTTTCAATGACACATGGCTGGAGAACAACCATCCCTCAAATTATAGAGGAAAAATAACTTATTAAACAACATTAACTAATATCCTTGCAAACCATTGTAAATAGTCTGTTTTGAAGATTGTTGCAGTATTGTTTTTATACCTGAAAAAAAAAATACAAGGATTAAATATGTTAACAATCCAACTGAAAGATATAATCACTCAATGAGGCTGAGGACTTTATTTATTACTTATTTATTGATTTATCTTTGAGACCTCAAAAGAGTGAAAATATGAATTTAGGTGAATTTTTTTGCAGCTTACTTTGTCTTTCTTCGGTGGTTAAACCCTTCTTTGGAAATTCTACATCGAATGTAATGAATAAGGTGCCCTTAACATTATTATTGTCGTAGTTAGGCATTCCTTCGTCCTTCTTTCTCATACGAGCTCCTGGCCAAGTAATTTTATCTCTAACAAGTTTAACTTTATGACCGTCTAAATGAGTTATCTCAGTTTCAAATCCTATTAACGCGTCTTGTAGAGAAATAGTAATATTTGTATACAGGTCGTCTCCTCTTCTTTCAAATTTGGGATGTCTACAAGAAATATATAACATTGTAATGACTTCGTATATAGCGAAACAAAATGAAATCATACTTCATTTGCACAATTTTAAATTTCAAATCTCCTGGTTCACCATCAATGTGTGGTTCACCTTCAGCAACAAATGGATACAAATGACCGTCAACCATGCCCGGTTCAATTTCAACTTCTAACAGTTTTTCTTCAGCAACCATTCTTTTTTTATTATTAAAAATATATTAAAACTATGCCCTTGTGTTTTTTACTACTTGAACTTACTTATAATTTGGGCAATCGTCACAAACTTGCTTTTGCACCATTTGAAATCGGCCTGGGCCTAAAGGTATAGTTTGCATCTCTTGTCTACAATTACATTGTCTTGTTCCTGAGGTAGGTTTGGCTACAGGTTTATACCTTACTATCTATATTACGAGGAAGAAATTAGACAAATAGACATTTTAAATAACAATTTGAAAACTATTTGCGACGTAAAGATATATTTCTTACCTCCACGAAATTACCACTAAACAACTCTTCCAAGGATACTTCTAAATCTACTACGAGATCTCCGCCTCTTGGAGTTTCATTATCTCTCTCTCTTCCTCCACCAAAATTGAAACCAAAGTTCTCGCCGAAAAAACTATAAATAATTAAATTTATCACTTTATCAATATTTAACAAGTTATTTTTGATTTTACTTTGAAAATGGATCAAAACCATCGTCGTGACCTTGTTTACTTAATCCTTCTTCACCATGTCTATCGTAAACTTTTCTCTTCTCTGTATCAGCTAAAACCTAAGTTAAGAAAGTATATATATATTAATTTAACTTCCTCTAATTATTTATGAATGTACTATACCTCATAAGCTGCTCCTAAGTTTTTGAATTTTTCCTCAGCTGTTGGATCATCCTTATTTTTGTCAGGATGCCATTCTTTAGCTAATTTTCTGTATGCCCGTTTTATTTGGTGAGTTGTCGCATCTCGATTAACTCCTAAGATTTTGTAGAAGTCGCGGCTAGGAAAAATGAAATAAATAAACTTGATGAAATTAGGAAATCTCTCCTAATAACTTTGAAAAATTAATTAATTTAAAGATTCTTTAAACACAAATGAAAAGTTCATTTTAAATATCACGCTAAATGTTCTTACCCACAACAAACAATTGAAATAGCCACTATAAAATACAAAACAACTAATATCGGTAAGTTACGCATGATAGTTTTGGTTCCGGTTTGTGCCACGCAAGTGTAGGATGCATTATGGGATATTGTTTACAAGTGACATCTGTTGCTTTATTTATAAACAATTTGTACTAATCATTGCGCAAACTAGTGTTTGTTCTAAAAAGAATATTTAAATTTGTTTACTCCCGGTTGTTTTTAACCAAAAATCCATCTCAACTTTTTTAGATAAACTACTACTGGCAATCTAAAAGATATATCTTTATTAATAATTCAATTAAAATTAAATATTTCCTGTACTTACCGTATTTTTTGTAATTTTTGTTTAATTATTTAGTTAAGTTTCGCTTTGAAAGTTTTCTATTCATAGAGAAAAGAAAAATTATTCAATTACGCTTATAAACTAATTTGTAAAGATATATTTATTTTAATCACTTTAACTTTTTAGACATTTTAACTAAAGTGGGAAGTACTAGTTGTTATATTAAAGGGATAATATTTACCAAGAAAATTTCTTTTATCCAAAATCTGGCTGTAATTTTAACTAATTTGTAAATATTTTTTATTTACAAAATAATATTGAAATAAGGAAAAAAATAGACGATTAGTATTGCATAGGCAATTCAATATTAATGAAAATTTACTGTTTAGTTGAGCGATAATAAAGGAAATGAAAGGACTCGTAAAGATTATCTTTGCTTTGTGTTTTTTGTTGTGGAAAATTGATGGATTAGATAACGGCTTAGCTAAACTTCCACCAATGGGTTGGATGTCTTGGGAAAGATTCATGTGCAATATAGATTGCGTAAATTATCCAAACGATTGTATAAGGTTATTATTATAACATTTTTTATTTGTCTTTTTCCTTTAATTCTATTATTTATTCTTCTAAAAGTGGAACTTTATAATTTTTCAAGAAATGTAGTTATATATCTATTATTTAACAGTGAAAATCTAATTAAGAGTACCGCTGATGCTCTAGTTAAGTACGGTTTTAAGGAGGCTGGCTACAAATATGTAAGCATCGATGACTGCTGGCTTGAAATGAAACGAGACCATTCCGGACAATTGGTAGCAAATAGAACTAGATTTCCTAGCGGTATTCCCGCTTTAGCTGATTATTTACATAATAAAGATCTAAAATTTGGAATATATCAAGACCCTGGTAATATGACTTGTCAAAGATACCCAGGAAGTTGGGGGCATATTGATCAAGATGCTAAAACATTTGCTAATTGGAAAGTAATATATTTCACATTTAAAACACTAGCAATATTGATAATTATAGCGATTTACTCTTAAAGGTTGATATGTTAAAGTTTGATGGATGTTTTATGCCTTCAAAGAGCGCTTACAATCATGGTAATGTATATATTACTTAATATATCCATTTCGTTAACTGCCATACTCATATTTTTATCTGCAATTGTTTCTATTAGTCTATATCGATATGAAGAAGGCTCTTAATGCAACAGGAAGACATATTTTATACTTTTGCGAATGGCCATCATATGTTTCACAAGTTTGTTATTAAAATCTCCCAGGACAGTGAGAATATAATCACAATTTGCTTTTTAGGTTGATATGAGACTTGTGGCCGAAACGTGCAACGCTTTTAGAACTTATAACGATATTGAAGATGAGTGGACTTCTATTCACCAAACAATGAAGTTTTTAGGTGACCATAGCAGGACTTTATCAAATATTACTGGACCTGGGAAATGGAATGATCCAGACCAGGTTAATTTAATTTGTCGATTAAGCTTTTAATCTTATTATAACGTAGTCATTTCTATTTTCCATAAATAGCTAGTAATTGGAAATTTTGGTCTAAGCTTCAATCAGGAAAAACTACAGATGGCACTCTGGTGCATTGTATCAGCTCCTCTCTACATTTCAGCCGATGTAAGGCAAATGAATAAAGCATCCCGTGATATATTGTTGAACAAATTAGCTATATCAATAAACCAAGATCCTCTTGGTAAAATGGGCTATCAGATAAGGGTTGATGGTCAAGTAAGGGTTTGGAGAAAAGAGATATCTCCAGTCGGAAGTTACGCTCTGGCCATAACGTATGAAAATATTGCCGGTGGTCCAAAAAGAATATCTTATAAACTCTCAGACTTGGGCTTTGTTTGGAGAGCAAGGTGGAACTTCACTGAAGTATTTGAAGGAAAAAGCTTCGGTTATGGTATATACAAACCTTGGTATACCCTAAATGGTGAAGTTAATCCAACCGGTGTCTTATTTTTACACGCTCAAGTCTTACCTTGAATACCATGAATATTTTATATCAATTTTAAACGTATGACTTATAATGAAGCTTTTTACTCACCTAGCAAAACTAAGAAACAATTCTATAAACGGACAATTTCTTCACTTTTTTTTTTTAATAAAACAAAACTTTATTTTTTACTTTATACAACACAACTTCGTCATTTGTTTTACTACATTCAATATTTAAAAAGATTTTAAACCGGAAATGCTTCTTTCAATTACCTCTAACAGTTTTCTTTTTATTTTTTTGTTGTTAATGCACATAGTAAAGTAATGCTGAAATTTATTAATTCAAGAATTATGCATATAGAGTGTATAATTGATTCTAAAATCAGCATGATTATTGACAAAAATTCATTGTACTGATACGGGTTGACTAAATATTAGAGGACCAGCTGTTCCTCTATGTTTCATAGCAATTTGTCTTCCACTATTAGAAGCTAACTTTGGAGCTGGCTTTCCTGCTAGTGTGAAGTCGGTGCTTTGATTAAGAACCTGCCCTACAGTCCCTTTGTTTCTCTCGGCCCAATCACGAGCTTCTGGTGGAATTGCTCTTGCTGCTCCACCATTTCTACCGGGTGTTGCAGGTCTATTAGCAAATACCTTTCTCATGCCTCCACCGGCGTGTTTCTCCGCCGTATCTGCAGCTTCTGGTTTGACACTTCTTCCTACGTTATTCTTTTTAATGGCCTGAGACGGGTGTCCTTCCAACAAACTACTCATAACACCTTTGCTCATCTCATATGTTTTTTTAGCTTCTGGCTTTACAACTCTAGCTGCTGCTGGAGGTGCTGGATTGGCTTCCGGGTCATGCACAATCAATTTCTCCATTAAGCCTTTGACGTTTCTCTCTGCCCATTCTCTAGCTTCCGGTTTTACTCTAGAGACATACTCTTTGTAAAAAGGATCACTTTTACCATCTTGTTTTAGAACGCTATCCATTTCCGAGACTTGTCTTTTAGACTTCGGTATAGATTTAGGTGCGTTTTCGTGATTAAACCAATCTTCCGAATCCTGAAATGATATGTTTCATTAGTAATGATAAAGATCATGTAGATATCTCTTTATTACTATGTTTCCTTTACTGAAAGATGAGTTGTATGGTTGTTCATCGATGTCATCGTCGTGATCATGAGTAAACCATTGGGACACAGATCCATGCTTGTTTCTTTGAAGATAATCTTCAGCTGATAAATAAAAGAAATTTGTATCGAGTCAGGAAATGCGACAAAATATAGGCCTTAAACTTACCGTTTACATCAGTAAGTCTATGTTTTTCGTAATGAACGACTTGATTAACTTTATCTCCGTGTACATACCAATCTGAACTAGCCCTCATCTTATCCAAGTTATCTTTACAAGCCTTCGAAGGACTTCGATGCTTAGTAAAAACTTCTTCAGGATTCTTATGTTCGTGTTTGTACCATTGATCACTCTGACCTTTAGCTTTTTCTTTAATTTCAAACGCTGACGATTCGGTTAAACGATGTTTTGCCCTAGGTGTATGATAATTTTTGTTTTCATCAAATTTAAACCACTTGGACGATTCACCGTTCATTTTCGAATTTCTTAAAGATTCGGCACTGGGACATCGAGATTTTCTTGGTTTTACCGCTGAGCCATTTGCATTGTGAGTAAACCATTCATCAGCCATACCTGTTAAGAGAAACGTCAAAGGAAATGTATGATTAAAAAGGCAAAAAAGGCAAAAAAAAGGAAATTTCCTTCAAAGAGATTTCGTTTCTGAAAAATGTTGCATCAGCTATTTATAAAAATTTCATCCTCTTCTCTCTATCTTCACGATTCTTTTGTTCATATGTCATGAGCATCTTTTTATTTACAATTTTTTTATAAAATAGCATATACATGTCTTAAAACTCAGGTATTTCTCTTCTCCTTTATCATTTATTGTAAAATAAAACCAAAGTAAAGCGTCGTTTTGGTAATTAACATCTCTCAGAGGATATATAATTATATAGATTTAAGAAACGCAGCTATTTATTCCTTTCATGACACTCTATTGAACTTTCTATTACATTATTTGACACGTACCTCTGGCTTTATCCGCAATTTCGTGAGCTTTTTCGCTTTGTAATTTTCTAGGTAATCTTTTTCTTTCTTCTACATTTCCTCCATCGTGTCTAAACCAGTCATTTGTTTTCCTCATTTTAAGAGCCCATTCGTTCGCTTCTGGTCTGGTTCTTGGATGAAGAGTTGGAGTTGGGGGTTGGCCAGGAGCTCCCGGCATATTTAGCTATTGAGCAGAGTAGCGAAATTATGTAAAACAATGATAAAGGAAAATGTTGCTGCAGATCGAATAAACGACTACTGATTGAAGTTACTTTAGGTACTCTTTCCAATGAAAAATCTTTGCTCTCAAACGAGGATGAAAGCTTGAGAAATCTAAAAAGCCAAATGACAACCACATGAAACTTTTTTTTTCTTTTGATAATCGATTCAACTAGTTTCCATGGAAACAAATAAATCAGGTGCGCATCGTTTGTTCTTAATTAATTATCACTATTTGAGAGAAAAGTCTTTAGCTCTTCTAACGATTTATCTTGACTTGATTTGCGTACTATCTATATGAGAAATTTCTTAAAATACAGTGCTTAGACGAACTAATTTATCCTTTCATGTCGAAAAATGACATTATTAATTATAAAACGATACTTTTGTATATTGTATTAAATAACGATGTTAATTACTTATATCCAACCTTTATTGGCTTCTTTTCTAATATATTCTACTTCAAAGCGATTAAAGTTTAATCTGTCGAAATTGTATCTTTCAACCGTAGCAGACGATGTAGGTATGTGGTTGCCTATATACATCTTAAAACTAACGAAATCCAGCCAATCAGCTCTCTCCTATAATTCAATACGCCATTTTATCATCTGCTACGGAATATAGCCAAAGACTTTAGTCAAAAGCAAAGATATTCCATGATTTTCTCATAAAAAACTCGAATAATGACTATTGTAGGATACAAGTTTTTTATTAATAATGAAAGTAGAACTATTTTAAAAGAAATTCATTAATGTAAAACTAGAAATTATGAAAAAAAAACCATTCAAAAACGAAAATATGAAAAAGAAAATAGGATATCGCAATTGATTAAATGTAGAATAAATGTTTTATGTGGTATAAATAGCCTATTATAAAAAATATAAGAATGACAATATTATTAAAACAATAAGCTTTTTTCTTATCATAAAAAGAGTATTGGAAGAGTATTTTCTTTTGACTCTTACTCTATAAATGGTACGAAAAAAGAATGTATATAGGCCATAATTTGTGTGTTTTCCAAGTTTTACTTTTGTAATATTCTCACCATTTAAAATTTATTGATCATAATTAAGCTTTTTCTCTTTGCCTTATTTTAAAAGGAAGATACAATTTTAAAAATATGTCGAATATAGAAGGTACAAGGTAATATTGCATTTATTTTATAAAACAAATCATTCGATACGTTATTACTCAATGAATAAGTTAAATGTCTATATTTTCGTCCGAGTATTGGAGTGCTAAAGAACTAATTTTTTAAAGATAATTCCTTATTTTTCAGTGATTTTAATGATCCGAACGAATTTTCCAATATTAACTCAAAATTAGATGAGGAAATGGGGACAAATAACCAATCAATTATAAAATTAATCAATATTCTCGAAAAGAAAGATAACGAATTAAAATCTTTAGCAGACGAAAATAATGATTTAAAGAAGGAATTGAAATCGTTCAATTCACAGCTCTCAGCTTTGACCATTGAACTGTATCAACTGGCTGGGAATGAGGACGGATTAAGTCATATCAAAGGTCATAATGAGATCGCAAAAAGTCATTCATTTAAAAAAAACGGTTATACTTCAAAGATATTTGAATGCTTTTCAAATATAGCAGAAAGGTATGAAAAGAAGCTTGAAGAAAAGGATGATTTTATAAGAACTATTGAAAATGAAAATTTACGCTATAAAGTAAAGATTATTGAATTTACAAAAAAACTTCAAAGAATATGTCAAATAAATAAAGCTACAACAGAGCTTGTTACACCAATTAAAACTCGTCAACAAGTTAAATCGCAATTATACAATTTACTATCAGAAGTGAATATAACAGCTACGTCTAGATCTAGTTTATTAAATCAATCGTCTTCTATAGAAACTGAAGAAGACGGTATTAGTAGAGATATGTTGGGAGATGATTCATTATCAGATTATTCATTCGAATGTCAAATGTGTTCTAAAAGATTTCTTATGATCGATTCCCTTCAGAAGCATTACTTACAATGTAACGGAGTAATTGGTCAATCGCAAAGGTTAGACTATAGCCAATATAATTCATTGGACACAACTTGAGGAATAAAGGGATTTCTCTACTCTATAATATTAAATTAACTAATTAGATTCAGATCGTAATTATCACATTGCAACATGACATGTGTTGTATATATAAATATATATATATATATATATATTTATACACTTTATATATATATATATATATATATATATGAAGAATCTATTTATACTTAATTGCTTGACAAATTCATTAAAATAGTTCCTACTGAGTTTTAAAAGATAAAATTACTTGAATAAACTTCATTTTCAAAAATTTCTCTGTTCTATATATAGCATATATACATATACTATATAAATATGTATATATTTAAATATTTCCTTCAATTATCCACATCTTTGTTATTTATATAAGTAAATGATGAAAAATGATGAAAATAGTTCGTAATTAAGAAATAATTACAATAATCATAAGCCAAAATGCCATCTATCGGTGTAATTGATATTAAATAAGCTATTGTTTGTTAGTTGTTGAGCTTTGTTTTGCTTTGTTTTTATTTAATTAAAGTGAAATTTAATAGTTTTATGATGGAAATTTTGGGTGAGTTTGTATTAAATTGATAAATATATACAACAAAGAGTTAACCTGTATTTGTATATGTTATACAGTATATATAATATTTATATATAAAGTTAACAAGAATTCCTTTGTTAATCATGTTGTTATTATCATTTTCTTGATATAAGAATATCAAACATAAATACAAGATGTTTACTTCTACATTAAAGCTTATTGTGAAATAAATACATGCATCATATCTCGAATATTTCACATATAGATTAAGACAAATAAAGGCATTAGGGGCGATTTTTCTTGGGTTTAGATTTCATAACCAGATAAAAAAAACTTTAATAAATTGAGGTCAGGAGGTTGAAACGACCAGAGGGCCTGGATTTAGAAAGATTTGGTTTGTTGGTTTTAGTTTACACGCATTCCAACCAATTATCTCACGGTATTTGATAAAGCGCGCAACCAAAACGAGGCTTATAGAATTCGACAATAGAAATATATTATAATTTTATGATTAAATGTGGCGCCCCCTAACGACGAAAAACTTTTTCAGCCTGGGACAAGGCATTCTGAATCAACTGATAGGTGGCGGCCTTCGTTGTATCTACAATCTCTGGTTTTAGCTTTTAAAGTTTTCTTTTAGCAAACTGTCATTTTCCCGAGAAAAATCAACTGCGGAAAATTCGAAAAGCGAACTCTGCACACTACTATTCTGGAAAATATTACTTAATAGGCGTTCAAGGGTCAAATCGTAGCTTTCGGTTTGTTGTTCAACAATTCAATCCCGTCAACCCTAGCGAAGGCCAATCAAGGAAACATTTTATGAAAAAGTCATCTAAAATCTTCCATCCCCAACATTTTGCACAAACTTGTAAGTGACACATTTTCTTAAATCTTATTATCTCAAACTAATTTGGGACTAAACCTGCGTTTGTTACGGAGCTAACAAACTTTAATCATCTGTTTTACTGAACGATAAACTGGTTGTTTCGCTTCATGCCCTTTTGGCCTGCGTCAACTGACCTAAATTGGCCTAGACTGTTGATACGGTCGTTTTAACAGTTATAAAATACGTGAAACACTCATTAAGATGATATTTAGTCAATTTGAAGTGTTCAAGTTACTTGACAAGCGGAAATCATAGAAAAAATGGCGGTGCGTACACTAACCTTTTTGTCAACAGGTGAACATGATCGAAAATTCAGAACGGATCGTCGAACATGTTAAAGACACTGTTATGGACGTTTGTAGACTTAGTTTGGCCAGTGAAAATAAGTATACAGTAGACGGTTTAATTGGTGTTACTCTAAGTGCCAATAAGGAAGTGATTTTAATCAAAATCAATGAAGCTGTAAGTATTTTACTCTAATTTACGCATGCATTACTACTTTTCTTATCTCTATTTTTAAATTTTATTCTAATTACATGAATAAATCGGCCTTGAATACTTTAAACGTTACTCAACAATCGCTACACTGACCAATAATCAAGCTCTCTTGACAAAACAAAACAAAATAATCTTCTCTAGTACTCCCGCTGTCTTAAACTTTGAATGAAGCATTCATATAAATTATAAAGGATCTCATATTTTTAACTAGTATATTGTCTCAAGGGAGAATATCTGTGTTCAAGCTTTAATAGCTTTGTTAAAGTCCCTTTTTTCTCGTTTTATTATGCGATGCCAGAAATATTGTTCGCAAAACTTTTTTCAACTACTAACATAGCCAGTTTTTTGTATTCATCATAAAGATTAATATATATATTGAGCTATTATTACATTTACAATATTACGATTATTGCATTTAGAAGGAGTTAACGATCAATTAGAAAGAAATTTACACAGGAACCACCATATATAAAATTTATAGAGGTCTTTAAATAATAGGGGTTACAAATATCTAATGCTTTTTTTCTGCCTTTTTTGATATTATCTTTTATTGTTATTATCCCATGTTCTTACCATGGAACGATTCTTTTTATTCTCTTTGCTTCCTTTGACCCCCTCCCCTCTCCCTTCCTCCTTGCCCCTACCCTATTTATGAACCCTTTATATAGGCAAAAAGGGATATCCTTATTTTTTGTATCGTTTTTTACGTCCCTGATTTAAAAAAAAAAGTAATAAATAAAACACTTAAGGCCTGGAGACAAAAACTATATAGGCGTAAAACGATCTTTGTTACATTTTAACAAACACTTAACTTCTTACCTGCCGGGATGTTAATGTATTTTTATATGTATTTATTATCTTTCATGACTTTTTGATAAGTGATAATTGTCTTTTTACAGGTTGTCAATTCAACTGGAATTGATCATAATGACGATTCACCAGCTACGAGTATTCCAGAATTCGGGGATGAAAATGGACCAATAACAATGAAAAATGACGAATGCAAATCGGCTATAGAAGATTTTGTTTCTGGTCCACAGATGCATAAAGTAGAAAGAGCTCGAATAAAACGACTAATTTTTGATACAGTGATGATGTTGTGTAAAAGCTCATTAAAAGATATAGATTTTCAGGTTAGTTTTAATAGTTCTCTTTATTTGTGCCAATCATTTTTTATTTACAAAGAAACAACTTTTTTTAAACGTCACAATAATTACAAAAAAAAGTATTAAAAAGGAATTGTTATGTTAAAGGTAGTATAATGGTAGTGACAGTATTACTAAACAAGGAAGCCATATTTGAATGGTGATATTAAGCTAAAATTCCTTTGTAATGAAAACTTAATAGAACGTATCGAGAGAAGAAAAAAAGAGAAAGAGAGACACTCCTATACGTCCATTCTTATTTATTTGTTACTAGTCCTAGAAAATTGTCCACATCCTAATTAAATCTTTTTCTCATATTCAAATTAATCCCAATAATTTTGATACTATTGAAAAAAGAGAAAAAACCAAAATAAAACAAAAAGAAAATGGCGTCGGTGAAGTTTTCTGTCTCATTTTCTCTTTATCTAAACAAACATGTATGATATATAAATAAAACCGTTAAATAAATCTGTATAGTTGGAAAATTTACTTTCTTTTTCTATATTAATTTTCAGCAAACGTCATACTTCAATAACAAAAAAAAAAGTACAGTGTCTTGTAAAACAAATTTACTTTTAATCAAGAAAAACAAAGTTAATATCTTTAACTAAGACAAAAAACAGTATTAAAACAAGCAACATCGATAATATATTTAGTATAAACAGGTATTTAATTTTGATGTTGTTTGTTCAGTTTGTCCTCATTTTCTATAAATATAATCTTTATTTTTTTTTATTATACCGTGTATACTGAATGATATACATTTTTTACAACCTTGGTGTATGGTGTATATATTTTCTGTATATACTGTATGTATTCCTTCTTATATTAAAATAAAAAAAGTATTATTTGGTAATGAAATTAACGCATGAATGGTTTCATTAACCGAATAATCGATATTATTATTTACACACTTAAAAAGCTAACAATTATAAAACACTCGACTAGAGATCGTTTTTCTTCAATACTATTATACTTTTTTTTAATCTTAATATGAACAGTCTCTGTGTAAAATAATAATAAAGAAAATTTTAATATAGATACTGAATATCTATATATATATATATATTCTACAACACAAAAAATGAACAAAATTGTATATAACACGTTTAATTAAAAAGGTATAATTAAAGAAAAGTTGTCGTATAACTGTCTTTTTTAATTATGTAGATTTATTAATAAAAAAAGAATTATTAAAAATAAAAACAAAAAATAATATAAAAAAAAAGCCTGCTCCTTATTCTTATGTTTTGAATATTGATTTGTTGAATATTCAGATAATAATTGTCTTTATAGTTCTTTTTATTATGCTTTTTTTTTATCTATATTCATATATTTTTTGTTTTATGTTTAGGTTGATGGTTTAATAGGAATTACACTGGCTGGTAGTGAGGTTTTTTTAATAAAATTCGATCAGCATGTTAAATCTCGATTGGACATTTGCTCTATTGCTCGAGCTAGTGGGATTTTACCGGAAGAAAATAACAATGATACAACTAATCTTGCAGGAGAAATGGTGGAAGAAGATAAAAAACCCGACTTACAAACCCTTGAATCCATTCCGTTTCACCCTCCCTCAAATATTCCTGTTCCTATTATGGGCGTTCCACAAGATTTAGGTCATTCAGTAGAAATGACACAACTCCAATCTTCCGGTCCTATGGGATACCAACCTGTTATACAACATACAACCATGATGATGCAACACAACCAAAATATGCATCAAATACAATATCCTGGTGGACCACCGACGCATTGGAACGCTCAACCAGACAAGACATACACCGAACTTAAATCGCCCAAGGAAGAAGCCATGATGTCCCAACAAATTACCATGTCTCCAATTAGAACGCCAGATAAGGATATGAACCGAAAGAAAAGATCTTTTCAATGTGACCGATGTACAAAGATGTTTACTTGCAGGGCTCTGTTGGACAATCATATAAGGTATTCATTACTATTTAAATGACATAATATAGAGTATAAGATATACCTTATATATATATATATATCTATAAATATATATATATATATATATATATATATTTGTAGAACGCACACGGGGGAAAAGCCATTTACATGCGACATTTGCCACAAATCGTTCAAAGAAAAATCGCATCTTCGACGCCATAAATGGACACATGATGATACAAGGCCGCATAATTGTTCCCATTGCAATAAGGGATTTATCACTAAAGGTGAATTCAGAAATCATATGAAGAGGTATCACGAAGTGGAGATCCCCTGAAAGATAACAAAAGCGTGAAAGAGAGAGTGAGTGAGAATTTTTAGACCCAATCCCAAACAACATAGTCTTTCGCTAACGTTCCAAGTTATTACTTCTCTCCTTTATTTTCTATTTCTAACGCTTGAGATTATATTAATAGCATCTACCGTCTACTTTTTTATAAAAATTTTACACAACTAAGCACAACGTATGCTTTTTTTTGCAAAAAGACTAACTATTGGATAAACTGTTTTTCTTCATTATTGAGCCATTCAGAGGACGAACTGTGATACCTGTGCTAGGTGATGTATAGTTAAAGAGAGAGAGAGAGAGAGAGAGAGAGAGAGAGAGAGAATAGGGAAAAAGCGAAAATACTCTACTAAAACTACTTTCTTCTTTGTTTTTGGTTTTTTTTCTCATCAAAATTTAAAAGATCAATAGTTTTTATTTCCTTCTTTTCTTTTTTATATTATTTAAGATAAAACGAGAAAAGATGGATTATGGGCAAATTTCTATTCTTTCATAATATTCAAAGGCAAAACAACGGAGGTGGGAGGGGAGAGAATTAACGATAAGAAATATATTTTTGTTTTTCGCTCTACACCAAAAATAGATTATTTTTCGTTTTTTCAATTCTTCCCCTAACTCTTTAATATATTTCACCGCCTGTGTTCACGTGGGTAGACGAGAATAAAGATGTGGTGGAGGGGGGGAGGAGGGTAAGAGTACGGGTTAGGGTGGGCCAGATAGATATAAAATGAATCTACCTATGACATTACGAGACTTGTGATTATATTTTATTATTTCAATGGAGAAAAAAAACGAAAAATGAAAGCAAAACTTTGTTGTTAAATATTTTATATAAAGGAAAAAAGATAGAGAGGAAAAAGTGTATAAATAGTAAAAAGTTAGTTCACCCATAAGTCTTTTTCATCTCAAATCTTGTTTAACTTTTTAAAATTTTTTACTCTCTCTTTGCGTGCTTCTCTAAAAAAAAACTTGTATAAAAAAATTCGGCTCATACGTGCCTTATTATGTAAAAAACAAAAACAAAAAGTTAAAAAACAAAAGAAAGAAAGAAAGAAAACAAAAAGAAAGAAAAACTTTTTTTTAGTTTATAGGTTTTTTTTTGTTTTTGTTTTGTATTGTTTTTTTTTTCTTTTGTTGTTTATCTTTTTATTTTAAATTTGTGAACCATTTCTATTAATACGAAAATATTATATGCAATCAAAGTTTTCATTTCTACATTGTGCTCATGTATACGCATTATACGTGCCATTTTTTAAAATTGTAGAATTTTTTGGTTTTTTTTTTCTTCTTCTTTTGTTTGTTTTTTTTTTCATCCTTTATTTAGAGGAGAAAAAGAAAAAGGCCATTTAATCGTCATGTAGTTGATTTAGTTTATTAAAATTTTATTTTTTATATTCCCTTCCCTTCTTCCTTCCCTTTCCCCCAAAACAATGTTTTAATTTCTTTCTTTTTCTTTCACTTTTTTTTTTGTATATTGTATAAATAATTAAGCAAATACATATTATATATATATATATGTGTTTGTATAGTTTTATACATTGTTTTTTCTTTTTGTCTAAAACTTATGTGTTTATATATTTATATATAAATGAATAGTTTTTATTTTTTTATAAATTATGACAAAAAAGTTTGTGCTATACAGGGAATTAAAAAAAAAAAGAGAAAGAAAAAAAAATTGATGCACGAAATAGCCTTATTCTTAGTGTAAAAATCTGCTTATTTCTTCTTTTTTTTTTTTTTTTTGTTAATAAAACAAAATTATTTACTGTAATAAAATTTTACTTCAAAAGTTAATTGATTTTTCTTTCCGATATTTTATTATCTTTATTACGAAAAGTAACGGATAGCGTCTACCGGTAGATGGCGCTACTAGTTAATAGTTTTATACATACAAGAGAAATTCGTTTATTTACAATTTATATATATAAATATTTATTTAAATATAGATATATATCGCGTTCTTTTATTAATACATTTTCTGCTGAACAATGATTTTAGAGAGAGAGACTGTTTTCTTGTTCGTTTTAAAAATAATGTATGATGAGTCATGATGTTATTAATTATTCACCTAAACAACAACTTGTTTTTTATATTTTTATATCTATACAGCTAAATTTAAACGTTTCTCAACTTTATTTGACATACTCCCTTTTCATTTTTAAAGCACTAACATTGACAGAGACTTAAAAAGAAAAAAAAAAAAGAGAAAACAAACTATACTTTAACATTAGATTATGTCCAAAGTTGAATGTCTTTTGGTCACTATTCCCTTGGTTAATGATTAAATAGAGTCAATAAGTCAATGGTAGTAGCCTTGATTGTAGTCGTATTGTCCGCAATATGCTGTGGCAACGTAATTATCTTCTGCCGTCCTCCGTCTTTTCGTCATAGGCGGTGTAAGAATATCGTCGTTGCTACTACTACTAGAATTATGAGGGGGAGTCATGTCGTATACTGAGTTGGGAACGTAATAGTTTGGCGGTGTTTGTACAGGAGGATAATAATAGTTTGATTCCATAACATTGGGAGGTGTAAGTGTTCTATCGTAATTGTCTCGGAAACCTTTGGCGAACGGATTGTGGTTAACTTTCAATTCCGTTATCTAAGAAGGAGAAAAAAGTAATAATGATATTAATAAATGCGACTATATTACAAATACAAGTCTATAAAAAATACATACATCTGTATTTTGATAAGCCGTTACAGCTATGAATTGAGTTTCAGGAAAGGCTATACTTTGTAATGTCCTCTCACTATTTGGATCCGCCTCTAGGTTAAGGACGTGAAGTTTTGGTTGATATTTGTGCATAGAATTTAAGATAATCTGTAGGTACAGACGAAAATTATTATTATTATAATTATTGTTATTATTATATGTATAACTTACATAACCAGCTTGTTTACAAGATTTATTATTCGTTAATTTTAATTTTGAAAATAGTACATCCTGCTTCATCCAATGAGCTCCTGTATTTGGTGAATCAGGGTGGAGACATACACGTCCATCTATAAGTATAAGAGAAATATTTAATAACTAATTACTATCATAAAACTGTATTATTTCTATATTAAAACAAAATACAAAACGTCTTTCCCTATCTTCCTTCCTCCCTCCCTCCGTTTTTCACTCACTCATTCACGTACATCCTCTCTACTATATAGAAATATAGAGAATGAATAGAAATACTTTTCTTATTACAAGTTATTCTTCACAATGGTCAAAAGAAGCGTAATAAGGCGTCGTTAGCGTTACTCTATTGTTATCTGTTGCGGAAGTCGTTTCGAAGTGATAATGTCATACCTATTATCACCTATGACTTTATCTAGCTTCCAATTCTTTTTAAACGAATATACGAGCTCCTATTTACATACTGCACCAATATATATACAGTATATATATATATCTCTTATTAAACGCTCATTTTCTCCCTTCATTTACAAAATCGAAATTTTTATTCGATTTATAAATAGAATATTATGATGTAACTTTTACTTTTTCTCTATTCATTTCTTTTTTTAGTAATAAAAAAGTATCGAAAAGAAAAGAAATAAGAATAGTAGAAAAAAAATCCTAATTAATTCGACATTGGGCCAGTTTCCTTTTCTTTTCATTCTTTTTTTGGACAAAATGCTAATTGAATATTTTTTTTCTCCAAGTGTGAAAAATAGAAAATGTAACTATTGAAGAAATTTGTCACCCTAAATACTTTGTTTATTTTTACTACATTCGAATGAATGAAATGATTATAAGGGAAAAAAAAAGACAAATGAAAAGAAAGATGGATGGAAAAAAATTCGTTCCAGTGTCAAATCAAACTGGATAGAAAAATCATTATGTTTGTTGGAGAGTTGATAGAACAAAACACGGCTGTCACGAGCCGATCAACCACGGGTGGTCGTCCGCAACCCACGTGGTCAGCTACACTTGATTACCTTGTTTTTCGCGAACTTTTACCGTCCGATTGGACAAATGTTAATTTTTTTTAAAATTACGCCTATACAGACTTCGCTACGACATTTTTGAACGATTAAATTAGCCTTTTTTGAAAGTAGCATGGGGCGGTAAGGGAGAAAGGAAAGGAGAAAGTCTAAACGATCATTGATTTCTATTGTAACGCGTGTGTCTTCACAATACAATGAGGAAAAGACAAATAGTGACAAAACTAAATGATCAAACCTTTAGGAAGTGGATCAGCGTGACCAGTAGGTTTCCATTCACCGCTTTGAAATTTCCAATGTTGAGGATCAGCGAGGACTATTTCGACGAAAACATTATAATACTTATTAGCGTCTAAGCCAGTTAGACTAAATTGTAGAGTTGGAAACATTCTCCTGTAGGTCGAATATAGTAAAGATATATTAGAGGGGGAAAAAAACAAGAAAAACGAAAAAAGAGAGACAATAAACAAATAAATAATGTTGACAAGAATATCGGAGTGCGTAAAATAGCGGTTGTCTGTGAAAGGAGATAACGATTAAAGTGAAGTATAATGCCGCCTCGTTAGTGTTTGGACTGTTTTTTCTTTTTGTTTAACTACCATTTGTCGACTTGTGTCATTCTTGCGGAGTGCATTTTGAAAAGAGATTGTTGAATATATACGCTAACACCTGCGCTTGGGAGCACTTGAAAAGAGAAGCGCTCGTTACGTAACTATCTTCCAATTCGAACCGTCCCGTCATAAGCGTGTCGTTGATAAATATCTTTGTGACATCATTTTTCACCATAAACGCTCTAATGTGATAATTTGACTTGGCCGAGTTAGATCGTTACCTTAATCTTTCTTTTTTCTACATACCGGAACTTTACATAACAATGAACTCAAACCATCTATTCGAGTTGCTAATGCCTTTACGGCATTCTTTATCCAACTTGAATGTTCAATATAGGCAACGTAATAATTAACTTGTAAGATGCAGTTCTTATCTTTTCACTTTTTTCCTTATCGCACTTTGACGAGAAAACCCCCTCCAACTCGCCACTCACAGATAGTCATCTCTATGACGTCAATTATGACGCCTGCCTGTTATATACTCAGTCATCTAGTCGTGGGTAATTTGTTAAAAAGTTTCTCTATTTTCCCTCTCCAGCTCTTTCCTACCTTTCTATCTTTTTTTCCATCTAATTTATCATTACTTATCTTCTTCCTTACATATTAAAGAAAAGAGAAAACAAACTTTTATCCTACTTTACATACATTGTAGGAATTATGGAGAGCTTAATGCGGGAAAAAAGTTGTCGTTTATATTATTCTGTTACATAGCCGAATTGGTAAGGCTTAAAAAAAATATTTCCCCAAAACTATTGAGTAGTTACTCAACGTAAAAGATATATATATGCGGTAAATGTAGTCTACAGTACTTAACGAAGGTAGTGAACGAACAGCAAAATTAAAAAATGAGTAGATAAAAAAGATACAAACCTGCCCTGTTTGGTAATGATCATTTCGGTTGTATGATGGTGGAACTTTAACCATAATTCTCTATTACAGAGGAAAACGGATGATTGCAAGTTCGGTTGAACGATCCGTGGATTGACGACTCGTTGCTGATAATCTTCGGGCACGTTAACGTAATAGTTTTGAGATTGTCCGTATACATTCGAGTATCTGGTATCTTCTTCGTATTGGCAGTAAGGAGCATTATTATAGCAGCAAGACGATGCGGACGAAGTTGTAGCAATTGCTCTTCCATATTCTTCGTCATCGTCTCGCCTTTCCTTTTTTTCTTCGACAGTTCGTAGCATTTTTGGCGGATTCTTTCCTAAATATTGTTCACACTTCGCGTGGCGAGAACTAGATGAGCTTGAGTTCTTTTCAGAAGTTATTTTCAGTTACCTGTAGCTAGGCGGAATTGAAACGGGCGCTGATTGGTCGAATAATTGTCATACCACTTTCTATTGGTCAAAAAATCTAAGGTGAAGGCGGTGTTTTATTGTTATGTATTATATACATTTATACATATATATATATGTATATATATATATTCCTTTAATTAAAGTTCCTAATACTTAAAGCATCTAGAAGGTCGAACTTGAAAAAGTTAGTTTTGAGAGTTATATCACTAAATAGGTCAATATAGTCTATATAGATATACCTTATTTTTTCAATGGCTCACATATTAAATTGAGTAGTATCTTTCTTTGATTTTCGTAGGAATACTGCAAATTTAACACCTTTTTTTCCCCCGTCTCCTCAGCTTGTACATTCAGCAAAGTAGTCTATATTCTTAATAAAGTACTTGTATATATAGAAAGTTGTTATATTTCCATTCAGAAATTCATTCACAAAAAAATGTCCTTCAAAAACAATTTAAATAAATAATTATATATTCTATTGAGCTAAATATAGGACATATAACAATTATATATATGTATATACTGTATATATATATATATATATGTTTGTGCTGAAGTAGACAACTTTATCTTCTTACATTAAAAAAAGTTTAATAATTAAGAAAGTTTTTTCTTTAAAAAAAAAAGTTTTAATTGGAAAAGTTAATGTTTTATTAATAGAATGTTTTGCCTTCTTAAAAATTTTTAAGAACCGTAGAGAAAAAAACGTAAATGTTACGTCAGAGAATGTAAGAAAGTGATTAGTGATGATTGAAAAGAGACTAATTGAAGCACAAAGAGGACCAGAGGTCAGAACAGCTGCTTGCGTACGCACGGCGCGAAAAACAAGGCAAAGAAAAGAGGGGAGAGAAGGGGGAGACGGAGAGGACGGAGGATGACAATTAACGTTATATTTATAAATATTTCAAGGTTAAAAAAACTATAGAATACGAATCGTTAAACAAAACCAATATAGTACCACCTCAAAATAAAAACAAGAAATAATGAATATCTCTGTATTTCTTTCATTCTATCATTCTTTCAACCCTTTTTTTCTCACTTGAAATGATATAGGCCTAATTTTTGAACCGTTATCTAGGGTTTATTGGTTTAAGATTGGATGAATAAAAGATTTGAGAATGGATACGTAAATAATTGTTGATGTTAGACAATTGATACGTGCAGATAACATCAATTTTATACATTGACATGATACGATTGATGTTTGATCATTGAAAAGATTAAGTGAGCTTATATTAATAATATCAATGATATATACATATATTCATGAAAGAAAGTCTTTTATTATCTGATAGGCCTACTTTCTATAAGAAGAAAAAAAAGACGTGAGGAAAGACATATGCACCTTTCGTGCTTTGCACGGGAATTAAATGACGCAATAGTAACGCCCTCTTTAAAATAATAATTAAATAAAAAGGAGAGAGAAAGAGAGAGAGAGAGGAGAAGATATAGAAAAAGAAAGACGGAGAAAGGTATGTTTTATATTTTATTCCCTATTTTATTTTTAATAAAAAGCTCCACGTGTGGTTAATTCGTGTTAATTTAACCCCAATTTAATTTTCTTATAACGTAATGTCACGGAATGTTAAAGGTACGTCTAAGGCGGTAAAGTCTATTGATGTCTTAAAAATTTCTTTAATGTTACATAATTCTTGTGATTTGCTGGTTCGCACTAGATAAGTGTTCAATTAGTGGTACATTACATTTATGGTCAATATTAATAAGATTGCGTGCCATTGATTGCTCATCCCCTGTATCCCTTTTATCTGTTAACCGCCGACGCAGAAGGGCGACATCTGCTGGCACTAATAGTATTTTTCTTCATATCCCTTTCTCTTTAATCCTATTTGACGCCCATCGATTAAGTCGGCCGACAACTTTGAACTATTGTATAGTTTTTATATATCTATATATATAAATAGTTTGACGTCCAATCTATTAAATTATTTGATTAGACGGTTTTTGTTTGTATTTTTTTTTAACCTTCTTTTTTTTTTTTCTTTAACACTTCAATTTTATTTACTTTCTGTTTAGTTTAAATCTCGTTTGCCTTAAGTCTAAAATGCTTTATAAACACTTTATTGCGAACAAAAACAGTCAAATAAACTCGTGTTAAGAAGTTTTCAATGAAATGAAAGGGTAAAACGTTAAGATTAACAATTTAGACGAGAAGTTTTCTTATACATTTCAAAAGAAATTTAAAGAATCAAGAGGAGAGAATGAAGAGAGAATATACAGTTTTTATTCTAGTTTAATAGTTTCAATTGAATAATAGAATAGAGATAAAAAAGGGAATTAGACAAATTCATTTCTCCATCCACATTGAAATCTTTTCCCCTAACGGTATAATCCCGATGAAAAATAACCTACTGTATAAATTTTCCTATTGCGAATTCCGATCAAGATAAGTTAAGTGCATATCTTACGCTCTTTCAATTCTCATTAACCTCTATTACTTCTTTTCCAGTAGAAAAATGCTATCTAATTAACATAATTATCATCATATACATATATTAATATCTACATTATTATTGTTTATCGTCGAAATAACTTCTTTGCTAACGATTTACCATAGTTTATTAAAAAAGAGGGCGGTAGAGACGAAAACCAATGCTGCTTAGCCTTAACTTTGGTCGTTAATTGCTTGGGTTCAATGCAAAGCAAATAAGAGATAAAGGAAAAATTGGGGCTTATCTTAAGAACTCTTGTAGCGCTTATATCTTTATTTAAGGAAAGGAAGGCGATAGGCTATGTAAATATCTTTTAATCTCTATGTATAAATAATTATGGTTATTAATTGTATCTTTTTGTTCTATGATGCATATAAATACAAAACTTCTTATTTGGTATGAATATAAATGATAATAGATAAGAGAGACAAAGGGCTTAATGAGAAAATTACTTTTTGTGTTTACCGTAAGATGGCGATACTCTATTTTTATATACTGTAGTAAGGTTTGCAATTTGACAATTATAGCGAAGCTGGGTAGTTGTTTAAAGTAAATACTAATAAGGTAGAAATCGTTTCTTTTGTTTGCATCCCAAAGGATTCTTTAAATATGATTAAAAAGTTGTTTCTCTTTACTATATTTGGCTCTCATTTCCGTTTATTTAAGTACAAGATGAAGTAACGTCTCTCGTCTCGCGTCCTTTTTCTCTTTTTTACTAAAATATGGTAACGGTTTTCCAGGAAGAAAAAATTGAGATTGCTAGATTAGAGATAAGGGAATCACTTTTGCTGCAGCAACTTGTTATATTATATATTTTATAATATAGTAGTTGGAAGGGAATAATGGATAAAGACTAACATTGCCCAGTGCTGCCATCATACGGTAATCAATCTGCTAAGATTGTATAAAACAGAATTGTTAAAAGAATAAAATATACAGTAGGCTAAGGGAAGTGGAAACAAGCGGAATTCCGACATTGAGCTAAAGTGGTGAAAAAATAATACTTTTTCTTTTAAAAGCAGCTATGGACACCGGTTTTGAGTTTTCCGCCCGTCAAACCGAATTTAACACACGGTGACGCACTGATCACGTGACTGTGAATGCCTCAGACGAATCGGGTGTTTCCTAGCCGAACGATACAAACCGAAAAACTTCTAATCGTCTATTGGCAAACAACCGTTATTTTCTCTCATAAAACGGTTTTGATTGAGTGATGGTCGAAGTAGACGAGATTAGTAAAGCGGCTTCGAGTGACGCCCGCAGAGGCGTCTAAAGTGAGCGTCTATTCTGGATACTGTTAAAAGCTATTCTTTTTCCTTTTCTCCTTTTCTTTGGTTGCGTGCAAGGCTTTGGAGAATAAGATTTGTTAAGGAGACGCCTGCTTGACGCATAGACTTCTAACGCGGGAAAAGAAAAAATGCTGCATTCTCTTACTTGTTTTGTTATTCTCAGCACTATAACTTACGTCGTAAGTTTGGACTATAGTATTTACGAAGAAATACCAAACGGAACAATTGTGGCAAATTTGACGGCGGATGTAAGAGTTCCGGCGTCAAGTAAGTTTCGAATTGTGACGACTAGCGCGTCTAAAGTCAATATTACCTCACTTTTTGGAATCAATAATGGCATACTCGAGGCAATTAACCGGATAGATAGGGATTCGATTTGCGCCCAGCTTAAGAAATGCCCCTTAAACTTTGGCATAGCGGTATTAGACGGCTCTAACTTCCGCCTCTTGCCGGTCTCCTTACTAATAAAGGATCGTAACGATAATGCTCCTATTTTTAAAGTGATACTTAACCGTTTTATCAATAATATTGATTAAGTTAGAGGAATAAAACTTGTAAGATTTCCTCCCGTTTCTTTATATTCCTTCTCGAATACTATTATATGTACACCTGTCCATCATTTTCTCACCCTTTCACCATCCTTCTCTTTCCTTCCTCCTCTGTTTACCACTTTGTCTCTATCATCCTGTTTTGCATCAGTTATCATTATATTAGTATACTGAGATGTAAGAATTTTACTAGACGCAACGTAAGCCAATCAGGGACATATTTCTCACAACGTGGTCGTCTCCTAAAGCTCTTTACTTCTTGAAAAGCATTAACCATTCTTTTGTTGCCTTTTCTGTAATATAAATCTGCTTTTTTTCAACCTACCGCATTCTATAATGCAACTTTCTTAATATTGTTGAACTTGTAATCTCTTCTTGTAAAATGGATAATATACAATTTTTTTTTCTCTTCCTCTATTTTCTATATTCAATTTTTTTTTAAAAAAAAAAGGAATCTAGAGAAAAGAAAAAAAAAACGGTTTCTTATCGCTTTAAGAATGCTAAAACTCAACTAGAAATCAATGAAAACTCGCAAATTTCTACAAAATTCTTCCTACCAATCGCCACAGATATCGATTCCGGCCAATTTTCCATAAAAGGCTATAAACTAATTAATAAACATTCGTCCACATTCTCCTTTCATACGCGCCGCAAAGCGCAATTCGTCGAACCTTATTTGGTATTGAGTTCAAGATTGGATAGAGAATTAATCAATTCCTACCACTTTACACTTAGAGCCTTTGACGGAGGAAATCCTCCAAAGTCGACTTCCTTACCCTTGACTTTAATAATAAAGGACGATAACGATAATGAGCCTCAATTTCAAAGATCATCATACAACATAAGGGGCGTTTTTAAAATTTGCTTTTCTTTATATACTTAAAAAAAGATTAAAAACAAGTTTTTTCCATACTCATTCTTCCCTACTTTCCTTCTCCCTTTTTAACCAAATTACTAATATTTAATCTGATTAATTTTCCCCTCTCCTATCTTCTTTTTATCATTATCCTCCTTATTTCTTTAATGTTTCTTCTATTTTATTATAATGATTACTGATTAAAATAACATTTTAAAATCGCCCTGGGAATTGTAGTGTTTTAGAAAACAATCATATCAACACGCCAATTGGTCATGTAGTTGCAAGAGACAGAGATGCTGGGAGAAATGGACAAGTAACTTATTGGTTAGCATCTTATAATGAATTTAGGATAAAGGAGAAGACTGGGGAAATCTTTTCACGATTTCCATTGGATTATGAAACAAAGAGCCGGTATCTTTTCACAGTAAAGGCGTGCGATAGAGGAACGCCTAAAAAATGCTCCACTCCTGTTAGGGTTATTGTAAATGTACGAGACGCTAACGATAATCCGCCAGAGATTACTATCGATACTCTAACTTCGTCAAAAGTTGCCTATGTTAACGAAGATCAAGAAACAAAAGCGTTCGTAGCAAGAGTTCTGTTAGAGGACAAAGACGACGGCAGAAATGGCGAATTAGAATGTTCAGGTTCGTCGAAGAATTGGTTATTCATAAACCCTTTTGAAAAATTAAGTCTTCGTCAATAAATCAACAGGGAATAGGTGGTTAGGGGGTGGAGATTGGGGGTGGCAACATGGAAATTTGTTTCTCATCAAAAATGTAGTTCTGTGTCAATGATTATCTGTCATTTAAGTAATTTTGGAAAGAAGGAGTAATTTAAAGAACCTGCATTAATAATGATGAGGATAGCAATGAAATGCGGCTATATGACATACGGATTTATTCCTTTTGCTTCAACTTTAATCATTAGCCAAATTTATCCATAGGGTGAACACATAATTAGGAAGTTACCAGGTTCCTTTATCTTGCTAATTAGTTGTCAGTCTTACTTCTGTAATATGACTGAAATTAGGATATTAGGGATAGGAGATTCAACTCCAGTATATAACTTTTATATTTAACCGAATATCGCTCATTCGAAAAATAGCAGCGTACAGTAGAGCCAGTATAGACATTTCTCCATGAATATTGTACTGTAATCCCTAAAACTCTATAGAAGATGCAATTAGCATCAAACAGAGCCGAGAGGAGGAAGAGCTGTTTATATTCCATATCCAAGAAATATCATCAAGGTAATTAAACTAATTGGACAGGTGGAGAGGGTTCATAAAAGACACATATATTTATATTTAATGTATCATATCCAAATAGTAGTGGAAAGTATATAACCAATTCTCCGACAGTTAGTGAACCATTTGAAATAAAACCTTTCGTGAACTCATATCAACTTGTAACCACACGAAAATTGGACAGAGAAGATCGTGATACTTATAGTATAAAGATTAATTGTGCGGATAAAGGTCATCCACGAAGGACCGCTTGGAAGTCTTTAACAGTAAAGGTCAAGGATGTGAATGACAACAACCCTATCCTACAGAATTCTTCCCTTCAAATGAACGTCAATGAAACGGCAATAGTTGGCTCAGTAATCGGGCGTATTCGAGCGAATGACGGCGATATCGGTCCGAATGGCGAACTCTCTTATCTGATTGATTCCGACGTCGACTTTTTCCAGTTGGATCCGTCTAGTGGGCTTCTTTGTCTTAAAGTATGGGTTCTTATTCAAGGATCTCAGTTGCTATTTCTTTTTTTATTATGTTTAAGTTATAAGTATTAGAAGAATAAGTCTCTTAAAGCCTATTATGATCATTTTTTCAATTATGGCTCTCTATTGAAGATAAAGGTAAAAGAGAAAATTCTAGGCCTATTTATGTCCATAAGTAGTACAAATTTTTCAACATATACAATCATAAATTACCTTTCTTTCTGCAATTGAAAGGAGAACAAATCGAGAAAATTTTCCCATACTTTAAGAAAAAATTGGACTTTGAAATTCAGCAAAACTTCTCTTTTAGAGTTACTGTCCGAGATCACGGAAAACCTAGTAGACAATCAACTGGTCACGTGATTATTAGAATTAACAATTGCAACGACGAACGTCCAATCTTTGAGAAGAAAGCCTACGAGTTCAACGTTACTGAGAATTGGAGGGGGCTCCTAGGAAAATTAACAGCTGTTGACCTCGATCTTTCACCCTTCAACCAAACCGTCTACGAATTAGACGGCCCGGAAGCGTTCAGTCTTGAAAGACAGACGGGGAAGTTACGATTGCTACGAGATCTCGATAGGGAATTACAAAGTTCATACAAATTTTATGCCGTAGCTAGAGACGTCATGGACGCTTCCCTTTCCGATAAAGCAGAGATTTTGGTTACAGTATTAGACAAGAATGACGAAAAGCCTTATTTTTACGACGAAGCAGGGCTAACATTTTCAGTTAGTAGAAACGCTGGTTACGGAACGTTAATTGGGAAGATAAGGGCGGCAGATAAGGATTTAGGGACGAATTTAACATTCGAAATCACGCAACGTCGCTATAGACGTCTCTTTCTAATAACGGCCGATGGAGAATTGTTTCTAAATGTATAGTTTTTTATTATATTTTCTATTAATAATTTATGATTTAATCGTTACTTTTGCTTCTTTTTTCCGTCCCTTTTCCCCTTTCTTATCAATGTTTTGGTAAAAACATCAAAAGGGTCAGATAGACGATCATTCGGAAGAAGAATTCAACTTTGAAGTAAGAATATCTGATGGCAAATTATCAGAATCAAAATCATTCAAAATCATCGTCGATGCATCGTCTTCAAGCTTCTTTCATAAATTTGGGAAAACTACACTAGTAACAAGCTTGGGAATAGGTTCTTCCATCCTCTTCGCTATCCTTATCATAATTTGCTGCGTACTGATAAGAAAGAGGCGTAGGAAAAAGAAAAATCACCAGAGGAGAGGAGATGATGGCGGTGTTGTACCGGTCAATGGGTCTGTGAGATACGCTTTTGAAGATGATGTTTCATGCATATCGGATAATGAGGAGCGCGTAGCAAACGTGAGTATAATTCTTTAGTTGACCAATGAATTTTCCTTGCTGGTAGTATTATTTTATCGTACTTTCTTACCGAACTTCTAGCCTTTAATTATTACATAAAATTGCTTGGCAAAGCTCTCCGTCCCTAATCATTTATTTTACTGGAAATAACAGTTTTTAATAGAAATTCTCCTATGATTATATCCATATGACTAAAGAGAAAATGAAGCCAGAATAGACTTGATTTGTTTAAGTATTGAAAAATTAGCTGAATGTACAAAACTAATTTCACTTAATTTATCGTATTTCCCTTATTATCATCTCATATTTTTTCCTCTTTTACCGTCCTTAGCATCGATTGTTCGGAGAGAAGAATTCGTCGTGGAGGGGAAGAGAAATAGCCTATTCTAGATCACATAGTCAACTGTGTTCTGGTCACGAGAGATTGCCAAAAATATACGAGGTTAGAATGAACAAGTTTTTCATTTACGTAACCAATTGAACAACCTAATTATTTTCGCTAATAAGCGCAATTTTTTCATGGAAAACTCATATTAGCGCCAGGTGCTCTCTAAATCATCTTTCTATTGACCCTAAGTATTTTCTTGAGTTACTTCCTTCTTCAGCGTACTGAAAATCACGCAATATACACCGGCGACTTTTTTCAAAATTAATTGAACAAAATAGGTCTAAGTGCTTTACCATGTATTCAATGAAGACGAGAAAGCGCAATAAACCGTAAGAATAGGAACTTTTCTTTCTTAGGCCTATATTGCGAGCAAATATAGAAACGTCGGTTTATCACGCGACTGGTTTGGCAGTGTGTTTAATTAATGGAAAAATGGAATATCTTTCGTCGTCTTCTTCCTATTCAAACAGACAAAATCTCAGGTATAAAATCGAGAGGAAGAAGGAGAAAAGGAAGTAATAAAAGTGAAAGGAAGAAAGGGAAAAATATAACACTAAATACTCATACGGAAAAATAAAACGTTAATAGACTTTACAAGTGCATGACGTCATTTAATTTACCAAGAAGAAGGCGTCTCTTCCTTTCTCTATCTCCTTCTCCTTCTCTGCCTCTTTATCTTCAATTCTTTCTTTTCTTAAAAAGAAAATAAAATGGAGAAAGAGGGATAAAGAAACTCAGATCAGGGTGAGAGGCGAGAACAATTCCCTTTATATAAACATTTTTACAGTTAATCAAGGAAGAAAGAGGAAAGTATAAATTTATAAGAAGAGAATTGCGCATCATCTGGCATGAAATAAACGCCAAAAATAATAAAAACATCCGCAAGCATGTTCCAATATATCTACAATATAAATACAAACAGTCGATCACGCGATAATCTTCTGTAAATTTAATAAAGAAAAAATAGACTCAAGTTTCGCCTTAGCTAAGAGAAAAATGTTTCTTCGATTTTTCAAAATATAAACTCTCTTGGTAATTTTACCAAATAATTAATATTCATCAGTTCTTCGCGTAGGCCTATCTATTATTATCATTAAGAATATATACAATAAATATATACAGTATATATATAAAGTGTATACTCTGTATATGTGTAAGAATATACTTGAGCATGTTTTGAAAAAAGAAATAGAAGGGCAGAGAGAAGATATGAGCAGTGGAGAAATAGCGTTTAAGGGGGAGGAAGGAAGTAAAAGAGCATGTGTGTCGAGAAAGAGAGAGAGAGAGAGAGAGAGAGAAACAGGGGGAAAAGAGTGAGAAAGAAATATATAAGTAGAGTAATTTATTTTTCTACACTTCCCTATCTTAATGTAGGCCTATATTAATAATATAGCGATCTACTTCCGCGTTAATCAATTTATATATCGCAAGATGTGGACGAGAAAGATGAGCGAATTACTTAAACAATTTATAAATAAATATCTATATAGAGTCTTTTTTCCTCTATATAATATAATATTAATATCAATTAAATAAATAAACTGATGTATTATGTAAATAGTAGATGATAAGAAGTGACCTTGACTTTATATGTATTTATAAAGTCTCGTGTTTGGTAAGGAAGGACGGAATAAAGTTTACTAGGGAGAAGTATATGTAAAGAGAGAAAGACATAGAGAGAGAGAGAGAGAGAGAGAGAGAGAGAAATTGTGTTTTTTCTCTAGTTATCGTTTATAAAATAACCAGTTATGAATTTTCTCTTTTGATTACTAAGAACGAGTTATGAGATTTAAGGATTATGGGATTCAAACAACAAAAATTTGGGTTTTTTTTAGTATAAATACAGATCTAAGTCCAAATAAAAAGTATGTTAACTAAATAAACAATTCCTTCCATTTGAATGCCCTATCCTACCTCCTGTTTTTCAATTTCTTTTTCTGTGTCTCTTCTTTATCTCTCTTTCCCCCTCTCTCTCTCTCTCTCTGTCTATTCCAACAAGCTACTACCACCCATAAAGCCTCTATCTCAATCTTAAATTTCATCCTTTTTCTGCCCTTTTCAATCTCTCCAATCGACTTTTTCTCCCTAATCAGCGTCCGACTGATGATTTGCTCGTTATCTAGTTTCTTTTTTTTTCTTACGGATGTTTAAGTTCTGTTTATTCCTTCTTTTTTCCAAACTTTTCTTTTCACTATTTAAAATATATGTTAGCAATCGAAGTATATGAGTAGAGGGGGAAGGGGAGGAGGAAAAAACGGGGGGATTGAAGGGGAGGAGACAGAGAGAAAGGAAGTGTCTATAAAGGCTTAATAAACTAAATACAGAGAATTTAATAAAAAGCAATCAAATCTGTTTGTAAATTACAAACAAATTAATTTTGGAGTAGCTAGTCATTATTGTTTCTAATGCTAATAACAATAATATAATAATTAAGATAAAGTATTTATTAGAAAATATAAAGAAACATATAAAGAAAAGTTAATTGAGATTATCCTACAAACAATTATATTCATGAGTGGCTAAAGAGATTATTAACTTTGAGGGAGGCGCATTCAATCGGAGCGCCATCTATCCGATATAAGACAATTAATTTTCGAGTTTTTTGACAAGAGAGTGTTTGTCATACCGGTTGACTGAGCAGAACGGTCATTTTCTCGTCCAATGCCGACGGTAAAGCGTATAATTTTTTCAGCCTATTAGGCAAAACGTGACTGAGCACTACTTAATCATCTTAATCCCTGAAAACTACTTAATTAGAACAATAAAACGGTGGTATTTTTAATCTGCGTCCAACACGCTGGACATTCATCTTACTAATGCCCAATTTCTTTAAGCAAACAATTAAATCTCTTTGCGGTTGACCAATGGACAGCTGCGCTTGTTTTTCTTATCTCTAATTTTTTCTTTTCATTCTGTCCACAGCCAAGAAGAATATACGAAGAACGTGAAATACTTCAGAAATTAGGTAATGAATATTCATAGATAGATATGTGTTTTCCAGTTACTACTATTTTGTTTAAGTATAAGTGGTAGAAATAGGAAAAGAAGGAACTAGACTAAAAGGTTCTGCGCCAACAAATACATCCAAGACTTCAATAATTAACCTCTTTTATTAACCTTTATATCGATTTCTTTGCCTATACTTTATCGAATGCCAAACGATTCCTTGTTATCCTTTTAATAAATTATTAATTATGTACCAAAGATGGCGCTCGATATTAATTTACATATAGTAGCAAAAAAAATGTTTTATGCAATATTTACTCAGTATTTGTTTATTTTTCTCTCTCCCTCCCTCTCTCTCTCTCTCTCTCTCTCTCTCTCTCTCTCTCCCACTCTCTCACTCACTTACTCAATGGTTCTGATCATCTCCCTTTTCCCACTCTTCTCTTCTAGACGACAATGTATCAACTGCCGTATGAAGAAAAGGAGAGACGAAGCTGGTTGTAAGGCCCTCTCTCGGACTACGAATGACAGGAAGACTATGGCATCTTTACAAACGAACACGTATCTGGGCGTGACAAGTAGTTTTATTAAGGTTCTTTTTATCCGTAAATACAAGAGTTCGATTAATGCCGGTAGAAATGCGCTTGACACGCTCCTATTTATCGAGCGGCTGCGTGCTAAATAAATACGGGTGAATGGATAGAGGGAAAATTGTTCCTATTCTTTTCATACCTTTTCTTCTCTTAGCAGTTCTCTTTGCGTCCAGTTTGTTTTCCGCAATTGTTTTCCTATTGATCTCTATTGATTCTTTCTATATCCTTTTTTAAAAACTCTTGCATAAACTCTATAGTTTTATTTGCAAACTTTATATCTTGAGGCAAACAACTAACTCTTAATTTTTTATTTTCTTTATATCAATATACTAATTATTATAAACAATGGTATTTCATATAATATTAACATCTTCATTTAGTATGTTTATTTATATATATTTGACAATATATAGACAGAAATACTCTATGCATGTATATCTTTTTCCTTTTATCTTCACTCTTTCCTTTAATTTCTCTTCTCGCCTATTTCCTCTTCTCTTAACAATTTCCAATAATCTTGAACCTAAAAAAAAAGGGAAAAAAAATTGAAAGCTTGTTCTTTAAACAATTATTTATTTGACCCAGATCAATCTATTTATTACCAAGTGTTTACCATATTCATTGATACAGTCTTATATTACAATCAGTAAACACTTCATTATATTCCTCAAACCTATTAAAATGTTATTGTAATGTAATATATAAAAAATCGAATAGAATAACAATTCAAATTAATTTCATTATTAATTGTTTTATTATTCAAAAAACAAAAAAAGGAAGAAATAAAAGAAAGAAATATTTCCATCAGTCTAAAACAAGTTTTTCAATTTTGTTACTTTTGTTTTTTTTTGAGACTAACATCATATAAAGAGTGACGTAGGCCTGTAAAAAGTTCATTCTTGTTTCTTACTGCCAGTGCAGTTTTGTAATGCTATGTAAAATATATATATATATATATATATGTATATATATATATTGTTTTCTCTTTGTACAAATCAAACATTGAAAAATAAAAAGAAAAGAAAGAGAGAGAGAGAGAGAGATAAGGGAGATTGAGGAGATATATAGATATTTATGAAAAGAGATGGATTGGTAGACAGAGATATTTCTGTATATACATTTTGCTTTTGTATATACACTTATATATTTATGCATATTGTTTATATTGAAAATCTCTCTAGACGTTAGACTCTGGCACATCGTCTCTTTCCAGTTGAACATCAACTTTACCACGTTTATAAATAACGTGATTTGATTTAGATGGGTACCAATCGCGGAAAGTTTGTAGATTGCCACCAAGTTTAGTTCGTTGATCACCTGATGAAAACGTAAAATATTGAAAAGGATTATTAAAAATTTAATACATTTGCAATATGTACCTTCGTCGCTTCCTCTACCTGAGTCGTTTGAGGAACCGTCATTGTCTTTGACAGGTGTACCCTAAAGGTTAAGAAAGTAGATAAAAGGAGAATAAAAGGAGCTATTACATTTATGAATTTAATTGATTGAATATCAATCGGAAAAGAATTTGCGTAAAAAAGAAATTAACTCAATTTAGTTGATTATTTATGGCTATAAATTGCACGACAATAAAGCGGAACCCTCTTAGGCTATCAGCATCGTTATTAGTCTCTTAAATTTATTTGCTTTAAAAAGGTCCAAGCTACTGATAAATCTTTTGTAAATCTTAATGGAAAACAAACAAAAGGAGGAGGAACAAGAGAAACAGAGATAACATTGAATTAGCATCTCTCCTAACGAAGCAGGAAAGTATTTACAACGTTCGCAATTCGTATAATATCCCAATAGATGGCGTTGAAGGAGACGAACCGAAAGGTTAGGAGTTGTAAATGAAAAATTTAAAGGCCTAGAATAGAAAGCTTAGGGGTAGAACTTCGGAAGTGATCATCGTTAACGACAGGAGAACATTAGGTACTTGCTTCGGGTAATTTTCTTTACCTTATTTGCAGTTATTCTATAAAGAAACCCTTGTCGGAGTAGGATGACATCTATGCATGCTCAATATGCTGTATATATATATATATATTTATATATAATATATATATATATAAATGTATTTATAAGTCAAAATTCTTTATGGTAGCCGCTCTCTGAACCGTTTTGTTCCGTTTTTTACGCTTAACTTGGGCGTGTATTTACGCGTGTCTGGGGCAGGAACATGCGAATCGGTGACAATGATTTACGACTATCATTCACCGATTTTATTGACCTTTTTCGAATCGTTTTTACTGATATTACCTCGTTTATTCCGCATTTGGCCAGTAGGCGCCATGAGCCTTGAGCACCATTCTGAAAAATAAAAAAGACATAGATTGTTTATGTAGAGGAGTTTGGTGGGGTCAAAGGTCGGTGGGTGGAAATAGAGATAAGATTTGTCGGAAGGTTGGTTTGATAACTAGGCTTTCCTAGGTGGAAGGTGATGCTACAGCATGTGCAATAAACATTCATGATATTTGATAATATCATATTGCAGTATATGGTATTTTTATATTCTTACCCAGTAGAAAAAAAAAACTGAAAAACGTTATTAATCACATAGAATATTTGGATTCTATTCGTATTATTCATAATACAGTGTTTTTCTTTGCAAATGAAGACTGAGCATCTCAAATGTTGCTACCCTCTTTGAAATACGACTTTACTTTTACCGTCTAAGTAATATTCTCTGTGAAAGGCCAGAGAGCCTATGTTTTAAAAAAGAGATACTCGTGGAACAAGTAGCATAAGGATGAAATCAGTCAAGCCTAGCGTTTTACATAAACTACCATTCTCTTTTAAATGCTTAGTCAGCATCTGTCGTCCTTCTCAATTTTTTATTCAACTGGAAGAACAGTTATTCATTATCTTGTTTCTTTTATATAAATTCAATACGATATATATGAAAAAAGCGTTAAAAGCTCTTGGATTAAAAAGCTATTATGATATAGGGCACCGTACACTCAAGATAGTATTACCTCTCCTTATTACGTAATTTACCTAGTTTGCCACAATTCCACCTAAATAGATAATTATTTTAAGGCAACTTTTTTAGATGAAATAGAAAGGAGGGAAGGGAAAAAAATCTACCAACGTCTTTATCCTATTATGCAGTTATTCCTTATTAGGGAGGAAACGTTGGACCATGTAGGCCTAATAGAAGATAATTTTATAAAAGAGTGGTCAAAAAAGTATAATTTGTCATTTTTTATAATTAATGGACTCCCCTTTACAACCTACTATCGACTACTTTCAACATACTTCCGTAAGATATGAGTTAATATCTAATAGTATAGCATAAGATAATCCGTCATTATCTGCGTCAGCTTCTATCATCGAACACGTCAACAAATATTTTCTTTTCCAGATTGCATCACGAAACGGCGTAGACACTGTCTTTCCTTTTTTTTCTTTATGCTAATAGCTTTCGCCTCTTATAATCGTCATCTTTCACGATAGGAGCGATAGTTCATTCATTCTTGTCTATCTTTTACTAATACCATATTAAATTTATAAAGAGTAGTGATAAACACCTGCCAAAAGCTAGCCATGTCTCCAGCATCGGTGCACGTATATATATATGTATATATTATAAAGATATCTCTGCTTGTATGAATCAGAACACGCGCCGTTTGAGAGAGGAGAGGAGTATAAAGTTTAGTTTTAAGGCAACGTACTATGCACTTTGATAAAAAAAATGAAGGATAAAGAAAAAAAAAGAAACGTAGGCTAAAAGATGAAAATACCTTTATAAAGAGAATGGGGAGTTAAGTAATAGGAAAGGTAAAGATGAGAGAAGAAACTTTTCGGTATTCGAGTGATGAATTAATCATAGAAAATCCTCCAATTGACATTTATTTAATAGAATCAGATTGGAGTTTATAGAAATACAATATGTATAAATCAATGATCAAAGGGATATACATCTATATACTCATAATTGATATATTTATTGAAAAAATGTAAATGAAGAGATGATATTCTGCTTTGTTTTTACTTAAAATATCCATTATATTACATTAATTCTCTCTGTATTATTGTTATAATTAAGCTCTGCAGTACTTATATATTAGTATATACAGTATATATATTGTATATAACTTCATTACACCTCTCTTCCCTTCCTCCCTCACTCAATCTCTCTCTCTAAATGATTTCAAGAATCCTTCGAGATAGACACTAAAGAGAGGAAGACTCATATATATATAAAATTATTTTCAGTATCCAAGTAACGAGTATAATTATCCTTATCAAACACGAAAAGTGTTTTGGTCGAAAAAAATCAATCTTACTATTTTTTCTTATAGGTAATTTAATACATTTGTATCTTCTTAATTATGCAAAAGGTTTTCTCTAATTTATATATACTGTATATATATATATATAGTGTACATAGAGTTCATTTAGCGTCTTATTAGACAAATTCTTTAACTATTTTCCTTATCCCTATCTTACTTTCGTATCTCTTTTCCTTTACCCTCTCCTTATTCACATTCTACTTCCCTCGCCACACCTCTCTCTCTCTTTCTCTTTCTCTCCTTTCTCCTTTTTTCCTTTAATTAATTATGTAAATAAGACTTAGTCATTCTCTCTTTCGTTCATACGGAAAAACACGTTCCCTTTGTTAGCCTTTTTTACTAAAAATATTTCGTTTACTTTAAAAAAGAGCAAATAAAAAAAGGCCTGTTTTTAAGACTACCCTCTTTTCGAAATAGAAAGCACAGATGGCTAGTAATATTAATCTTTCGAAAAGAGTAAGAAAATGAATAAAGGCTTAAGACAGAAATGGACAAACGCTTGTCGTGTCTTTGTCGTTTTGGGAAAACTCTGCAAACTTTATAAAATACAATTAGATAATGAAAAATTGCGGTCCAAACGGTGTCTTATTACTTATTAGTAAACTGTTTTCGAACCACAAAACGCATTAACTTCAAATTATTGTTGGATGACTGTCGTAAATTTTCCACTAATCACGTGACAAGGAACTGACTCCAGCGGTATTGAAAATTAATGGGTCAAGTAGTACTTTATTACATCTTTACGACTTCTCGACGAGCACGCATAAGGGAAAAAAACTAATTGTATTTGACAATATTTTTTTCCCCTCTGTCTATCTTCTTCTCTCATCTTTCTAACAGAGACAAATTACTATGCAAACAATTCAAAACCACTTTAGGTCTCAGCTCTGGTGACAAGATAGTGTATTCCCTAACAACAATGGTTAAGGACAAAATAATTTACATTAAAAGAAAGAAAATTGGAGAAGAGAAGGACAAAATGGGTGGGGGGGAGGTAGGTGGGAGGAGAAAAAGGTTTAAATATTGAAAAGCTAATAGGAGAAGAAGGAGGGGGAAATGTGTAAAGTCGAACTAATCCAAAATAAACGGCGATTAGAACTTATCGAAAAGTACTATTTCTGGGAGTTTGTCGCTACTTCAAAGCACTCGTCTCGTCTCATCTGGTAATTGGCGATTATCGATTAGTTATCGAAGTGTATTCGTTCATTATCGATTAGTCTTTATATTTTCCAATATTTTCTACATACAAAACAGTTGTAGAAAAGGAATAGGAGAACGGAAACTTGTATATAAATATACAATATATATAGGTTTTATAGTAAATGAACAACCTGAATAGTTTCAACTCTTTTTCTCTTTTTTTTTCGATTTTTTACAGAGGAAAATTGTTTTTTCCAATAATCGTCTACTTAGACTAGATATCTTCGTGTAACTGTTCTTTTCAAGTCAAGCCAACCGTAAAGTAATAAAATCTACTGCAAGAGACGCTAGGCAAAAATAGACGCCTCTAGTGTTTTAATTCATTTCTATGAATCGAATTCCTTGCGGATACAACTAGCTTGTCAAATGAAAATTAAAATCTCGGGAACTCTCCTTCTAATACCTTCAACTTTGACCTCTACGCAATAGAGGTGACGCTTGAGATTTAACCTCTCGGTCGAGGGTTTGGTGTTGACACAGCTTGTTATTTTGTTCTGTTTATACTTGAACTTTTTCTCTTAAGTTATTTGAATAAATATAATGGAATCTCCTCCTCTCTGTACCCCTTTTTTTCATCTTTTAATATGTGCATATCTAAGCCAGGATTGACCCAAGAATTAACCAATAATGGATTATGTCCTGATCCAAATGCTTCTCATCCAGCCATACTAGGATGTTGGCACCAAAATTGATGGTATATAATACGTAAGTCTTCTCACAGACCAACTACTAGTTTTAAATTAGTGTTAAGTTCCATTTTGATTTTCTACTTGTAAATTCGATTGCGAAACGGGAAACCAGGCGAAAATTTTCTTCGGTGATGCCTAATGGCAACTATTGAGCATCTTTCGGGTATTGGCTATAAAGGGGGAGAAAATTTTCTTCCACCCCTCAATGATTTGTCTTTCTCACAAATAGAACCATTGGGATTTCTTACCTTCTACTAATATTATTTTCCCCAATTCACTACTAATGTAAGACCCTTCCCAAATAAATTTCTAATCTACTCAATGGTACTTGTTAGACGTCTGTTTAAATGAGGGTCGTTTACTTCAATAGTAAGCTTACGTAAACAAAATTTTGTTTACTATAAAACAAAGTAATTTATTTTTTATCCTTTGGCCTTTCTTTTAACATTTAGGTAACTCTAAGCCTATAATAACTGATCGTAGAATATGCTCTCTCTTTTTTTATTCTTTTATTTTCTTCTTTCCTATATATCTTCTCTTCTATTCCCTATATATTTTTTTGACTTTGAACTTGAGCGTAAAAGTGTTTAAAGATAATTTCTTTAGTCATCGAGCCATAAACATTTCTCTCAATAAACGAAAACGTCTCTTTTTGGCTAAATTGAATCAGTGAAATAAAATTTAGGAATATAGACCTCTTTCTAATTTTTCAATGACCCGTATACACCTCTACCGTACCCCTCGGAGAATGGAAACGCCCCTAGACAGTTGCACCGTGACAGAACCTTTTAGCCTTTGCGTAGGAAAGAAGCCTAGACGTTGATTGATAGGACAACGGTGCTGCTCATGCAATGTGTTCGGACCGTCTAAAAGCGTCTCCGCTAAGGACAAAACGCTTCCGCTAATACAGCGCTCTTTCTATTTCCACCCGAGATCTAAATTTTTGGCGATTATATTTTTACCTTAATATCACTTTTACAGAGACGTCTCCTTAACACGCATACACGTCTGAAAAAAAGTTAACATTGAAGGAAAAGTAAAAGCGTCGATTCTAAATGCCCGATATTAAGTTCGGACATTTGTCAACTTATGGAAAAAGGAAAAAAAACGAGAGAAACGTTCCTTTCAAAGAGAGGCTGGCAGTTGGTCAATTTGATGAATTAGGCATTTTTTTAAAGCAAATTAAAACAGTTCCACCCACCGAAAATTGGTAGAAGAGACGTATTGTTCCCCAGATAGTCGGCTTTGAATATTTGGAAAAAGTCTAGATGATTAATTGGATGCTATAGGCTTGTTTGTATTAGGTTTTTTTTCTCTTTTCGTCCCCACCTCTATATAATGCATTATATTTAATAATTCCCGCCCTTCCCCTCCCCCCTCCCTTCCCCACCCTCTCCCGCTCCTCTTTCCCTTCACAGTGTACGAACAAAATAAATAATAAAAAAAAGAGAGAGAGAATAGTAGCATGGTACAGTTTTTTTGTAGCTAGCAAACGTACGCTTTGTGGGTAATTGCATGAAAAAAACTTCAATATACTCATTCAAACTTGAATCCTTAGCAATGCATTACTAAAAGAAAAGGAAAAAAAAGAAGAAAAAAGTCTCATTAAAACTACCAAAAACGTTTTCTCTCTTTTACTTATCCTCTTTTTTTCTCTCTATCTTATGATCTTTTCTTTAACTATAAAATATTTGTTTTGCGGAGTTCTTTCTCTCTTTTCTTTCCTTTTCTTGTTTTTACTTTTTGCTTTGTTTTGTTTATTTAAAATGAATGAACCGACCATCCTAAGAGGTTAAGGGGAAAAAATATAAATTAAAAACTCACCTCGTCTCCATAACAACCTCTACCGTCGATTGCTGTACTATTCGGTTGCATACAATGATCATGCACCAATTCGGCGCTAAAGTTCATCTGCTTCGTGTTAGTCAAGCCGTTAGAAGGCTTGTCAAAAAGCATCCGCTCCGTTTCCGGTTTGATGGGTGTCTCTTTTTCAATAGGATCATTCGGTCTTCGCCGTCTTAAGAGAATGACTACGACTAGAAGGATGACAAGCAATATAACCAAGCAAGTCACTCCAATTACAACTTTGAGCGTTATATTTGAGAAGAAGGGCGTCGAATCTACTTGACCAATTTGCGTATCATTGATCTTTATCTTCAAATGTACGTTGGTAAAGTTTTTTGGTTCCCCATTATCTGTAACTTTAATATCTAATACGTATTCCGAAGACGCCTCCCTTAAATCGCCAGTTACGGTAATTAGGCCGTTCTTTGGGTCCAACCGGAACAAGTCCGTTTCCCCTGATAATAAAATATAAGTTAAATCAGCATTTTCTCCAATATCCTCATCTTCGCAATGTAACTTGGTAACTTCTGTTCCGATACCCGAACTTCTGGCGATAAATACAGTTCCGTCCCTCGCAGGCATCGGCATATTACACACAGGTTTATTATCATTCTCGTCGGCAATATCGACAGTAACCCTGGCCGATTGCTGAACTTTGCGGTGGCTAGGTCCACTAGTAGCTATTACGACTAATGTATAAGAATCCCGTTTTTCTCTATTGGCAAATGGCCTATTTAATTTTCTGTCCGAGGGAAAAGAGAGCGAGAGAGAGACATATACACAATCACAAACAATGGTAGGGGTGAGGTTTTAATACAAAGATCTTTAAAGAAAAGGACTAGAAAAGATTTGCTCAAAGTTTCTATCTAGGATAGTACTTGAAAATAAAAGACCTCTTCTTTACATTATTAATTTTACATAATAATACTACTAATTAACTCTTATAGCACTCGATATCCAATTTGGTGCAGGTGTGCTTCACTCGATTCAAAGCGTAGAATGATAAGTAAATGATTGATGATTTGTTAAGTGATCTTTGATTCACTCGTTATATAAATCTCTTTCAGAAAAAAGATAGTTAATGAATAGAGAGTACTGAATTGTTAAAAGATGGCAAAACTTTCGTCTGTTAAACTCTAAGTACTCAATTATCAACTATAATCTTTAAAGGAAAAATATGATCTTTAGATACACTCTATCGTTTCTTTTCTGTATCTTGCTCTCTTTGTTATGCTTTTTACTCTTGTACTAATAATAATAAATTGTAATGTTAAAGGGAAAAAGGTGGCAATGGTTATTGACTATAGGGTGAAGGTAAAATTTGAGAATATCCCCTCAAGACACGGTATTAGATAGGCCCTTGCCTGTCGAATATTTGTTTAGTAGTAATCCTTCCACTCTCGTCCATATCAAAAATCTGATAATCCTGGGGCCGTGAGAAACGTAACTGAACCTCTTTATCTTTCACATCATCATCATTAGCGCTAACCAGAACTACAAATGTACCAATTGGTCTGTTTTCGTAGACGCTTTTTTCGTAGCTTTCTTGGCCAAATTTTGGAAGATTATCGTCGACGTCTAGTATCTTTACCGTCAACTTTATCGACGTATGCTTACTAACTAAGCCTTCGTCCGATGCCTTTACTCTAATTCGAATTCTTCCGTATTTTTCTCTATCCAAATTCTTGGATACACGAATAATTCCGCTTCGACGATCAATTTCCAACAGCCGTTCGCTTACTCGGTCAATTTGTTTTAGCGTATAAATTACGCTTCCGTTCCTACCTTCGTCAGGATCGGTAGCTCTTATTCTTGCAATCACGTGACCAATACTGGCATTTTCCGCAACTTGTAACTGATCTATGAAAGATAGAAATTAGTTGATAATTCTCTATATTTAATAACTTTATGAATAATAAGTAAAAGATACTACTTTCATCTTAAAAATACGAGAAAATATCAAGGGAAAAAGAAGAAAGGGAAAGAAAACAATGAATGAAACTTGGATATAAACTAGATCGAAGGCAACTGTAATTTATTTACCTAAATAAGATTCTCCCCCCATCCCTCTCCTTTTTCCTCTTATATCCTCCCCTCCTTTCATATTCATCCACGCCACGAAAGGGAATTAAGACAGATTTTGACAAGACTACTTAGTCTGAGTTATTATTATTTTTATTATTATAGCATATTGTTTGTTGTTTCAACTAATATTATCATAAGAAACTGTATATATTTTGAGTTTTATACAATATTCTACCTTTACACAGTTGGGACCCAAAAGTGATGCAATAGTGTTGTATATTATGTAATCGAATACCTAGATATATATAATATATACTATTTATTGCACTGTACTTCTTTTATACTATCCTATCGGACAAAGGTGAAAGGAAAGAATAGAGATATTTCTTTTCTTACCTTTTTTTAATATTTTTCCTCTGTGATCTTTAATTTCTTGAAATGCTGGAGAATTATCATTGAGATCCAATACTCTAACGTCTATTAATCTATCAGCAACGTTTGGTATTTTACCGAAATCTTTGCACTTTAAAGTTATTAAGTATTGACTCTGTTTTTCTCTATTTAACTGTTTAGTCGTAACAATTTGATATTGCTTCTCTAGACCACTTTCCATTGCGAATGGAACATTATCATCTATAACACATTTAACTCGACCATTATCACCAAAATCCTGATCAGTTATAGATACATGAGCAACAAATGAACCAATTTTGGAATTCTCTTCTACGCTTGCGTATCCTCTGTCGTCGTGCAATGTTATTATTTGAACATCGGGTACGTTGTCGTTGACGTCCTCCAGATTTATAATAACTTTGGTTTGAGAGAAACGTGGACTACTGCCGCTGTCAGTGCCAAGAACATACAATTCATATTCCTGAACATCTTCAAAATCTAATGGAACAATTGGAAAAATTGTTCCATTTTTTGAGTCTATTCGAAAGGTATTTGCGTAATTTTGTTCGGTTCTGGAATTCCACGAATAAGATACTTTTCCGTTATCACCTGAATCCTTATCGCTTGCTGAAACTTGAACGATAGGAGTATTCTTGGTAATATTTTCAAGAACTGTTGCCTTATAGACAGATTGTTTAAAGACTGGTTCGTGATCATTTGCATCCTCAACAATAACGCTAACTTTAAGTGTTCCCGTTCTCCTAGAATCTCCACCATCTATGGCCAAAATTTGTAGAGTATAAGATTCTATTAGCTCTCTGTCAAGTCGTGAATTCAATATAATCCTTAAATTTTCCAAGCCAACGTTTTTGTTCTTGATAAGTTTATGAATAAATATTTTATTATTGAATCTGTCCACTGCGTTTCGGAGAACATAACGTTGAACGGAATACCTAAAAGGGATAATACATATATAAATTCGTATATAAATACAGTATATTCGTTTATTTATATATCTATATTTAAAAAAAGTGGATTTTATGTGTATATTGGCTTGCGGTAGGCAATTTGTTTAGAGATAACCCTATACTATATTAGACGCCTTTTTTCACATCCCAACCAGTCTGCTTATTGCACTTTTTAAACGTAAAAATAGATATTTAACGAGGCACTTTTAGAAAATGACGCCTAAAATTTTCTACCTTCCTATCTTTAAATCAAACTCTTCAATTCTTGAATAAGATTCCATTCAAAAAAGTGACATTGAGCCTTTAGGCTACACGTGGTCACCTATAGAAAACGTTTTCGAATTAATTGCTCGATCCTATTCTATACTTAAATAAATGACTAGTTTTGCTATGGTTGAAAAACAACCTACAAGGTCGACCAATCGAAAAATTTCTGATAATTACTATAGAACGTTCATCAATAAAAAATGGCGTCTAAACAATAGAAAAAACTACTTTCTTTGTCAATAAAATATCATGTCTGTGTTTTTTTTTTTTTTTAAATTGCTAAGAGAAGAGCTACGCTGAATTGTGAATGATGGAAGATAGATTACGATTTTTGCTTATCTGACAACAATAGATTATAGATTGAGAAATATGGAAAAGAAAATAGGAAGAGCAAGTGAGGGAGAGAGGGAGAGAGGGAGCGTGCAGATGAGAGAATGAGTAAGTGAGTTAGCGAGTTAGCGAGTGACTGAAATCGAGAGAGGGAGAGAGAGAGAGATGAGACAGATAGAGTGAGTGAGAGAGAGACAGAGAGAGAGGGAGAGAGATATAGAGAGAGAATAAGAGAATATGAGTGTGAGAGAGGATATGAAGCGGTCGGAGAGAGAGAGAGACACAGAGAGAGAGAGAGAGAGAAGTTATATTCACCTAGGAGAATCTGGATCAGAAGCGGGCGGAATAGTCACGTAATCCCCTGGTTCAGCGGCTTCGGAAAACTTTACTTTTATTCTCCCAAAAGGAAATCGTGGTGTATTGTCATTAACATCCCTAATTTTTAAATTAATTGTCAAGGATTGGAAGTTTTCAGCAGGTAAAATCCCAGCCTCCAAAGTCATATTGCATTCCGCTTTATTTGGACAAATAGCTTCTCTATCAATAGTAGTTTTGGTCTTGAGAATACCGGAAGGAGTAATAGTGAAATTCTTTTCGGCACCAGCATGAGTTTTGAGTAGGATAATTTTCTTTTCCCTAACACCGGAACTCAAAAGAGGACCGACACTAAAGTTAGCCGGGGTAGCATCATATATTTCAAAATCGATGATCTTCTCACCCAAAACAGTAGTAGTAAGGAGTAGACAAACTAACGCGAGCATAATCGATCATGTGATTTAGAAGAAGGCCGAAGCGGTCAAGTGGCGTCTGTGACATTTTGAAGATATTTAACGAATATATTTAACACATGAAAAAATGATAGACAATTAGGGAAACAGATCAAAATTGCATTTGTTGTCTATTTTCCCCTATAAAGAAACTTGTATATATATTCTATTTGTATATTTCAATATAGCTCTTTTTTTTTTTACTTTAATGACTTTAAATATAATTTTTTCTTCTTTTCCTGCACTTTTTTTTTAAAAAACATCGATATAAATCAATAATAGATCAATTTTAATTAAATGCTTTTATAATAGAATTATTCTAATATATTATAGGTTCCCTATACATAACAAGAACATTTGTAATACGCCTCTCCATCGTACGCTATCTATAATAGTAATAATACTAACAATTCGTATTACAAACATACTTAATACATGTTGTTGTCTTTATATTAGTTTGTACAAGAGAGGCTATACTTTTTTTTATATCCTTACTTTATTTAAAGATAAAAAATATCAAGAAATTTTCTTGTACAACGAGAAAATAAACGAAAGAATAAAAATATAAAACAAACGTACATTATGTTTTAGTTTGTCGACAGAAATGAAAATAAACCTTTGTTTGTTTGGTAGATGCATCTTTCTACAGTTCCCATTACTAATTCTCTTCACTTCTCTTTGCTTTCTCGCTTCGTTTTTTCTTTTCTCTCTTTTTTTTTGTTTAAGTTCACCAACTCTTAATAATCCACACGGCAACGATACTTACAACAGACTGTTGGTTCTAACGGTCGGTAGGTGGCGCAGTCAACACTGAGAGTTTGGCGCTAATTGGCTGAGATCGGTTATGTAACAGTCGTTTAGGCAGGTGCTTTCTTTCCTTTATCGCGTCGGTCCAGCTTTTGACTTTTTCGACAGAGCAACTCAATTATCTAGGGATAGAGATTCTTATTTTTCTACCCAAAAACTTTTAACTATCCTTATTCGCCTTTCTTTTTCTCTTCTTCAATTTGTTTTCTAAGGTGCTAATGGATTTTTTACAGATGCTTCTTTAGGTTATATATTTTCTCTTTTCTTCTTTCCTAGTCTCCTATCATTATTTTTACTTACGAATTCGTCTACTATTAATAATTTAGTGACGCTCATGATTGTGTATGGCCCCTTAAATTGTATGAAAAGACGAAATCGTCTAATTGCGTCTAATGTGTTAGCTCGGCCGTAGAATTCTTCAGAGATTTTTACTGATTGCCATTATGTAAATCTATTCAAATTCTATTACTTGTAAAAGATCGCTCTGTCTGATATCAACCATTTAGTTAATTAAAAAACTAAAAGGAGTAACGAACGAGAAACCAGTCTAGAGTATCTTAATCCCGAATTCTTTCTTAATTCTCTAATCTATATACAGATCAAAGATTCATTTTACAGTTTTCCCTCTATTCTTAATTCTATTTAATTACTAATTTGATAATACAAAAATGTCAAGATTAAGAAAAACACCTTTCCCGCACACAAACACACACGTATACTTATACATATATAGACATATATATATATATATATATACATTAAGTCTATAATAAAAAAAGAGGAGAGGTTAAAGTAATTTTATTGCAAAAAAAAAATTGCAGTAGAATGTACTGCATATTTGTTATTCTCTTTTTATTATTTTGTTCTCTATTGAAGATTAGGCGCTACTTGATTAAAAACGATATTATTATTAATTGTGAAAGAATAATATTTGAACAAGGCAGTAATCAATATAGCCCCTAAACGGAAACGCTTAAACACTTGAACAACAAAGTTGAGCAGAAAGAATCCGCCCCTAGCCATTTTTCTTATACTATTTACGCACTCAATTTCAAACAATAAAAAAAACAAATGAAAGGAGGAAACGGGTGGAAAATTTGCAGTGAAATTGCCCCTTTTAGAAACGCCCTTGGAATAAATCTCGGACAATTTTGTCCAGAACTTAATCATTCTCTCGCTCACTCGACAACAAAAGCCCAGCAATAAAATATTCAATAAAAATGCCTCTAGTTTTCGACGAATAAGGAAGAATTTTCAGTGCGTAAAAATATTGCTGTCAGAATCAAACTGCAAAATTCATTGCAGTCGATCGAATATTGCAAGTCGGCACGTAATGTAAACATATCGAATCGGCCAGGTACGCCGGCGTCTTTTCATCTTACGCTCTTTTACGAAACCGATTGTTCTTCACCGCTTTTCATAAAATATTCATAAAGAATTAAATGTATTGCTTGCAGTTTTTTCCCAGTTTTCTTTTCTTTTTATCCATTTCAGCTTGTTTTTAGTATAGTAAATAGGCCTATTGAATGCAGTATTTAAACTCTATTTGTTCTGAAAGGAAACGCTTGGTAATTGCAGATTTCATTTATTAAAGAGTATTCAGTAAAGGCTCAAGTAAACTATAACATCTATATATTTTATTAAAGATAAAACTTTTCATTTTACGAATTGCACTTATGGAAGAGATTGAATCATATCAAAATCTATATATAAACTTTTCTATTTATATATCTAGCCTATTGTATATATGTATTCATTTGTATATTGTATAGTGTAACACCGTATTATATGTACTTTATTTAATACCCAACAGGCATATTATCACCCTAAAATTTACCTTAAACATAGGATTTGATTATGCATAAAAGATCTATTTAACAAATAGGCAAATTATACCTGTCGATATTTTAATAATTAAATAAAAAACGCCTAGCTTATGAAGATCGAAACGATGTTTTACTTTAAATTATTGAACTCTTATTAACAATCAAAAGTCGAGTGGAAACCTGCGCTCTGTTAAAGATTTTTCTCCTTCCATGTCAAATTATTCTATATAATAAGACGTAAAGAACTTGCAAGAGCCGTGGAAGAATGATGGAGGGAGGGGTAGACATCAAGAGAGGAAGAGAGGACTTTTTTTTTCTTTTTTTTATGTTTTTTTTTTCTACCAAATTCTATCATGCGGATATATTTGATAAGTTTAAGCCTATAAACAAGTTGGGGTTTTCCTCAAGCCTAAATCCTTAGTGAAGTCCGATAACCTTGACACTAGAGAATTAAAAGAATTGACTTAATAAACGGTTTTTTTTATTAAAAAAAAACGCCATGAAAGTTTAAATAAAGGAATAAAAAAGTTCTATATTGTGTATATATATATATACTGTATATATATAATACTAATATATATATATATCTATATATTATATACTCTGTTTAATAGACACATAATAAACAGAAAAAGTGAATAAAACTCTCTTTGTTTTTTAATCATAATCAATAAATTTTAATACAACATTTCATATTGATTTTCTTCCATTCATACATTCATTCATTCAATCTCTTTCGCCTTCTTTCCCTATATCTTCAGCTATTTGTCTATCTATTTCCTCTCTGTCTTTCTGTCTGTCTCTCTGTTTTTCTCTCTCGTTCTCTTTCTCTCTCTCTCTCTCTCTCACACATACACACATATACATACATACATGCATACATACATACACACATACATACACCTCAGCGTTTGCACGCACCTACATTCATACGTATAATATACCCTCCTATACGATTTATTGTTCATATTTCTATCTATTTACCTCTCATTTCTCTCTCCCTAGCCTATTTTAATACATTAAATGATTTAGGACTTTTAATTAAGCATTAAAATAAAAAACTCTATATTAAAAAACTAATTAGAAATAAAATCGGTTTTTAGTTTGTTTTGCATTATTCACCGGAAAAAGTTTGGGGGAAAAAATTAAAAAGAATTAATAGAGACCTTTGATGAACCGTCGCACTGTCGAAAGTGAATAAATTGGCTTTTATAGTGCGGAATTCCATATAATCCTTTGATGATAATTAAACATACAATCCAGTGGATCTACAGAGTTTATGGAGTTCTCTTCATTATCTTTCCGAAGTGTTTGATCACTGCAATCTATAAGAAAAATTCATTTGCAATTAATTAGGGCTATGCAGCAGGTATAAGATGTGATCTATTAAGAGAATATCTTCATAGGCCTAAACATTCCATAAATATACATAGATGCATACATACATAAATACATTTATACATATTTATATAAACGTCGTAGATGTATTATAATTAGGTCTTTATATATTTTACATGGAATGTAAATAGGATATTTAAATAGAAAAGTACTTCAATACTAAATGTTAAGACAATAATAATTAGACATAAATTAAAGAAAATGAATAAAAGAGAGAAATATAAATGGTCATGTACACTCTTATTATGACATTTAAGCTTATTGTTAACGCTACTAAAGGATTTCAATCATCGTACATGTGCTGTTCTCACTTTGAAAATGAAAAATATCAATGGCCTTCGAAAGGTGATCATATATCTTTCTCTCTTTCAATGAAATGGCCATTTAAGAGACTAAAAAATGTCAAATCTATGTAAAAGGTAAAGATAGAGATAAAAATGAAAAAGACGAAGAAAAGTAGGAGCAAAATAGAAAAAACCATTCAGTTTACGAAATAATTCGCTATTATAAGGAACGTTACACAATAAGCTTCCTTTAATCATTATGTGAGACGATTTCGAAGAAATAAAGTATTGGAATGTCAAGGACCAAATTGTAGGTGAGAGATGATACAATAATAATAATAAATAGTACTTTTAATGAATCTGTTAACGAATTTATCAACTTGATTCACTTAGACAATCAAAATATTTGGACATAATAGAAAACAAATAATGACGACACGTTATAAAAACTGAAATAATGTATTTATATTGCATACAGAAGCATTCGGTAATCTATATAATTTTCCCACGTATATTCTTACCTTGATCTATTGGTGTATAGGATTAAAAAGGCATAGATATACACTGAACGTATTATATATGTGTTGATCATTGTATGCACATTTCTTATGTGCTATAAATTGTATATATATGATATATATATAGTATATACATGTTGATATTTTGCGATACGGGCTCACTGCAATGTCTGTATGTATAATGCACTCTTGAAAAGATAGACAAAAGTCAAGCAATCGTTTGGAAAGAGTGAAAAAAGGCCAAATACGATTATCTAATTGTTTTAATAAACAAAGAAAAACGCTTCATATACTTATGGAAATTGAATGGAATATTAATTTCCCGCGACATTTATCCTATAAGGTTCTATTATACATTTATTATACATGTGGTATGGTTCCTATTCCAAATTAGTTTTCATAAGCTGAACTGTTTCCTATGAGGAACTTGGAGAGGTTAATAAAGGACGTCTTTGCATTCTTTCACCAACTTTTGACTAGTTGCTAGGGAACGCATAATTTCGTTAGCTTGACCTAAAAATGTGAAAAGATACTATAAATACGTAGGGACAACTTCAAAGATCGTCAATTTCTCTTCTTGTTTACAATGATCAACGATAATTCTTCTGTCGCCTTAAAGCTTGACATTCTTATTAAAAAGAAGGTTTCTTATGTAAAGGAGAATGAATGAAGAAGAGATTGTAACATTTTTAGATGAAATAAAGAAAAGAGTAAAGGAAATAAATAAATGTAAATTGTAAAGAGAGTGACGATGACGAACCTTAACTGAGAGATAAGAGAGAAAGAAAAAAGTTCGAAATATAATCAGTGAAACATTAAGGGAAAAGGGAAAAAAGAGAAGAATTTGGAAAAAAAGAGAAAATAAAGCATTAAGGCTTATATGCCTCACACGCAAAACCGTTTGATAATCCATAGTCGCTGAGAGTTAGCTAATCAATTTTCTC